GTTTTTAAATTGACACCCTGTAAAATGTCTTAAAAGATTTATAGAACAATGAAAGGTATATTATAAAAATAACTACCAATATACAAGGTGTCCGACGAGGTGTCCGATAAATGTGTGTCTTTTTTTTTAATGAAATATTCTATATATATTTTTACTCGACTGAATTACTTTGAAAGCGTGTTTCACAAAAATATATACGGAGTGGCCCAAAAGTCTGGAAACGGCCAATTATCTCGTAAATTGCTAATCCTAATTGTACAAAATTTGGGGTACACCTATTTTGGGATACGGAGATTCCAGATTTGATATTTGCAATGTTGCCATATTTGCCGTTTCTCTTATATTATTATAGCCAAATTCATCACCCTGTATATTCAGTCATTATTGGAATCTCCTATTCAATACGAGTTTCACCATATGTAACACTTATGATTTTATGTAGTCTGGAAGGTCCTTAATAAATAAAACAATCATGGAGAAATGTGGTAGGCGCCTTCTACCATCGATTAGGGTACTGTTAACTCACAAATGGAGCGCATTTTGAACACTTGATAAAGTAACCATTATGTTAAAAATGTTATAATCTTTCAATTGTTACGTTTTAATGTAGTTGAAAATAGTTTGTATTAAAAAATTTATTGAGACAATTAGGCGTTACCAGTCTTATTTTATTTATTTAAGACCCTCCAGACTACATAAAATCATAAGTGTTACATATGGTTGAACTCGTATTGAATAGGAGATTCTAATAATGACTGAATATACAGGGTGATGATTTAAAAAAACCAAAGTGACTAATAATTTAAGAGAAACGACAAATCTGGCAACATTGCAAATATCAAATCTGGAATCACCGTATCCCAAAATAGGTGTACCCCAAATTTTGTACAATTAAGACTAGCAATTTACGAGATAATTGGTCGTTTCCAGACTTTTGGGCCACTCTGTAGTTTTATGAGTTTATTCAACACCAATTATCTCAAATAAATATTTTGAAATAAGAAAATGTTTCCACCAAATATACTCAAAAATGGTGCATTTTCATTTTCTGTTCATAATTTAACGTAATGACTCTTTTCTCGTACAGGGGCAATCAAAATTCGGGATCATTTTTTTCTTATGAAACATCCTGTAAATAAGGCCATACCAGAATAGTCTGCACTATGAGCATACAGAAAATGTAAGGTTGTTTTCCATCGGAAATGTAGCTACCTAATTTTTAAGTGAAACCTCGAGACTAGTGTGCATTCACGTTCTCGCGACAGTTAAGCAGTAATGTCTGGTCACGTCTTGAATGCGTGACCGCTGGACTAGCGGTTAACCATCGACGATGTGAAATGAATGATTATGGATGAATGTGTGATGAATGGGAAGGAGTATGGCATCGAAATGGTGGCACAATAGGCCATCTGCGTTTCAGTGCCGCCATGCGAACCTCAAAAGGAGGGAAAGCAGACTGGACCCCAAGCCTGTTTGAGGTAAGCCAGTAGCTGGGCTCAAGCTTGTTTGGGGAAGGGATGCCTGAAAGGGTGAAAAAAATATTTAAAAGAGTCATAAAGCAATAACGATTTATTATTTAATTCTGGACAAAAAAGATAAAAAAAGATAAAGATAAAAAAATATAAAAAGAGATGAAAAAAGATAGATAAAATATATTTTTAATTAAAAAACCCCAATTGAGATTTTTGATTTTTTCATAGATCATCAGATCCTGACAAATTGTATATGGAACTACCCCTGAGGTATCCCCTTTCTAACGAAAAAATAATCATAGAAATCGGACAAGGTGGTAAAGAATTATCGCTAAACATACATAAAAAATTAGGAGTTTGAGGATTTTCTCATGGATCCAATTATTAGATTTTGACCAAATTTAAATGGGACTACCCACTTACTCACAAAAAAGAATTATCGCTAAACTTACATGAAAAATGAAGAGTTTGAGGATTTTTTCATGGACCCAATTATTAGATTTTGATCAAATTAATATGGGACCATCCCCTGAAGTACCTCCTTTCTAACAAAAAAAGAATCATTGAAATCAGACACCATGTTAAAGAATTATCGCTGAACATACATAAAAAAAATTTACGACGTATTGAGAACTCCTCCTTTTTTGAAGTCGGTTAAAAAGATAAAAAAAAAGACAAAAAAAGACAAAAAAAAAATGAAAAAGATAAAAATGATACAAAAAAATAAAAAAGGATAAAAAAGATAAAAAAGATAAAAAAAAGATACAGAAAGATACAAAAAAAAGATAAAAAAAAGATAAAAAAAGATAAAAAAAAGATAAAAAAAGAAAAAAGAATTAAAAAAGTATGAAAAAATATAAAAAATAAACAATAACAAAAGATAAAGACAAAAAAGATTCCAAACAAAATGGCTGCCAGTGGGTTTTGACAACCTTGTGGGACTGGTAACTTGACAGGGTCAATGATATAAATACTTATATAGATTATTCATCCATGTTTTTCAAAATAAACAAGAGCTTATGCCTTGAAGAAAGAATTTAGGTAATTATTTTTTTGCCATATTTAAAGACTGAAAATTGGTTTTAAAACACATTTTTGCTAAACTGATTCTGATTAATGAGCACTTGCGAGTCAATATGGCCGCTCGCAAAACTACCCGCTTTGAACAATCTATACAACTATATATGTATCATTGACCCGGTATTAAACTGGAAGCTCAAAGCCGATCAACAAAATCGAGCCACATAGCGAGGTGATATTTGACAGACTGGCGCACACAGATGCGTATCCAAATGTACTAAGAGGTAACACCAAAATTAAATTTAACACTTATTACATTCAACTACAACACCTTTTAATTTAAGAAAATCACTTAAAAATGATATTTGATGAATACACAACTATAACAAATGTTCCAATAACAATATTAATTAAAATACCACGATATCAATTAAAAATGATATAACTTATCGTAGTACGCTTAAAATTGACAGACTGGCGTCAAAATAATCGTGGCACCGACCGTTTTTTTCATCTACATCGGCTTAGAAATTAGGAGTAGGGCTTATGACATATGACCATCCAGTTTATTATTAAGGTCGGTGATTTTGACAGGTCGTTGGAATTCCTAATATATTTTACACGTCAAACGGGAGCATACGCTTGAAAGAGAAAAAGTACTAGATTTTGCTTTGAGTGTACTAGAGCACCAGATTCTCAGAAAATGTACTAGATTCGTACAATTGTACTAGACTGGCAACACTTGTAAAACACAATTGCCATTACTACTCTACAGAGAATCCCCATTGGATCAGAGAAGTTGATAACCAAAATAGATGACCGATTAATGTTTAGGGGGGGGGGGGATTATTGAGGATCAGGTCATAGGACCTTATTTCTTTGATGGTCCACAGAATGAAGAAATTTGCAGATATTTTTTCCTAGATGATTTAACAAATTTGTTGGGGGATATACCGATTGACACCAGACATAGGTTGTAAATGAATAAAAGATAAAGAAAAAGAATCATTCAGTGGCCAGCAAGATACCCAGACCTTACGCTCCTAGATTTCTATTTCTGGGGATATGTTAAAGGCGATGGGTACCGCAGGAAACCAACGGCACTAGAAGATATGAAGAATTCGCTCTATTACAAGATCAACAAGTTCAAAGAAAATTATAGATAGACTTAATTTGTGTATAGCTCAAAATGGGAGATTTTTGAACTTCTGTTGTGAATTTACGCTTTCTGAAATTATCCAAAATTGATTAAATAAATCGTTATTGCTTTTATGACTTTTTCATATTTTAAGAATTCGTTGCATTTTCGTTGGAAATCAATCAGGAAAACTCTACATTTTCTGCAAGCTCGTAGTGTAAATTATTCTGGTATGGCCTTGCTTACAGGGACTTACATTTGAAAAAAATAAGAAAAAAATGATCCCGAGTTTTGGTAGCCACTGTACGAGAAAAGCACCATTCGATAAAATTATTAATTGGAAATGAAAATATACCACTTTCAAGGAAATTTGGTGAAAAAATGTTCTTGTTCTAATTTATTGATTTGGAGATATTTGGTGTTGAATGAACCCATTTTGTGATATAAATCCCACCATAAATTCCGAACCATTAGATATAAACCCATACAACCCTATATCTTTGAGAAACATTCTTCCAAAGGAATCCAATCGAATGAAAATACATAGGATGTTTCATTAAAAAAAAATAAAAAATTTGATGAGTCACAGCTTTATCGGACATCCTGTATATTGATAGTTATTTTTAAAAAGTAGCTTTCATTAACTTCTACGATTTTTATTTGAGATATTTTTCATATCTCAAATAGGAAAGCAGCTATCGTCCACCCACGCATCGTTGATACACCCTGTACAGTATGTTTTAAAAAGTTGACAACAAATGGGAAATTTATTTAATTTATTATTAATTTTACAAAAGAAAATGTGCATCAAACGTATTCAAGAATCAAAGTTGTAATATATTTAGTGATACCCAAGTATGATTTATTAGAATACCTTTATTCTAAAATTAGACAATTTTTAATTCCTATCAACATTTTCAAATCGCATTTTGTTCTGTAATTAAGTTTAAATTTAAAAGCAATTTACTTTTCAACATAAATAAATATTTTTATGTTCCCTGTATTACAACTAAATATTTTACAAATTTAATTCTTGTTTATTGATTTCTATATGATGCCAAACTTTTTATAAAGAATATATTTTTTTAAAGTATTAGTAAATAAATTTGTTGCCAACTTTTTCACATACTGTATATTTTATAAAATGAATATTATTTCGAAAACAACTAAAAATACCATTGCTCTTTTAAACTATAAAAATTCATTACAAGAAAACATCCTGTACATCTAAAATAAAAATAATAGTTTATGTAACATATATCAACAAACAATATTGTTTATAATATTACCGCTGCTGAATTGCAAACACACAAATTCTACATTACAATATAAAGTCAGCATATTTTTCTTTACGGTTATTCATTCTACCAGTTACATCAGACCCCAATTGCAAGATGTGGGTCACCATAATTTTATTATGTCTTGCAACGTCAGCATATGCAAGACCTGAACTAATCCGACCTGATGAAGACGCTGTAGAACTTCAAGCACTTGCTCAGACTGATCCACAAGAAATGCAAGATTTTCTAGAAGCCGAAGCTCAACCTGACGAACTGAATAGAAAGAAAAAACAAATAACCACATTTTGTGTAGAAATTAGACCTAGTGACCATAAAGCTTTCCAAGTGTGCGAACCCTATCGTCAAAAAGAGTACTATCCAAATCCACATCAACATCAACATCAACACGAAGGAGGTGGGAATAATATAAAACCTCAATCTGGCCATTCTGGAGGAGGAAACCATGTGAAGCCTGCGTTTTCAACTCCTATCAAAACTTATGTATCATCTGAATCATCAAGGCCTCCATCAAAACAATCTTTTGAAGGTTTCCAATCAAACTTCCCTGAAGTACATAACATTGGACCATCTAGGGCAGCATCAGAAGATGAAATGCAATTTGAAAATGAAATACCATCCCAAGGAGCTGCGAATGCAAACAAGGAAGGGTTCCTTGAAGTACATAACCTTGGACCAGCTAGAGCAGCATCAGATGATGAAATGCAAATTGAAAATGAAATACCATCCCAAGGAGCTGCAAATGCAAACGAGGAAGGATTGAAGTTTTTTGATGTTCCTGTACCAGTAAGATCAGCTTTCGAAGAAGATAACGATCTAAACGAAGATGAAAATCCTTCACAGTCTTCACCAGCTAGATCTGCTTTTAATATCGATCTAGTGCCTGCTGAATTAAAAAAAGTGGACACACCAGTAGACGATACAATACATAAAGATGTAAACGAAGCACTCAAAGATATCGACAAAGCTGTTGAAGCACTCAAAGATATCGGCAAAGCTGTTAAACCATCTGATGAACACTTAACAGATGTTAAAGATGATATTCAAGATGTCAAAGAAGAAGTCAAATCAGATATTGAAGATGTCAAAGAAGAATTAAAGTCAGATATTAAAGATGCCCAAGAAGAAGTAAAGTCAGATATTAAAGATGTCATAGATGTCAAAGAAGAAGTAAAGTCTGATATTAAAGATGTTAAAGATGAAATAAACTCCGATATTAAGAAAGTTGATATAGGAGATGTTAAAGTAAAAGATCCAACCCATATAAGAGCTGCCGAACAAACTGATGCATACATGCCAAAGTCAGAATATGATCAACAGCACTACATTCCTTATTCCCCGATACATCAGAATCACCACAGTGGATTAGTAATTACTTGCCAACCAAACCTTGCTGGCTACGCCCATAAAGTACCCGATCCATACTACCATCAAGGAGGATATCATAGTGGAGGACATTCTGGTTACAACCATAGAGCAGCTGATCCAACCTTTGGAAGACCTTTGCATAGACCTCATGCTCAATATGGAAATTATGGAGGTTACAGGCCGTATCAACCATACAGACCACAAGCACAACATTATCAAGGTCCTACTTACCCTTATCCACAACCTCATCATAAAACTATGCAAACGTATAAACCAGAAACTCATAAAATGGATCCCTATAAACAAGAACAACATTATAAACCAGAACAACACTATAAACCAGAACAACACTATAAACAGGAACAACAGTACAAACCAGAACAACACTATAAACCTCCTCATCAATCCTATCAGTATTACCCTTATGCTCCTGCCTATCCACAACAGCCTCATTTTAAACCTTCTCAAGGCTTTGGTCACAAAATTGAAGATAAAGGTGAACATCATTTAAGATCATCAGATGTATTCGAAACGGTAAATGGAAAAGATGAGCAAAAATCTTTTGAAGAAGAGATCAAAGAGCAGCATACTTTGAAAAAGATGGAAGACATCTCCAAGCAGAGGCTTGCAGACAGTTGGATTCCTGAAGAAGTGGAAGAAATTTTTGTTGGAGAAGCTTCTCCAGTAAGTGAAGATGACCACCTCAGCAATGCTGATGCTAAACCTCTAGAAGACGAAAAGTTCGTAAATCCTAACGTTGATGGTAATGAAGCAGACCAGAGAATGGCTGATCCTAATACGGGAACAGGTGGATACATTCACCCCAGTCATAATGGTGGTGCAAAGGAAGCAGAAGATGAAGAAAATCGAAGGGTTGCTAGTTTTGGTAATCCAGAACGTGAAAATGTTCAACCAGACGATCAAGTTAACGTAAAAGATGAAGAAGAAAAAGGTTTAAGAAGCGCAAGCTTTGATCACCCAGAAAGCAGTTTAGGCCATTCAGAAGGTGATGATGTTCACATTCATCATAATGAGGATCCAAAAGAAATAGATGATGAAGGTTGGCGAATTGCAAGTGCTCCAGAAAGTGACACAGGCCACTTTATTGACAATAACGAAGCTGAAAATGTAGGTATCCAAGATGGAGGAGGCTGGAGAAGCGCAGAATATGGTCCCCCAGCAATCGATCACGCCCATCCAAGTCAAACAGGCGGAGCAAAATCAGCAGAAAATGGGGGTTGGAGAAGTGCCAGTTACCCAGCTGTAAGTGATCATGTCCATCCAGATCATAATGGCGGAGCAAAATCAGCAGAAAATGGAGGTTGGAGAAGTGCAAGTAACCCAGACGTAAGTGATCGTGTTATTCCAAGCCATAATGATCACCCAGTAGACGAACATGTTCATCCAAGTCATAATGATCACCTACCAGCAAGTGATCTCGTCCATTCAAGCCATATTGGTGGAGCAAAATCAGCAGAAAATGGAGGTTGGAGAAGTGCAAGTAACCCAGATGTAAATGATCATGTCCATCCAAGCCACAATGATTACCCACCAGCAAGTGATCTTGTCCATCCAAGCCATAATGGTGGAGCAAAATCAGCAGAAAATGGAGGTTGGAGAAGTGCAAGTAACCCAGATGTAAGTGATCATGTCCATCCAAGCCACAATGATTACCCACTAGCAAGTGATCTTGTCCATCCAAGCCATAATGGTGGAGCAAAATCAGCAGAAAATGGAGGTTGGAGAAGTGCAAGTAACCCAGATGTAAGTGATCATGTCCATCCAAGCCACAATGATTACCCACCAGCAAGTGATCTTGTCCATCCAAGCCATAATGGTGGAGCAAAATCAGCAGAAAATGGAGGTTGGAGAAGTGCAAGTAACCCAGAAAATGATCATGTCCATCCAAGCCACAATGATTACCCACCAGCAAGTGATCTCGTCCATTCAAGCCATATTGGTGGAGCAAAATCTGCAGAAAATGGAGGTTGGAGAAGTGCAAGTAACCCAGATGTAAATGATCATGTCCATCCAAGCCACAATGATTACCCACCAGCAAGTGATCTTGTCCATCCAAGTCATAATGGTGGAGCAAAATCAGCAGAAAATGGAGGTTGGAGAAGTGCAAGTAACCCAGATGTAAGTGATCATGTCCATCCAAGCCACAATGATTACCCACTAGCAAGTGATCTTGTCCATCCAAGCCATAATGGTGGAGCAAAATCAGCAGAAAATGGAGGTTGGAGAATAGTAAATGTTGGTTCCTCAGGAGGCGAAGGTGATCTAACACAAGATGAAGGACTGAGAATGGCTCAAGGAGAAAATGAGAATGGATCATTCGAAAACAGGATAGAAGCGTCTTAAAATATTACTCCCATTTTTTGTACTTTTATACGTAGTAAACTTTAATATTTTTGTGAAACTTTTTTAATAATAAATGGCTAAATGAAATGTTGATTTTGATTTACATGTATATTAGATAATTATAAAAAAGTAATACGTACTTGGACATAAGGATCCCCATTTAATATTAATTTATATCACATTTTACCACTTCTAAATTTGACTGAAAAACGCAAATTACTTGTCATTTTGACAAAATGAAAATCAATCAAAGAAACTTCAAATTTTTGTTTATTATTGAACCTAGTCAAAAGTTCGTGAAAACTAAGGAATTAATACTAACTTCTTTCAAACTTAAACCTTAAAAACTCTTAAATTTTTTAACTTATTTTCGTTTAGAAAACTGCAAAGCTTTACAAATATATTTTTGTAATTAACACGCAATTATTTAATCAATTAAAATTAAAAGTGAAAGCATCGGTAGGTTGACCGAATTCGAAACCAGTTCCTAAAAATGAGAGTCCTCCCATCCCAGGATTTTGAGACTGGTCTGAAGTTTTCATTAAACTTGAATTAAAATCAGGTGAAATAACATCGTATGAAGAATTCAATTCACCTAAAAGGAATAAAAAAAAATGTTAATTTTTGACCATATAGTGGCATACAGGGTCTTACGGAGAGTATCGCTTGATAAGAAAAAACCCATACCAAAAATAAATAATGAACTATATCCTCCTCAGATGTGGTCATATTTATTTTATTCAATAAAAAAAAAATAAAAAAAAAACAAAAAAATCAAAAAATTCAAAAAAATCAAAAAATCAAAAATTCAAAAAATCGAAAAAATCAAAAAATAAAAAAAAATCAAAAAAAATCAAAAAAATCAAAAAAAATCAAAAAAATCAAAAAATCCAAAAAAATAAAAAAAAAATTAAAAAAATCAAAAAAATCAAAATCAAAAAAATTAAAAAAATCAAAAAAATCAAAAAAATCAAAAAAATCAAAAAAATCAAAAAAATCAAAAAAATCAAAAAAATCAAAAAAATCAAAAAAATCAAAAAAATCAAAAAAAACAAAAAAATCAAAAAAAATCAAAAAAATCAAAAAAATCAAAAAAAATAAAAAAATCAAAAAAATCATAAAAATTAAAAAAATTAAGTCAAAAAATCAAAAAAATAAAAAAATCAAAAAAATCAAAAAATCAAAAAAATCAAAAAAATTATAAAAATCAAAAAATCAAAAAAATCAAAAAAAAAAAAATCAAAAAAATCAAAAAAATCAAAAAAATCAAAAAAATCAAAAAAATCAAAAAAATCAAAAAAATCAAAAAAATCAAAAAAATCAAAAAAAATCAAAAAAATCAAAAAATCAAAAAAAATCAAAAAAAAAACAAAAGAATCAAAAAATTAAAAAACAATGCAAATCTGTTTTAAATAATATAATAAAATATAACATAATGGCCGAAATTAGTCAATACAGATTTTTTATTATTATTATTATTATTATTATGATTATTGAGTAACATTTGCGAATATAAACAAAAATGTATATTTTTTCAAACTGACCTAATTCCCCAATGGAAGTATCCATAAATTGTGTGATATTTCCAAAACTGTATGGAATATCGTTCGGTTTTGTCATGTTTTCAGTATTTTGGCTTCCGATATTGTTCTTAATCATTGAAGTACCCTGTTTGTCCAAATCAGTTTTATTATACTCTGGTCGATTATCGAGTTTTGGTTTTTTGAATGTAACGCTTTCATCAAAGGCGCATGAGTCAGATTGTGTTTTATAGCCACTTGTACCTAAAAAAGGGTATTTAAAAAGATGCGAACTATAAGATATTATAAATATATGAATGATACTTTGGGCTCAATGTTTGGGTGTGGATAAGTATTAACGGTTTTGGAATGTGCTGGCAAATTGGGCGATTAACAGTAGAGCATTACTTAAACATCTTAGACAACGTGAAGTTTTACCTGACAATTTTACCATTCAACATTTAAGAACCAGTTTGGTATATTTGTAAATGTTTATAATAATTATAATATTAAAGGAAAAGAGACTGGTTCAACAACAACAGCAATACAATTGGAATTTTGAAAATATAAAAATGAAAAATCCCAATACCCAAATTATGAAAATTACACCGGCATGTCCCCAAAGTGAAAACAAAGCAAAGAAACATTGAAAAAACCGAGAATTAAAGAAAAGAAAAATGACTGCATCGACCAGAAGTCGAACCTGAAACCTTCGAACTGTGGCCGTCGCTATCACAGTCCAGGTTCCAGGTATTGTAAGAAGAAACACAAAAAATAATGGGTTAAATTCTAAAATGGCATTTTTCGTGTTATAGACCTGATGTTGGCCATGATGCCCGAAACTGGTCGCCCTTAGACCTATTAAAATATATACAGATTTAAAGTTTTATTATTCTTATTGAGTAATAATAAGCTCTCAAAGGAATATCAAAAACCCAAAGGAATTCTCAGGAAAAACTTCTGGAAAAATCCTAGAAAGCAAATGGATAAAAAAGACGAATGAGCTTTGTATAAATTCATAAAACTCTTAAAAAATGAACTTTATAAAATCTAGAAAATGCAGTTGTTAACTTTGTTTATATAAGTTAATGTAAAAAAATGCTTACTCCCTCCTATGGAAAACGGCATATTCATTTGAAAATTCTGATTTTCAGTTAATATTTGCGCATTGTTGCCAAATGTTGGATACTCATTAAAATTGTTAATCGTAGAATTTTTCTCATTTTGAACATTAAACTTATTTTCTTGAATAGCAGTTTTGGAGCCTAAAAATGACATTTTTACGCAATCTGCTTAACATTTATTTGTACCTAAATCTAATTATGAAGAACAGGATAATTTAAGATCATATTACTGATCACAAGGTCCCGTACCAGTCCCGTTTCAAAATAACTATCATGATTTATTTACATTAAAATTATTCAAACATTTCAGAACAAAGTATTGCGCAACATAGTGAAGGGTTCCTTGGTATATTCATAGACTACGTTAAATCTGTAGTCTGGCTGACGAGTCAAGAGAGGCCTCATCGATTCAAGGGGATGCAGATCTAGTGAAGCCTAAGTATAATTATTTTAGATATTTATACAGGATGGACCACCGGTAACGCCTTGATCTGTAGAGCCAAATCTATTCTATTTTATTTTAATATGTTTCCACAGCGAGATGTATATCAGAAAAGGCAACAATTTCAAAATAATTTGAAATATACAGGGTTTTTCAAGAAAGTGATACAAATAAAAGTTAGGTTTTTTTAATGGGACATCTTGTATTTTATTTTATATTTGAATTGTCTTCGCTTTTTCCATTATAACAATAACAAATAGTATGAGATTACATAATTAGTTTTACATGAAAATCGTATTGATTTCAATGGCCGGTATACTAAAAAATAAACAATTGGAATTTTTTTTACTGTAAAAGTTTTTCGATATTAGTCAAAATTGAACAGGGTGAGTCAGAATTCAAATACATATTTTTTTTTAAATTGACAACCCTGTTTGTATATCATCATTTAAAAGTACCTTAATTATACTTTCAATTGAATCGAGTATTCCCTATATCTTAAGTTAATAATTTTGAGGGATTTTTAATTTTAAATGAGAAAAAAGATTCACAAAATTGCTTAATTTTAACTGGTGACTGGTTAATAAGAAATAGACTGTTAATTGATTATTAGAATTTAACCAGCTATAATTTATTATCGACTGAATAAGTTTTGACAATGTCTAATGCAACTCAATAAAAAAAATACCTAAAAATAGCAACCAAAAATGTTTACATAATAGTTACTCTATTTTAAATTTTTTGACAGATTTAATTTAATTAGAAAAGTTTCTCTAAGTGGCCTCCAATAATAGTATGTGAGTTAAGAATTTTATGTGTGAGCACATTATACTAGATAATAACGTTTGCGTTTATAAATCTTGACTACAGGTCCTCATGAGTAGCATAACTTAAAAGGTACTGGATCACCATGGTAAGCTATCCATCCAGTTCTCAAGTCGGATGGCTTGGGTCTTGAAGAAGTAGCCGAAGAAGAAGAAGAAGAAGAAGGGATCGACAATGACCGGAAGGTGCGTGACAGAGCTGCACTTACCTCCTTAGGTCAGCAGATATAAAAGAAATGTCGAAGAAGGTAGGAAAAGGTAGCCAGGTGTCATAAGTACAGGTGTGTCACCTGTCACCTATACAGGTGAGCCTGAAGAGTATGGAGCAGCCTCGCCTAGTCTAGTTCATATTGTATGAAAGATAAAGAAGATTAAAGCTGATCCAGAACTAAATAAAAACATCAAGCCCAGATCAACAATGGTATAAATCTTGATTTATTTTCGTTTATATCTCAGTGATCTATTTTTGATCAGATATTGATCTCTTTTTAATCAGGTCTTGATTAGCTTTTTATCAGAACTTAATCAGCTTTTCATCAGGACTTAATCAGCTATTTTCTTCTTTTTCTTTTATACAATATAGACTAGCCTAGGCAATGCTCCTCAATACTCCTCAGGCTCACCTGTACAGGCGACAGTACCTACAGGTGATACACCTGTGCACACCTGTAGGCCCGAGTAAGTTCCCATCCTGTAAACTGGATCGAAACCTGCTAGACCCATTCCGTACACCCCCCTGCTAACTCCTCTTAAGGGTCATCAAGTTCAATAGATTTATATGTCATGCCTTCTAAAAGGGAATGAAGGATGACATACTATCATCATTTTAACAGGACGTTGCTGAAGATTTACCCCTGTTATGTCATCTGTTTGTGTATCTTGTGCGTGTGCATTCCTGTTGTGTCCCCAGTCAGGTAAAAGTTTTCCTAGTCTCCTAATTTGGTGACTAGGTGGATTTTCTCCAACTAGTCGTCTAAGCTATTCGATCTGCTCTGCAGCAGGAGGTACTTTTCAAACATAGCAAATAATAATATTAATAATAAACACTATTTGTCGTTGTCCCTTACCAGGGAATACCTATTTTCAATACTTAAATAGATTACCTTACGATGTTTGAATGAATATAACATTTTACCCATGAAAAATCTAATTTCGAATTTTACTCTTTTTCAATTTCATTTGAAACAATTAATTGGTATATTACTATTTATTATCAAGGAAATCATCTAATAAAGTTATAGCAACTCCTACTTAAACTACTGGTTGTTCTGCAGGATAAATTAACTTTTCCAAAACCGACCTGATGTCCCCAAATTTATTTTCCAATGCATCCTGATTTAAAATTCCGCCCTTTTGTGATTCAATTTTTTTTTCTTCGTTTAAATGACTCTACAATCTTCTAATAGCCACTAGAGTGGCTATTAGAGGTAGGTGTATGTAAGAAATAGCCAATCTCTAATCATTTCAAAAGTCCTTTGCCAATACTACATGTGCAGAGATTTTTTACTCAGCATACATTTTACTTCTTTTCTAGTAGGTGGGAGCTTTGTGCTGCTATTAAAGCTGTCGAGACATTCATCTACCTACTTAATGAACAAAAGTAGCTGTAACAATGGATCTCTGTTCCAATTCACCTAACATAATTATAGCCATTTTGTAATATATTATTAAACACACACATTATACAGTGGTTTTCTTAATAAATTGGAAATTACTTACCTCTAGAAAGAAACGTGTACAAAAACGCGAATTTGGTTCTAGAAATTGCTTCATGCAAAAAATTATACGCGAAAATAAACATTCCTCCACCAAAGAAAATTAATTAAACAACAAAATCAGACTCAAAGAAATAAACGGGACCCAAATTAAATTAATTTTAATAAAATGCACACGTTCATAACAACATTCATAACATTGTCAGTTCTAATCTATAAGTCGACGTGAAAAAATCAGTGACCTCTAAGATTGGTGTTAGTTTTATTGGAGAGAAATAAGTATATGTAAAGATCAATGTAAAAGAGAAAAAAAGTCATATACGTAATTTAAATGGACCACCGAACAAATTTTCCTATTAAGTTACACGTCTCTGTTGTCTCTGATACAGGTCATTGAAATTAATACGATTTTCATATAAAACAGATTATAGCATGTAAAATACCCTATGTAATTTAATACTATTTGGTATTATTATAATGGGAAAAGCGAGAGCAATATAAATAGTAAATAAAATACAGGATGTCCCATTTAAAAAACCTAACATTGCTATGTATTACTTTCCTGGAGAACCCTGTATATTTCAAAATTATTTTAAATTATTGCTTTTTCTTATATAGGTACATCTTGCTGTGAAAACATTCAAAAATCAAATAGTTTTTGCTCTACAGACTGAGGCGTTACCGGTGGTCCACCCTGTATACTGTTTTTGATTTATATGCTTTTATCCTCCGTCCTTATTTATGGATTATTAATAATAATACTCTACCAATGTTGCAATAAATATATTTTTTTAATTCTAAAGAAAATGAGCTTACTCTGTCTCATGGAAAACGGCATATTCATTTGAAAATTCTGATTTTCAATTGATTTTTGTATATTGTTGCCAAACGACAGATTCTCGTTGAAATTGTTACTTGCAGAATTTTTCTCATTTTGGACATTCAAATTGTTTTCTTGAATTGCAGTTTTGGGGCCTAAAAATGGATCAAAATTGTTATGCAAAATTTCATATAATAAACTTTTCGATATTGATTAAGAATTATTTTACTGTAAATATTAAAACATTATCCATATCTACACGCAGAATATTTAATTGCATTATTTTAGTATGTCACCTTACCTGTAGCAGTTCTACCAAATTTTTCATTCGGCGCCTTAAAATAATCGCTAGGAACCGTTTTATTGGGTGTCTTGTTATTTGAAGTCTTTTCATTAAAATCTTTTAATTGTTGATTTTTTAGATTCATTTCATTTCTAAGTCCGCTTAATTTGTCGGGAAAATTGACTGGTCCTAATATAAATTATAACAATAAAAAATTAATATATTTATATTTAATAAACAATTTACCTGGTGTTCCAGGAAAATTCATCTTCCTTGCCAATGATTCTTCCACATTCGTTTTAGCATCCTTAATAGAGGATGTAACTTTTCCTTGACTACTATTATCGTAAGTCTCAGTCTGTTTTTCGAAATTATTTTTTTCATTGACCGTTTCTTTCGGCTCTGGATCGTATTTAAATGTATTGTTCAAGTTAGTTTCAACATTTTTACCAGATTCTTGCGAAAACATATTCATGATATTTGCCTCTTGGCTTGAAACATTCAAATTTTCCAATTCTTGAAATGCTCCACTTTCGGGTTGATCATTTTGGGTCATTTCGTTTGAGGGTTGGGATGGTATCTATACATAATGAATTTAAATATAAACTTATTTATTCATAAATCTACTTATAAATTTATTTGTTTATATATTTACACATGTTTATATATGAAATTATTTATTTATTTTTAAATTCATTTATTTATTATTTATATTGAATTTGCATAGGTACATTTATTTATTTATTTATAAATATATTTGTTCATGTATTTATACATGTTTATTTATGAAAGTATTTATTTATTTTTAAATTCATTTACTTATTTATTAATTAATTTTAATTTATAAATTTATTTATTTATTTATTTATTTTAATTGTTTATGTATTTATATCATGGTATAAAAAATAAAAGGTAGGATATCAACAGTGTCAAAAATAGGACGGCCACGCGCATGGCGTCACGCGTAGAGTTTGTATAGGCGCGAATTTAAAAATACTAACGAAGTGTGAGGAAAATATATGCTAACTTATAGAAATTTGATGAATATTAAGGATAATATTTTAGAAATTACATGAAATATCTATGGATATTATTATGGGATAGTTAAGGAAAGAACTATGAAGGAACTTAAATGCAAATACATACATAAAAGAAATATTTTTTTAAACAGTTTTTTCTTTTTTTTTTTTTAATGATTTATTTTGTTTATACAAATTCGACTTCTAAAGAATAGTTTTTATAACCAGGATAATAAAATAAGGGGTATCTTCGCAACTCGAAACTGGGGATTCTGGTAACAATTTCACATCTGGATATGCCGGAAATTTTTACCTGATTAGGATTTGCAACTCATTTACCTGCATTATTTTACCCAATTGAATAAAAATAAGTAAAAATTTTTTTTTTCATATAATGCAGACATTCATATAATATAATGCAAAACATAAAAAAATGTACCAAATACAAATAACTGTTACAATACAAAATTAAAATAATATGTCGCTGCATTTTTCCTGGACCTAGTGGCTGACAGTTTTTTAAATCATTTATCAAGTACAAGTCGAAATTTTCTTTTTTACTTTTTTTTGGTAACATTTACAATTTTACTGCAAGGGCTGCTCCATGCCGAATTTTCTTGGGAAGGATGGTAGAATTGCCTATTTAGCATATTTTTTTTTTAATAAAAGAATTTTAATCTAGGGAACGGCATGCTCCCCTGGAGCCGCCCTTGGGCTACTTCTAACTAAGCTCTTACTGTCGAGGAAAGCGAGAAACCGTAATATCTTTCTTGAATCCTTTCCTTTAATTGTTACTGTTACATCCGTACTGCAATTTTTCAATGTTTTTTATTAAAACCACTCACAGAGAATAAAGTTTACAACACAATATAATACAAATATCTGCTTAGTATCTTATAAACGACTCACAAACTACTGCAACATGCGTATGTCATATGATATTTATTTCACGCCAGCTCTACTAACTCTACGCATGACGTCAGCGCCGCCATGACACCATGCGCGATATCCCCCCCTGTATTTATATGTTAGTTATGAATTTTTAATTTGTTTATTTTTTAATTTATTTATTAATTTATTTAGTTATAAATTTATGCATGATTTTATAAATTTATGGATACATTTATTTGAAAATAAAATGAATTTAGCTCAAAGCCGAATATCACATAAAACACAACGACCGTTTTCCCTTCAGAAAACAACTACTCCTTTGGCTAATACCACAATAGGCATTGAATTACATCCGAAGGAAAAAAAAAAACAGCAGAGATAGAAATTAATTTTCAACACTCTCTACTTTGATTTTGCTCACCAAGGAGAACATCATTCTTGGACCGGTTTCGTCCTTATTAGGACTCCTCAGCAAGAAATAGATAGGTTCTCAATTCCAGTCTCTAATGGAATTAACAAATGCTACACATTTCACCAGTATACCATAAAGTTGGTTACGGAGAGAATAAAATTCAAGTAGTGAAAATGGTGTCGCCATCTGTTCTTAGTAAGCAAAATCAAAATGCGCTATGGTACCCAGTTTGAAAACTAGGTGGAACCAAATAAACCAGGCGGGCAATTTGTAAACGATAATAAAATATCAAAACTCAAATGTGATAGATGCAAAATGAAAATAAAATGAATTTAGCTCAAAGCCGAATATCACATAAAACACAACGACCGTTTTCCCTTCAGAAAACAACTACTCCTTTGGCTAATACCACAACAGGCATTGAATTACATCCGAAGGAAAAAAACAGCAGAGATAGAAATTAATTTTCAACACTCTCTACTTTGATTTTGCTCACCAAGGAGAACATCATTCTTGGACCGGTTTCGTCCTTATTAGGACTCCTCAGCAAGAAATAGATAGGTTCTCAATTCCAGTCTCTAATGGAATTAACAAATGCTACACATTTCACCATTTTATTATCGTTTACAAATTGCCCGCCTGGTTTATTTGGTTCCACCTAGTTTTCAAACTGGGTACCATAGCGCATTTTGATTTTGCTTACTACCCAGACAGCACACCAAATCCTTTGGATATCTAATGAACATCCCAATATCTACTGAATGTCCAGTCCATGGTGGATATCTATTTTATATCCATGAAATGTAATTTATAGACATGCAAATGTCCATAAATAATAGTAATTATATAGCAAATTATTAAAAAATTACGCCATTGTGCTCGCCATTGTAGCTAATAGTACCGTTCAGATATTTAAAATTAATTTTTTTAAGGTGTATTCTATATCCCATGGACATCCACTATAAATATAAATATATCAAAGTCTAACCGCGGACGCAAACCATCGTGGATATCTACTAGATGTAATTTTTGATTTTGCTTCCTAAGTATAGATGGCGATACCACTTTCGTATCTACTCATGCTCAACCCGCCGTAAATGAGTTCGATCGAATTTTTTTGGCAATCACACTCTATTAGAGACTGGAGTCGAGAATTTCCATTTATTGCTGAAGAGTCCTAATAAGGATGACTTTCTCCTTAGTGCCCTTATATAGTGGGCAAAATCAAAGGCAGATTGTTGGAAATATTTTTTATCTCTATTTTCTTTCGAGGTTATTCAATAATCATTGGTTACTTATGAACCTCTATAAAATATTTTGCTGAATATCTGAATTCTATATCCATATTGGATATCCACAAAATATATTCTGTGGATATCTCTGGGATTTCTTGTATTGTCTGGAAGATACTCATTAGATATTTTGCTGAATATCCATAGGATATCTTCTATATTCTGGATATAGACGGACATTTGGATATCCATATTAGATCCACGGAATATTTCTGATATCCTGTGGATATATTGGATATCCACAAAAGATATTCTGTGGATATCTCTGGGATTTGGTGTGTTGTCTGGGTAAGAACAGATGGCGACACCATTTTCACTACTTGAATTTTATTCTCTCCGTAACCAACTTTATGGTATACTGGTGAAATGTGTAGCATTTGTTAATTCCATTAGAGACTGGAATTGAGAACCTATCTATTTCTTGCTGAGGAGTCCTAATAAGGACGAAACCGGTCCAAGAATGATGTTCTCCTTGGTGAGCAAAATCAAAGTAGAGAGTGTTGAAAATTAATTTCTATCTCTGCTGTTTTTTTTTTCCTTCGGATGTAATTCAATGCCTGTTGTGGTATTAGCCAAAGGAGTAGTTGTTTTCTGAAGGGAAAACCGTCGTTGTGTTTTATGTGATATTCGGCTTTGAGCTAAATTCATTTTATTTTCATTTTGCATCTATCACATTTGAGTTTTGATATTTTATTATCGTATACATTTATTTGTTTATGAATTTATTTTTATTTGAGTTTTTCTGAATTTATTTATGAACCTAATTATGAATTTATTAATGAATTTATTAATGAATTTATTAATGAATTTATTAATGAATTTATTAATGAATTTATTAATGAATTTATTAATGAATTTATTAATGAATTTATTAATGAATTTATTAATGAATTTATTAATGAATTTATTAATGAATTTATTAATGAATTTATTAATGAATTTATTAATGAATTTATTAATGAATTTATTAATGAATTTATTAATGAATTTATTAATGAATTTATTAATGAATTTATTAATGAATTTATTAATGAATTTATTAATGAATTTATTAATGAATTTATTAATGAATTTAATAATGAATTTATTAATGAATTTATTAATGAATTTATTAATGAATTTATTAATGAATTTAATAATGAATTTATTAATGAATTTATTAATGAATTTATTAATGAATTTATTAATGAATTTATTAATGAATTTATTAATGAATTTATTAATGAATTTGTTAATGAATTTATTAATGAATTTATTTATAAGTTTATTTATGAATTTATTTAGGAATTTATTTATTATTGAATTTATTTATTAATGACTTTAATTATTAATGAATTAATTTATTAATGACTTTAATTATTAATGAATTAATTTATTAATGACTTTAATTAATATTGTCTAATTTATTTGTGAGTTTATAATGTTAATGAATTTATTTATTATTTTTTTGGATCAATTTTTTATTTATACAAGGTAAACCAAAATTACAATACTTCTGAGAGTATTAGAACACCTAAAAATAAGTAGTGTTTGTCTAACAGATCTATATCCAAAACGATATTAAGCGTAAAACGAGCAACAACCCCTAAAACTGCCTTAATAACTATACTTTTATACGTGCCTTTTTAATTACTCTCTCGGCTTCGTTTTTGTTCTCGAGTACTTCTTCTTTTTTTTCTACATGCAAATTTTGGCTACTTTTTCTTCGAAAAGATCTCCTTGCCTTAATATTTTCAATACATTTTTGCATTTTAGCTTGTACGGCTTGTTTTTTTTCTTCTTTAGTCATCGTATCGATTTCTGATGTAACGGAATCTTTTTTAGTGACAGAAATAAGTTTATCTTCCAATATTTTGATTTTCTCAGACGACTTAGATGCGCACGACTGCTTGTTTTTAATAATACTCGTATTAAACGACGGTTTAGGGGGAGCAAACGAATTATTTTGTTGGACAAGACCATAATTTAGGAAATATGCAGGAGGTCTAGGAAAGTTTCTTTGAGAAAGGACTATAAATTAAAAACAAAAATTAATATATTTTGTAACTGTCATGATACAAAAAAATGTATTTTTACCATTTTTAGATGGAGATGGGTTCGAAAACATTAATTTTTGCAATGCATTATTTGTGGCCTAAAACATATTTAAAAACAATTAAAAAAAATTTTTATGGTAAAATGATTTTTATTCTATAAATATTTGATTCATGTTTGTTAATGTTACCAGAATATTCTTAATATTCTCGTCTATACGAGGATATTCATAGAACATTCTATATATATTCTTATAGAACATTCTAAAAAAAGAATACTGTCATGAAATTCTTAAGCCGACCCTGTCTAAAGCAAACGCGACCTTCAGATTGGCACCCGACTCATGCTCGAAACGACAGAATAGTGTGCTTTAAATAAATAAACTATAAATAAATTAAACTACCGTCACAATACTGTAATCTTGTCAGAATATTCTGTGCTGTCCAACAGGGTCGCTTTATTTATAAAGACGCTTAAGTAATTACTAGATATTTTGCAAAACTCTATAAGACGTTTGAAAGTTTCAACCAGAGATATGGCTCTTTAACGACCCTTTTAACATCTATGGACTCAGGATCTTTGATTTAACGTCTTCTCTGAAATACAACATACCCACTATACCTCGTACTTATTGATCTAATGCCTGTCAGCTGTGATATGCTACTATGCCGTCGTTGTTGGGCATTACAATGCATTTCCAGTCATCCATCCTAGTACTAACCGCAGGCGAAACTGCTTAACTAAACTTAAATACAGGATCTTATAATTAATATTAAATTACCTGATTACAATATTTATTTTTCAAATTAAATAATGTAATGTATAATTATAGAATCTCTTTGGAAAGCAACGGTGGACCTCTGTGATAAAAAGTATATATAGTAATAATGTCATGCCAAATGTATATTCTCAAAAAGTTTTTCTTACCTGTTTATTTTGGACCGTTTTTTTATTCATATTAATCTTTTTCTTTTCTTTAGTCTTTACAATTAGTTCCATAAGGTCCTTCAATAATTGTTTTAATGTGTTTCCGTTTTCTTCAATTTTTTTAACACCTTCATCATAGTCTCTCTTGTTCAACCAGGCTGTAGCTAATGAGATATAATCCTCATAAAAGAGTTTCTGACGAATGTTAAATTTATAGTTCTTTCGCCATTCGATTTCATTTAATTCGTTCTAAAATGTTTTAGTCCAATTAATATGAACCGATAAATCTAGATGGGGTATTAAACCTCAAAATAAGGAATTTAACAATATGTTAAAATGAAATTTCAAAATTCTTAATTATCTCTGCTGCAACCTAACCACTTTATTTTTTTTTGTGTGTCATCGGCATCAACTACTAAGGTTATTAGCCTCACTTAAACTTCTATTTCTGTTTTTCGAATCTGAAAGTTTAATACCTCATTGTATTGCTAGGGAAGCCAGTGACACTTTTTTGGTACACATTTGCGCAAGACTAATTTACAAATGTATCGTTCATTCTTTCCTTACAGAAAATGTAAATACTTTGCTCCAGGCGCACCAGCGTTGGATCAGTTAATGATAATGTCTTGAAAAAGCCGTTGTAGAAAATGCTAATGTTATACCTATATTTGATTAGATAATCACCTTGACATAAACATTCATGGCTCAGTTCGTTAACGCTCTTAACTTTGAAATTTGCAACCCGGGTTCATTTCCCAAGGACCTTGTATAATTTTGCAAATAACACACCTAAAAGTGACACTGGCTACCCTACCATGATATCAATCTCACTTTTATCTTACTTCAAAGTTTTTAATATTAAATTGAATTCTTTTCAAATGGGCCTTCTTTTCCGCTAATATTTTATAAGTTGGATTAGTTCTGGCCAATTTTTCTTTACATCTTTCATAATGTTTCATGTGGTCATCCAATATTTTGTTACCTCGTTCTTTTCGCATTTTTAATTTATCATTTACGCATGCCTGATGAGCTTTAAGGAGAGTTAACGAATCTGTGTTAATATGTAGAGACTGCTTTAGCCTGAAATATAAAATATGCCTACAGGGAACGTAATTTCAGTAAATTATATAACATTGGTGATATCAGCGGTAAATGTTAAGAAGTATTTGCCTTCCATAATAGAATATTAACAACTTAGTTTGCATATATTTAAATTTTTTTATGAAATGAAAGTTGGATTTATTACATATTGCTCCCCCCTGATATACCTCTACCCCCCCCCCCCCCCGAAAGATTTAAATAAAAACTGCGTATCAAAAAAACGTAGTAGGTATTTATTATTTATTCAATTTAATTTCCAATAAATTGAAAGAGCTTAATCTATTATAAGTGGTCTCCAAGCAATAATGCTAGACAAATATCCAGCTGCAATTTACACGCACTGCTTAGCTCATAGACTTAACTTGGCTGTAGCAGACTCATGTAAAAATTTTCCATCAGTATTGACATATTTTTGTACTTTGGAAGCAATTTACGAACATTTCTCAGATCCACAGAACCATATCAAATATAAACAAATATTACAAGACCTCAATAATGTCCCCAGAGAGTTGAAAAATCAGTCCGATACTCGTTGGGTGTGTCGATATACAACTTGCGCCACGATGTTAAAACAAGTTTCGAGGGAATTGTCATTGCTTTGAAAAACGAAGTTTCTAATAAAAATGATCACAGCAATCGGCATATTATCTAGCATTTGTAAGGGGTTTTCTCGCCACAGAGAAAACGATTCCTTACGAATGGCGCTGGTTACGGACGATTCTCGAGCGCCAGTTTTTGGTTATGGTTTACTCCACAAACTCTCGAAACGGCCTCGAGAGTACTCGGGTAGCTACAGATGGAGATGAAAAATTCCAGGGGTCAAAGGTCACTTAGACACAGGTAATGCTGGGCCACAAGTAACGGGTTTTAATCGTTGCTTGGGCTGGTACAGAATTTATCACTAGCTAAAATACAAGGGAGAAATAAAGTATGGAATTAGTAACCAGTAATACGGCAAGTTAACATTGACACTTACATTGTGAATAACTATTTACACATTAAAAACAAAAAAATTATGTATTTCAACGCCCACCTTCGTTGCGATGATAGTCAATATAACCTTGAACAAACAAAACAAAAAACGGACGGTATTGAATCCCGACTAGTCTCAATCAGACGTTAAAATTGAATTAAAATAAAATGAGTGTTTTGGTCACAGAAAAAATTAACTTGACTACTTGTCAGTAATTAAACTAAAACATAATGTTCCATTTCGGTAAGGGAAAATTCTAAGAGCTGTCGTAGCAAAAATTAACTATTTAACTGTCGTATCGGGAATTAAACTAAAATGTAGGTACTTTACTATTTCGGTAAGGAAGAATTATCTGAACGGTCGCAGAGAGTGCGAGGAGACAGGGTCGTGAAAGAACTACTTGTAGTAAATATTCGAAAAGGAAAAAAAAATAATTTATACCCGGGGTAGCCTATTATCCCAGAATGAGCTTATCGTCATCACGAGCCCGCTCAGACAGGGACAGGATACTATTTAAGATTATTTAAATTTGCGGTTTGCACATTAACTAAAAAAAATAACACGGATAGCACCTAATCCAAGAATGAACTGATCGTCATCACGAGCCCGCTCATACAGGGACAGGATGATATTTAAGTTTATTTAAATTTGCGGTAAAAGAATAAACAAACTATTAAAAGAGGAAAACACATCTCCTCGAAAACTCCGTTTCTAAACATTCCCAACTTATTTGTAACGCGGCACTTACTAAACAAAAGTATTTATCAATTAAATCAAATTTTAATTCCCGATTTAACCTACCAAAAAGAAAAGTTTAATTTCTTAGGTCAGACTAACTATCAAAAGTCTAAATCAACGGTATTACAATTTTAAAGAACTAATAATCCTATTATTTATTATTTAAATCAAATTCAAATGCGACATTTTTTGAATCCGTGTACCTGTGCGGAACTGCGGAAACATATACAATGAGATACTTATATTTCGCCCAAACTGCGAGTTTGGAAAATCAAGTCCATTATCTTTGCTCCTTTGAACTTTCCTCCATTGGGCCTCCACCCACAGCGAGACTTGCTATATTAGTACTTAGTCCAGCTTCAAAAATCTATAACCGACCTAGAGATAAACTAAAAAAGATTTGCAATAATCTAGCCCACAATAATAAATGGGAGGAAAGCACCTATATAGAGGCAGACTGTAAACGCAATATTTTCAAATTTACCTCATGTAGCTTCCTAGTATATTACATGGTCTTTTTTGCTTGCTTTTTGTATAGTTGGTGAGGGGGGTTAACAACGTAATATGTCCCAGTAGTAGAAAGCTGTCGTTTAACCTGTTAAATTAAAAATAATATTGATTACAGATGGATTTTTTCGTTTTTTGCTGGTAATGAAATAATTTGCTTCTAGACGTCTATATATAACAATAAAAAAATCAATTTGCAAGCTTTTTCTGTCGTCAGGTTTTGCTACTTCCGATGAGGGGAAATCCCTACACTTACACCTTAGATTAATGAAACCCAAGATGTAACATTGCACACTGCGCATGTTGTCTATTTTAACCCAAAGTAACCCACCAATTGAAAATCATTGTTTGCACGACGCCACCCGAATTGCTTCGATTTTTCCATTCAACGATCACCTCTACCTGAGTTCAATCACCATTGACAGCTGTTTTTTGATTTATTTGTTGGTATTTTAGCAATTTAAAGTGTTCTGGTTATTCAATTTCAAGTTCAAAATGCCACGATCTATCTTGAAAAATTGTATATACAAGTACCAATGTTATGAAAGATAAAAAATATATTCGTTTTCAGCGGTAAATGTTTATTAACGTTTTGACATAAAGCGCCATGATCCTTTGGGCTGAATATTTCAGGTCCGCATTAAGGGGTTTCAATAAATATTAAGCATCAAATACATATATTTCAAAAACCAGATTTCATGTTACTTACATAAATTTACAAAAGGGTAAAATTTAGAACATTTAATTTAAATAAGAAGTAAATAGGCATTGTTGCTAATGAAATTTTGTATTTAAAAAGTAGTTTTATAAGAATGTTTACTAAAGGTTATAATCAATTATTTTCGATTTTTCAAAGATTATCGAATAATCTGTTTCAATAGACAAAAAAATGGATTATTTTAAAATAATCGATTATTTAAAATAAACAATAATTCTTTTATTGTTTTTTGTAAACACTGATTTATCGGTTAATTGGCTTTTTAATTAATCAATTATTTTTGATTTTTCAAAGATAATCAAATAGTCGATTTTAAAGGAAATACGACAAAAAAATATATTGCTTGAAAATAATCGATTGATCGAAAATAATCGATTATTTTTAATGATCGTTCATTTATTTCGATAATCACCCACCAAATGACTTTTAATAGATTTAAATTTTAAAATGTTTTCTGGTTTTAGACATATGCATTTCTAGAGGTTTATGTGACTCACCCTCTATAATAATTAATATTCCTAAAGAAAGAAGCCTTAATATACCTTTTTCCGAAGTTACAATACAAAACAGCAATTTCTCATTTTGACTAATTTTTAATATTATGTAATAGCCGTAGAAAAAATATAATGTTCCACTCATAAGATTAGATTTGCAGTATTCGCCTGCGCCCATGCTTTTTTTAAAATACTCGTAGACAATGAGTACCATTTCTTGCTCTATTAACAATATTCTAGCTATTTTAACATTTTACTGTTATCTCTTGCAGAAAAGTCTGTAGTAAATAAACGCTAACGAAATATTCTATAAAAGGTCTTCTCTTTACATAAAATGTCGTGGCATCTGTTTGATATTAAAAAATCTTGTTAATTTTATTTTATAATACAAAATTCCATTAAACATCTTTTAAATAAATCTAATATTATGATGCTAATAAACAAAGTCCGGTCCCTGTCACAGAGTTCGGGTCGCCGCCCAGTTCCCCCACTCCGTTAACCTTTCTTTGGAAATTGGCAACATTTGCGCAGGTTAAACACTGGTATATCTCTGGTCTCTTTTATCTAAAACTTACACAGAGATTTACACCGAAATTTAGCAAAGCCGGCCGACGAAAAATACTTGCAAAAAAAATGTTTTCTCCTACCACCGGGACATAGTACATGTTGTTAATCACCCCCCCCCCCTTATACCCTAGACTACAAATAGCAAGTAAAAAAAAAAACAAGATGTGCCATTTTTTGTAGGCAGATGAGGGACGATACTATGTTATCATAATACCTAAAGTGACTATATTTTGAAACGCACCTCTTCTTTTAAGACCCCTGTCAATAATGAGCTACCTCTGCTTTCGATGAGGTAGTCCGCAGTAGATTAGTAGTACAAACTTAGGTTTTTGTCTTCCGTGCAGATGTTACAATCAATAATAAAAAAAACTCTTTATGATAATGCATTATATTTACTTACGTTCTAGTAACGTGTTCCAAAGTTTCTCTCTGCAATGTAAGTTCTTTAAGTCTATGTTCGATAATTTTGTTATCTACTTTAATAATCGCATCCATTTGTGTATTTAATTTTTCAATTTCTTGCTTATAGCCTTTAGATAGATAAAATGAAAATGAGATATTCAAATAAACCAAAAAGGCTTTTGTACTTACGCTGAGAAGCTGACTTGGCTGCCCATTTTTTAACATTATTTTCGTCAACCGCAGCTTTTAACGTACTTAAAAGGTTTAATGCTTTTTTGGAGGAATTATCCATCTTACCAGTATTTACTTATTTTATCTATATAAGAAATTAAGTGGTAACTATTAGTAATACACTACTTACACTACAAGATGGCTACTTCTAGAATTTTCTATTTTTTAAATCTGCCCGCCTACTTATATTTAAATTTGATACAAACCTAACATTGCTGCCAATATCAGGGTTTAAATTATTACTATATCCGCTTCTTCTTTTTATATTCCAAAATAATACAAATAAAAATATATGTCACACGTCAATTGTCAGTTTAAAGTTAGCGAAAATGGCGTTGTGTTGTGCCAGTAAGAATTTTTAAATATTACTTTTTTTATATATCCTTTTAAATACCACTACTTAAATTAACTATTTTAACACCCTTTCCATTAACGAGCTTCGTTTAACAATTTTCATGTATTATGTATCGTAGTAATTACCGGTTAAACTTAACCTTAAACTATGTTTTCAGTTTCAAATGAAGTACCTGAGCACCCAGTGGTGTCTCCGTCATCAGGAGCAATTTTCGAGAAGAGAATAATTGAAAAATACATTCAAGAGAACGGGGTCGATCCCATTAGTGGTAAAGACCTCTCGATAGACGAACTTATTGATATAAGAAGTAAGATCCTTACCAACACTTTATTTCTAATAAAAAAGTATATTTACGTATTCTACAACGTTATCATATAAAAGTTTTACCGTTTGACATACCCATTATTTTATACATAAATATTTTAGCACCTCCGATAGTGAAACCGAAGCCTCCCAGTGCTACAAGCATTCCTGCCACATTAAAATTATTACAAGATGAATGGGATGCTGTTATGCTGTACAGTTTTACACAGAGACAACAATTACAGACTGCTAGACAAGAGTTAAGTCATGCTTTATACCAGCATGATGCTGCATGTAGAGTTATTGCCCGTCTTAACAAAGAAGTAACAGCTGCTAGAGAAGCTTTGGCTACTCTCAAACCTCAAGCTGGTATTACAACAGTTCCTCAACCTGTAAGTTGATTATAGATCATATTCTCTTATGTTTGATACTTAAAATTTCCCTTTTTTTTTTTTAAATTAGCCCCTTAAAATAACATTTAAATCAAAAATATCTTCTCTTTTAGGCTGTGGCTGCTGAGGCAGCAGGCGTGGCTAACCAACCAACTGAACAAGCTGGTATGAGTTCAGAAGTTATTCAAAAATTACAAGAAAAAGCCACTGTATTGACGCAAGAGCGTAAAAAGAGAGGCAGAACTGTTCCAGAGGAACTTACAACACAAGAACAGTTGAGATCTTTCAAAACATTGTCTTCTCTCATTGTAAGTAATACTTTTCAACAATTTTTTTTTTGTTAATAAAATTTATAATCAATAGCAGTTATGTACTTTTAGATATATTTTAGTTATGTAATGTATTATTTTTTATAAGAAACTTATCGTTTTACTAAATTGTGGTTTATACAAAGTTATTTAGAAGTAGCCCCTTCTTGATTAGACAGGAAAAAGAATTTATTAATATTGATGCCTTCAAAAAAATTATTTCACCTTTAGCTCTATTCCAAACATTTTCGTTTTGTTACTGATGTTAAGATTTTTCTTTCTCTTTCTGTAACACATAATAATGTGTCTTGAATTCATTTGACAAATATCTAGAGTTCTAATTTAATAGGTACATTTCTGATCAAAAGTTTTTTTCACTTTAAAAATCCATGTTTTATTGACTTACATAATATTTTTAATTGTAAAACTATGCTGTGCATTTTCTATAAATAAAGCCTCATTTCACATCATTACAAATGATTTAATATTGATATTATTCTGTTATTGATCATAAAATATTTGTTTCATTGTTCTATTCTCTATTTGCATACATTACTAACGAAACTTGCTTAATTTTATAAACTGAATGTTTTTAGGGTCTACATTCTGCTAGTATTCCTGGTATTTTGGCACTAGATGTTCATCAGTCAGACACTAGCAAAGTTTTAACAGGTGGAAATGACAAAAACGCTACTGTGTTCAATAAAGACACTGAACAAGTTGTCGCTATTTTAAAAGGTCACACCAAAAAAGTCACCAAAGTTATATATCATCCAGATGAAGATCTAGTATTAACAGGTAATTTATAGGACAATATTAAAGTTAAAAAAAGAATAAGAAACGTTAACTAAAATAAAATTTGTTAAATATTTTTCGCAGCTTCTCCTGATTCCACTATCAGAGTATGGAACGTCCCTACATCACAGACGACGTTACTTCTTAGGGCTCACGATGGGCCCGTCACTGGTTTATCCCTTCATCCTACAGGAGACTATGTACTATCTACCTCAGAAGATCAGCACTGGGCCTTTTCAGATATCAGAACAGGCCGTTTGTTGACGAAAATATCTGACAATTCAAATGTGGCTCTTACTACAGCTCAGTTACATCCTGACGGTTTGATTTTTGGTACTGGAACTGTTGATTCACAAGTCAAAATTTGGGATCTGAAAGAACAGAGTAATGTGGCCAATTTTACAGGTAAACATCTCAACATCTAAACATGTTAATGAGATATATAAGATTCACTATATAAAACCTAACAAAAATATATAAAATGGCCCTCACTGAATTGTATATAGGCCAACCCATCATTGAATTTGTCTTTCTTGTCCTTTGCCATCATTCACATTAATAGGTCCCCAGGAGTTACAAGGTTCAAGCATGATAGCTCTGCATTCCTCTAGGCTATTTGGAAGAAGTACTACATACTTATTTTAACTACATGTTAGATATTTAAACCATCATTCCATCTATTTTATCTACTAATGATCACTCATCCAACATATTAATATTCTTTTAGTTCTTACCACTGCCAGGTCACCTCTTGTGACCATGCTCCAATTGGCAAATAATATTAACACTTGTATTGATGTAGATTGGACACCATTTAATATGTTCCAAAAACTTGTATTTAATTATTACATTACTCTTGATTAATTATTACTTTACTGAATAAGTTGTAATATTAGTTGTAAATACCTACTGCTTATTATTAATAATATTATTATTATTTATGTATTATGATACTTTTATCCATGTTTGGATACAAATAAATACATAAATAAATATGGCCAGAAATAACTGCCAAACTGTGAGATTGTTTAAAGTAAAGCTACACCCACAGGGCAGCTCTCCCTTGAATTCATGTTTTTAATATATTTATTTATTTTTAGGACACTCTGGAGGAATTACTACCATTTCTTTCTCGGAAAATGGTTATTATTTAGCTACAGCTGCCGATGATGCTTGTGTAAAATTATGGGATTTAAGAAAATTAAGGAATTTCAAAACATTAACATTTGATGAAGGTTATCAAATTAAAGATTTGTGCTTTGATCAAAGTGGTACATATTTGGCTGTTGCCGGAACAGATGTTAGGTAAATAATGTCCAAATGTCACTGTATTATATTGAGATGTGACAATTTTGACATGTAAAATTCTAAATAAAGAGTGATAAAATATGTTTCTGTTGTTTTAGGGTTTATTTATGCAAGCAGTGGCAAGAACTCAAAGTTTTTAATGATCACACGGCGACTGCGACTGGAGTTAGATTTGGAAAACATGCTAGGTTTATTGCATCTACTTCTATGGATAGAACTTTAAAGTTGTATGGTTTAGAGTAAATTGTAACAAATGTTCCATTTTGTTTTTTTTTGTAATTTTTAATGATAATGTATTTCTTAAAAATGTGTTTTGACTATATCTTCATAAGCAATAGAATGTTCTATGAACTTTTTTATTCACAATTTGTTTTTTTAATAATAATAAGTAGAAATTTATTGACTGAATCGATAAATTTGATTAAAATTTTTGTTTTAATTTAAAATAAAATATATTTAAAATCGATTGAAATTATGATTTTTTTTCATTAGTACATACAATTTTAGTTAAATGTTTGGATTTGGTTTTTAACTAGGCCAAACACGCAAATTAAAAAAAATCGATTTCTGCCAACGAAATTACTGAAAAATTAAAATTTTACATTTTTCCTCAAATTTTTTCATTATGGTCCAATTTAGAGAAATCATGTATAAAATAAAAATTATAGAGATCGTTATCGCAAACAATTTTTAGTTTAACAATTTTCTTAAAAATCAGAATTTTGCACATTTTGTAAGAGATAAAAATGATAGACAATAATATTAGAAGTAACTTTTATTTGAAGAAATGTCTTCTCCAAACGTAAATAACAGTTATATTCCAGAAAATATAAAACTGACCGTCTATAAAGTATCCACCTAGATGTTCCGACTTTGCCCAAAATCTAATCAGTTCACCGCAGGCCAGAATAAAGCTTACGTTAAAAATTTGGTGTTTTTCTTTGTACCCGTTCATGAGTTATCGAGGGTACAGACATCAACGCGAAAAGAATCAAAACGGATTCAGGGGATCCCAAGACGTAAAAATCCGCCGAAAACTCAAGGTCAAAAAAATCATGATTCTGTAACCTACCGCACCCAGGTACCTTAATAATTTATTAATTCCATTTATTAAATATAATATTGCATTCTTATTAAATTCAAAATCCTTCATTTAACAAAAAATCTCCCAGATAATTAAATCTTATTTACGACACCTAATAAATAATAGCTATTACCACGTCCGTAAAAGATCCAAATTTCGTGCACGTGGCTGAGAACCTAGAGCAAGAAAACACCATAAAAAATATTTCTTTTCACGAAGTAATTATCATAACTCGCTTATCTTTCTATTAGTTTCGATGTTAAGACCGTTTTCGACAATATTTCGATACACAAAGCTTTCAAGACAAGTAATAAATAACCCACCCTCTTTGCGCCCACATTCGTATCTTGGATGGGAACTAAAACATAGAGACGTCACAGAAAGCTATTAAATTTAGTATAAAAAGTCTAAGCAAAAGGAGCTCGGATTCATTCAATTTTATTTATTTGATGTGCAAGCATTCATTTATTATTTGTATCCAGTTATATTTCAAGTTCAGTAGTCAGTACCTTTCCTAAACAACGTATATCCTACAATATCTCATATTCCCCGAACGCTGTCAACGTCCCACGCCTATTTCCCGACGCTTGCCGTCCCTAAATATTTTCTTCATATAATATCCTTGTCGACACCCTTCGTCACGTCCCGCACCACCTAAATAATTCTACCGTATATCTGTCCCAATGCAGTACCGTATTAAATACCTTCTTTTCCACCGCGACGCGAGGCGACGCTCAACGCTGCGACGTACCTAAATCGACGCCGCCATAACGCTAGATGAAATTAGTACATAATCTAATTTTTGTATTTTCGATGGTGAGTCAAAAGATTTGTGTAACTTTCTTTGAGATACCGCACCGGGGTTTCGTTTAGACAATGGCTTTTGACATTTGCTACAAAATATGAATTTAACCAATAAACCACATGGCCTTCAGGTCATACACCCCGAAGACAGTTAGGATAGACATATCTGTTTCGATGGGTGAGTTTTTGAGTATTTCAATAGAAATTATAAAAATCAATATTAAGAAATATATAGGGTTGTATTAAATAATTTCAATAGAGATTATAATCAATATTAAAAAATATACAGGGTTGTATTAAGTCATTTCAATAGAAATTGTAAAAATCAATATTTTAGAAATATACAGGGATGTGCTATCTTGGATAAATTATACAAACCAAGATGGTAAAGTTTAATAGTAAGTTAACCAACTGGTGAATACACTGTTCGTTAGCTCAAGGGGGGACACCTATATGCTAAGCAAACCGTTCTACTCTAGGTTTGAAACAAAGTATATGTGAAATCAACATAGTAAGGTAATTAACTGGCGAATTCGCGCTGTTCGTTACTTCCGTTGGTCATGTCATCACCTCTTTACTCATCGAAATATTTACCTTAGAGAGTGCAACCTGTGCATATCTAAAATAGAATCAACATCAACACAATAGTTAACCAACTGGCGAATTGGCGCTGTTAGTTAACTTCATTGGTCATCAACTTAAATAAGAATATAAACAACAACACAGTAGTTAACCAACTGACGAATTGACGCTGTTCGTTAACTCCATTGGTCATCAACCTAAATAAAATATATATTGATAGCAAATGAATATGGTCTGCGTTTGAACGAGACTAAAGTGAGATCCCAGTAAATAGTAACAATTGTAATATACTTTGCTAATTATTGCATCACATTTAAAGGAGTCTATTCTGTAACAATTCCTTTGGGGTCTATTCTGTAACAATTCCTTTATATTTAACGGCCTTTAAAAATATTTTCTTCTTTACTTCTGTCATTATTTAAACGGGTCTTTAAAATACATTAGAGGACGACTATCTTAAAGAAATCTGTTTAAATAATGACAGAAGTAAATTAACGAATACGAACATATTTTTATAGGCCGCCAATATTTTTAAAGGCCGTTAAATATAAAGGAATTGTTACATAATAGACCCCATTAGGACCGATTCCATTTACATTAGTAATCTATGGATTCCACCGTTGTGTTAAACGAAGTTTAAAATGACATTTTTACATTAACAATGTCATTTTAATCTCCGTTTAACATAACGGTGGTATCGGTCCTTAGAGGACATTGGGGTCTATTCTGTAACAATTCCTTTATATTTAACGGCCTTTAAAAATATTTTCTTCTTTACTTCTGTCATTATTTAAACGGATCTTTAAAATACATTAGAGGACTATCTTAAAGAAATCTGTTTAAATAATGACAGAAGTAAATTAACGAATACAAATATACTTTTAAAGGCCGCCAATATTTTTAAAGGCCGTTAAATATAAAGGAATTGTTACAGAATAGATCCCAATGGGTTCTATTCTGTAACAACTCCTTTATATTTAACGGCCTTTAAAAATATTTTCTTCTTAACTTCTGTCATTATTTAAACGGATCTTTAAAATACATTAGAGGACTATCTTAAAGAAATCTGTTTAAATAATGACAGAAGTAAATTAACGAATACGAACATATTTTTATAGGCCGCCAATATTTTTAAAGGCCGTTAAATATAAAGGAATTGTTACAGAATAGACCCCTATATCCATAACTATATCTTAAAGAAATCCTTTTAAATAATGACAGAAGTAAATTAGCGAATACGAAAATATTTTTAAAGGCCGTTAATATTTTAACGGATAAAGGAATTGTTACAGAAAATACCCCATTGTATGAAAAATAAAAAGAGTTTAAATATAAATTTGTATGTTTTATTTATCAATTTGCACCAAACTTTTGCATCGAATCCTGGTTTACCTTAATTAACATTATCACACAACGTGGGTATATAAATTATCAATTAATTAGACGATCATTTTTACTACTTGAGGAAAAAGTCCAAATACAGTAAGTATAAAATTTAAAGTAAAATAAACTTGTGAGGTAAATAATAACATTTCAGTGAGTAAAATAACGATCAAATATGGAGTGCAAAGAGGGTGGGCCGTCAGAATTCCTATACTCATCTGTATACAGATAGGAAAGTAAAAATAAAATTTCCGAAAAAACCACCAGCAAATTGCAATATATATGAATGTCAAAATCAAAACTTTTTCATTATTTTCAAAGCATAAAGTAGTAAAAATTCGAATTTTTCACTTTTTTTGTGAAGTTTCTCGAATACGGACCATTTTAGGAAAATGATCTAAAGGACAAAAATTAGAGAATTACATAACAAACAACTCTCATTAAAAGAATTTTCTTCTATAATCATAAATAAAAAATATACCCTAAAATAGAAGAAAGATTCCCTATAAAGTACTCCCCCAGATACTCCGACTATACCCAAAACCTAATCAAAACTGATTAAAGGGACCCCAAAACATAAAGATCCGTCGAAAACTCGAGGTCGCGTGCAAAACTCATACTGTAAACTACTCAAAAGTAACAGAAGGCAGTTTATAATATGTAAAATTACGATGAATGGTTGGAACAATACAGGCCAATGTACAACATATTGTCTTAAAGAACAAAGAGGATGTAGTTGAATAGTTACATCAAAAATAAAAAAATGTGTAACGAATGTTTTGCTAATCACGTCAGCATCATCAGTATAATAAAATAGAAGATACAATAAACCGCATCGCAAAATAGACTGGAATATTGTTTATTACGACTATTTCTTTCGTCGGTAATCAGGAGTTCAAAATACATTATCATTCTCAATGAAGTGGAATATTCTTCATGGAAAATTTAAATTAATAAGGACCCGACTCTTATAATAATTTGTCTCCAATTATATTTCGTAATAAATTTAAATAATTTAGGGAATTTAATATTCATAGTTGGTGTAGCCTGATGTTTGGAATTTGACAAGTGAAGGCTCACTACCGCCCCCTTTTAATTCCATCAAAAAGTGTCAAAACTACAAAACACAGGTCAGTTTTTGGCGAAGTCGACAAAGCTTTTTAAAAATTTGTAAGTTATTTAACATATCTAATTAAACTAAACAATCTCCTGTTGCAATTAAATATCCAAAACTTCCATCAGGTGTGTAAAGGCGTGTTTACAAACGAGTAAAAACGACGATATCGGCGATCACCACCGGACTCGGGTCTATAATGGCAGCCAGCGATTCTGCGGGCGATGATTCCTTGTATCCCATTGCTGTTTTAATCGACGAGCTCAAAAATGAAGATGTCCAGGTATTTATCCACAATAAAGTGCTTACCAATTTACATTCAAAGTGTATCTAGCTCAATTTTAAGGCAAAACATTGATTCCAAAATTTAACCCCTTCTTGTGTAAAGTGACATCACTCTTGTCAGCTTTCTACATTGAAAATATCTGAAATTATTTATAGCCCAATTTATAAATTTGTGCTAGGAAGTTATCAAGCAATGATAGTTCTCCAATAATATATTTTATTAGATTTGAGAGTATTTGCTTTTATAATGATTCATTTATGATTCACTTTGTTAGTAGAGCATTTGATTTAATTTGTATGTTAAACTAATTAACTAATTTTTAATGTATTAAATTTTCGTTTAATAAATATATACTTAATTGAAGTTATTTTTATGTCTCATGAATTAAATTTTTTGTTAATAGAAATGGCACATTTCTTTTAATTGTCACAAAAACATTGAAATTGATTATAAAAATATTTCTTGATATACTTGTATTACCAGTATTAAGGAGATAATGCCTATGCTTATCTTTTATAAAGGACAATAGAAAAATCATGTAGAATGTAAACAAATTTTTAGTAATATTTACATTATTTTGATAATGCCCATTTTAAATAAAAGTAAATATACAAATTGATTAAACTCAAATGTTGATTGGTGGGCTACTAATTATTATAGGAAATAAACATTGTTTTTGACATATTTGTTTTAATTTTTATCAAGATGCATATTTTTGACTTTTGAAAATTGAAATGTATTTATTTGTAGAGGTATAAAACTGTTTTTAAAATAATTGAATTTAATACAACTTTAAATGTCCACTGTTAAAATGTAGGTGTAATCTAATAATTTATTTTTATTACTTTAATTAGAAATAAACTTGAACTTTGATATAACAATTAATATTCAAATTTAGTTTTACTAATCTACCACTTTTTGAACCAACTAAATAAAATGTTCCATGTATTATGTTTAATGGATGATAATTTAATAGATTGTGTTCTTAAAACTGCTCACTTTATCTCATAGAATGATAAAGATAGTATTCTCCTGTTTTTTCTTCTGTATTGAATTTATGTAGGCAATACATTTTACGAATATGATTGGGGAACTTATTTTTTTTATGAATTAATCTTCCATCATATTATGTAAATATATATTTATGTATAGTGAAGTTCTCCTTGAGTTTTTAGGCATAATATTTAATGTTTTTAAGATTGTCCAAAAAAATTATATTATCTTTAATTACAGACAAAGTACTTAACATTAATTTTATGACAGAAATATTTAAGAAGAATCTTATTAGTTTTATTTAGGTTCATCATTATATAAAATTATCTATAAAAACTCATTTGTAAATTTAACAAAGTACTTAAAGTAAGTTTTTAATAATTAGAATATGTTACTGGTATTGTTAATGAAGGTATGAAGTGAGCTTTCTCAACCAGATTGTATTTTTTAGTCAATATTATAAAGCTATTCTATTATAAAATATATTTATTTTTTAACAAATGACACTTAATTATAATAACATATAAATGTAGTTCAAAATTTACATTTACTAAAAAAAAATAAGCTGTATTTTTCCTGCACATTAAAAAAAAAAACATTATTAAAAAGAGAAAAATAGTTCCAATTCAAATATGACCAAGACCTAAAATAAAATAACACAAAGCCATATCATCCTTGATACTACAAGACGTGCTAATTCAAAAATTCTGTCTTCCATGCATTACAATATATATTATGTCAGTATTCCATGCCCAACATCTATTTATAATATCTGGTAATATGATCTATGTAGGAATTCTTATGTAGTACTAACATTTTATAGTTTCCCATAAAATTAATTTTCTGTGACATGATAATGTCACACAAACTTTTCTAACTGGGTACTACAAGCAACCTTTGATTTTCCTTACTAATTATTTTGCCCTGCTTAGCTAAAACGTCCTATCTGACATGAGAAATGTTTTGAGATATTAATGATTTTGTTTTCATATTGTCCACTATGTAAATATTAGGACCAAACTGAATATAAGAAGCCAGTGCTTTATATCTTTATATTGTAGTTAGGATGTTTTTGTGTAGAAAAACATTGTAGATGCATGTCTGCCTCACAAATATGCCTTTAACTCACACAAACTGAAATTTTCTCAGATAGGACGTTTTAGCTATGAAGGGCAGTATTCTTCTTGTAACCAACATTATTTATTGTATACTAGTGAATTTGCTGCCTTTGCCAATTCCATTAGAAAAATATTGAGAACCTATCTAGTTCTTGCTGACGAGTCCAGATATGGATGAAACCTGTCCAAGAATGACGTTGTTAGTAAGCAAAATCAAAGGTAGAGTGTTGAAGTTAAATTTCTAACTCTGGCATTTCCTTTTGATATCATTTACCTACTGGGGTATTAGCCAAAGTAGTTGTTTTGCAAAGGAAAACGTCACTTGTATTTTCTGTGACATATAACTCCAGATATTTTGAGGATGGGAGCTGATATAAGGAATTTATTTTGGTTAGTAAAAAATTCTAATGATGTGAATATACATATTAGATACAAAGAAGCAAAGAGACAATATGTCAATAATATAAATGGAGCAAAAAGATCTCATTTTCAAAAGGGATTGCACAATAAAACTTTTCAGCAAAAACAAAAATATATATGGAAACAGGTAAATCACCAAAATGGTACAACATCAAAAGGTTCTCAAATTAAACAAATTGAAGTAGGAGGACTGTCAATTATTGAACCAAAACAAATAGCTAAAGTTTTTGCAGAGTATTTTGCCACCTCCACAAAAAAAGTACTACAGTCTCATTTCAATGATTTGAAATTTAAAAATTTTACTGCGTCATGTGTCTCCCAGACAAGTTATTCACTCATTAAAAAATGTTAACTCTATGGGCATTGACCGCATTTCCACAAAGATAATAAAACGTATTAGCCATCACATCTCTCAAATTCTAGCAGTTAATCAATTAGTCTATTCAGCTAGGTATTTTCCCAGATTATCTGAAAGTAGGATATGTAACTCCTATCTTTAAAAAAGGTGATAATAATTTAATTGATAATTATAGACCTATTACAGTGCCTACAATCTTAAGCAAAATCCTTGAAAAGAGTGTCCACAACAAAATGCTAATATTTCTTAAAAAAATATGAAATAATATGCAAAAATCAAAATGGATTCCTTCCAGAAAAATCTACTGAAAGTGCAGCAATAGGTCTTTTTAATTTCATACATACTTCTATCGATCAAAAGTTGTTTGTGGGTGCACTTTTCTTTGATTTAACAAAGGCGTTTGATTCAATCAACTTAGATGTCGCTATTCAAAAATTGGAAGGGCTTGGTTTTAGAGGTAACTTTTTATCTTGGTTGTCATCTTATATAAATAACAGACAGATCTATGTCAAAGTCGGAATTTGTAAATCTGAACTAGAAAGTGTTGATATGGGTGTGCCTCAGGGATCAATTTTAGGACCTCTAATTTTTCTATGCTACATAAATGATATGCCTAATCATATTAACTCAGAAAACATAATTTTATATGCAGATGACACAACAATTGCCACCAATGCACAATCAGTAGATGAATTAATTAGTAAATTAAATGTTTTATCTAATGAGTTTACATCATGGTGTTATAGAAATTCTTTAATTGTTAATTCAAACAAAACCGTTTGTCTTCAGTTCTACTTCAGAAATCAAATTACCCAGAATTGTAAAATAAATGTCAATAATGCAGAGATTATGCTCTCAAATTTTTGGGCATACATATTGATAGCAATGTGGGTTGGGATAGCCAAATATCTGTTTGTAAACAATTAAACAGCCTATACTATGCAATACTAAAATTAAAATCAATATTTACCCAAGAGCAACTGCTTAATGTCTACTATGCTTTAGCATATTCTCATATATCATACAACATTATTCTTTGGGGTGATGCAGTCAATGCATCTAAAGTGTTTATCTTACAGAAAATAATAATCCGGCTTATTTTTAATCTAGAATTAATGCAAACTTGTAAATATAACTTCAAAAAATTTAAAATATTAACATTTCCCTGTATTTACATTTATGAAACGTTGCCATATGCTAAACGCAACATACACCAATTTTTACAAAATTCAAATTACCATGAATACTTAACTAGGAATGCAAATTTATTCAGAACACCAAGACATTCAACAGCATTATTTGAGAAATCGCCTGAATTTGTTGGAATTTAATTTTTTAATCAACTCCCTGATTTCATTAAATTTGAAAAGAAATATGAACTTTTTAAAAGAAAACTTAAAAACTATTTAGTAGATTCGTGTTTTTATAATTTATCTGAATACCACCATATTTTAAGGTAAATGGTTTTCTAATTGTATATTTTTAATGTGCATGTCTTATATATATATATTTTTTTTTTTATACTGTACCTATATTTATTTGTATTTTAATATTTTTTATTCTTATATATTATGACTTATCCTATATCATGTAACATGATCCGAAAGGACAAATAAAGTATTATTATTATTATTATTTATTATTTATTATTTATTATTTATTATTTATTATTTATTATTTATTATTTATTATTTATTATTTATTATTTATTATTTATTATTTATTATTTATTATTTATTATTTATTATTTATTATTTATTATTTATTATTTATTATTTATTATTTATTATTTATTATTTATTATTTATTATTTATTATTATTATTATGGATTTGTGTTATTTATTTTATATTTCTCTCTCATTAGGTATTTAAAAAAATTGTTATTAATTTTGGAATTCAATGACTCATTTTGACTTGTTTTTATTAATTAATAGTTATTTTTCTCGAAATTATTTATTTCAATTCTAGCTTCGCCTCAACTCAATCAAAAAACTGTCCACAATTGCTCTTGCTTTGGGGGTAGAACGTACAAGAACAGAGCTGATCCCATTTTTGACAGAAACAATTTATGACGAGGATGAAGTTCTATTAGCTTTAGCTGAACAACTGGGCACTTTCATAACTTTAGTAGGTAAGAAAACAACTTGCACATTTATGTTATTTGATATGCAATCATGTTAAAAATAATGTAACTGGCATTTCCATTTTTTCTCCACACATATTTTGAGAAACTGTGTTTTATAGTCGTTACTTATTTTGTTAGGTGGTCCAGAATTTGCATACTGTTTGCTACCACCACTAGAAAGTTTAGCAACAGTAGAAGAAACCGTTGTTAGAGACAAAGCTGTAGAATCTCTTCGAGCTGTTGCTCAGCAACATAGCCCTGCTGACTTGGAACAACACTTTGTACCATTGGTTCAGAGACTAGCTGCTGGGGATTGGTTCACAACTAGGACATCAGCTTGTGGATTATTTTCAGTAAGTTTCAAACTATAAAACATTAAACAATACGTATGTTCTAATTTGAAGATACAGGTCTATAAATGTATATTTATTTTAGGTATGTTATCCTAGAGTATCAGCAGTAGTAAAAGGAGAATTGAGATCTCACTTTAGGGCACTATGTCAAGATGACACCCCGATGGTTAGAAGAGCTGCTGCTACTAAGTTGGGCGAGTTGGCACAGGTTGTTGAATTGGAATATTTGAAATCAGACCTAATACCCATGTTTGTTAATTTAGCACAAGATGAACAGGTAAATTGACAATTGAAAATATCAAAATACCAAATTTTCTGAATGAGCTTAATTTTTTTTTAAATTTTACTATTAGGATTCAGTGAGATTGTTGGCAGTGGAAGCCTGTGTTAGTATTGCCACACTTTTACAGCAAGAAGATGTGGATCAACTAGTTATGCCTACACTTAGACAATGCACTGGTAAGTTTTTTGTATTTATTTGATAAGTGTTGATTGATTGGTATTATGTCAAATTAATTTCAAAAAGTATTATATTTTAGCTCGAGATTGTGTTGTCTCCCGACGCGAAGTGGGAAGAGACAAAAACCGAGAGCTGGAATCTAATATGTTTCTCGTGTATAATAAACTATTTTTTCTGTGAGGAGAAAAACGATTTAATATTGAAAAAAATATTCTAAAATATCTATATTTACTTGTGGGTAAGGGAAAAAAGTAATTTCATAAAAAGTGACATCTTGTTAAGAGAGATAAAATGTCAAACTTTTTTCTCGTCACAGAAAAAAATATATTTATTGGGTTCTTCCAGCCTATATTTACAATTATTTCCCAGATATAAAAACTTATGCCTTTGAATGACGACATTTTGAGGTTAATGACATCTTCTTCACTTTTTTTATTTGATAAATTGATTGACATATAAATATACTTTTCATTCATTGCCGATTCCAAGAAAACAATGTAGAAGAGGCAATTTTTGAACTTAAAAAAACGTTTTGTAACTGTGCTTGATACATTGCAACAATGTACATACAGTACATGTCCTGATTTACAGCAAACGACTTTTTTGGGTACCTATAATAACCAATTATAAGTCACTAATCTAGTAATTATGTGATAAGGGTTTAATTTAAGAACTTTTTGAGAGATTAGGTACTCGTTTTGATTTATTATGATAATTATTACACTATATAAGTTCATTTTATCATTTTGTTTATTTTGATATAGATTTGATTGTATTGTTTAAACATCATATTTAGAAATAAGGGAACCTAAGTATTATTTGTTGTATGAGGGAATAAATGAAAGCCTTTGTTTAAAGAATATAAATATAAAAATGCTTTATTTATTAATGCAGCTTGACTTTGGTAAAATGGATGGAGATATGTGTTTTTCAATAGTTCTCAACATAATGAATCTTCCCATTTAGATAATTCCTTCTAATAATCAATTAAAATACTTTTTTTTTTTCTGAAAAAATTTTGTTGTATGTATTTTTGTATTTAGGCGATACATCGTGGAGAGTAAGATACATGGTAGCAGATAAATTCACAGAACTACAGAAAGCAGTTGGACCCGAAATCACAAGAACTGACTTGGTTAACGCCTTTCAGAGCTTATTAAAAGATACGGAAGCAGAAGTAAGAGCTGCTGCTGCAAACAAAGTAAATATAAAAATATAATATTTTCGGCTTCTCCAATCAATATAGTGTATCCCAAAAAGTTTTATACAAAAATGAAAAAAGATCTTGCATTTCACAAAAATAAATACTCTTTCTTGATAATACTTTGAAATCCACAATTACGCATAAAATTGGTAAAATTTAAAAAATGTCAATACCCACTCCAGCATTAGTATTGGACTATTTATTGAATAAAGTAAGATCGAAATAAGTTAAAAAACAAGTGATGTAAAAACACTGATTTAACCTTTTTCATTCATATTTTGCTCTATATTGAAATTTGTTGTTCATTTAAATCATTATTTTTTTATTTTTTTGTGTATACCACCGCCTATATTTTACAAAATTTGATGCTTAATTATGGATTTCCAAGTGATTTAGGTCTTTTTATCAAGAATATATATATTTTTTGAGAAATATAAGATACATTTTTTCCTTTTATATAAATAAATGAAAGAAATGTATTAAAATGAGTATATGTACATTTTTCTTTTTTAAAGGTTAAAGACTTTTGTCAAAACTTAGACAAAACACACCAAGAAAACATTATAATGACAAATATATTGCCCTGCGTTAAAGAATTGGTAGCTGACCCAAATCAACATGTCAAATCGGCTCTGGCCTCAGTCATTATGGGTCTTAGTCCCATCCTTGGTAGACACAATACCATCGAGCATTTATTGCCTCTATTCCTGACTCAACTGAAAGATGAATGTCCAGAAGTCAGGCTAAATATAATTTCAAATCTGGATTGTGTCAATGAGGTAAGAAAAATCAAAAAGCATGGAATTAATGTTTGATATAATAACGCCCTCTGTTTTCAGGTCATAGGCATCCAACAACTCTCCCAATCCCTCCTCCCGGCCATAGTAGAACTAGCTGAAGACTCCAAATGGCGCGTAAGGTCCGCCATCATAGAATATATGCCTTTGTTGGCTGGCCAACTAGGTAGGGAGTTCTTCGATGAAAAGCTTAACGCTTTGTGCATGACGTGGCTGATGGATCACGTGTTTGCTATCAGAGAAGCAGCCACATTGAATTTAAAAAAACTCGTCGATCAATTTGGAGCTGAATGGGCAGAAAGTACGATTATACCGAAGGTGTTGGCAATGTCTAGGGATCAGAATTATCTATATAGGTTAGTGAAAATTTTTAAACTAATATCTGTAGTCTGGGTCACAGTTAAAATTCAGTACAGATGACATATGGTAATGTATTTTAAATGAGAAAAAATATTTTTTTAATTGACTTCAAAAAAGGAGGATGTTCTCAATTCATCGGAATATTTTTTTTATGTATGTTCGGCGATAATTCTTTACTAAGTTGTCCGATTCCTAGGATTCTTTTTTTTTTTTTTTTGTTAGAAAGGGGGGTACCTCAGTGGTGGTACCATATTCGCTCCGTGCGCGACAATTTGTTTTGGTATTAAAGGAGTATTTCTGCCTATACTGACAAATACAATTTTTAATAGAATTCGTAAATAAAAAGTATATATGTTAGTTTTAATAAAAGTATATGGATTTATAAAACAATTAAAACATTAATTTATTATTATTATATATTTTTCACGCTTAAATTGAAGAAAATTATGTATAATCATTAAAAATCAATAATAAAATATAGGCAGGCAACAGTATTTACTGGAAAATGTATGAGAAGTTGACTAAGTCTAATAAGTTGTCATTGAAGAAACCATTTATAATAGCGTGAAGTTAAAATGTATAAAAAGGATCGCTACTTATATTTTCATTTTTGTTCTAAAGAAAACATAGAATGAATGATTAAAACTGGTTTCCGATCAGTAAGTCACAAAATTGCATACCAGCCAAATATTATAATCAACGGCAGAAATCTTGAAATCTAGTCTTTGCAGAATGAACATTTAAGAATAAAGGGATATTAAAGAACATCGTAAAATGATAATTTATTGTTTATTTAAAAACTTTCTAGTTTCTGATGTCTACTATTTCCAGCATTACTGTTATTATCACAAAAATAAAGGTAATTTTTCTTCTTATTGTACACCTATCCATTTATTTCTTTGATTTAATTTCCACTTTGTTAGTGAAATTTGTTATATAAGTTTCACTGTTTTTTTTTGCTAGTATTTGTACAATTTTCAACACAGCAACTCCGGTTGCTTATTGTGTTGTTTTTACCTACTTTTTTGAAAAAAAGTAAAATGTATACATGTATTTGATATGCCAAAATTACAAAATATCCCCCTAAAATGCACGAATTATCCGCAGCTAGCGCTAGTATCGCTTTTGCTTCCCTTTCCATGACTTCGCACGGAGCGAATAAATTTGGTGGGGATCTAATAATGGGGTCTATGAGAAAACCATTAAACTCTTAATTTTTTATGTATTTTCAGCGATAACACTTTACCATGTTGTCCGATTTCTATGATTCTTTTTTTGTTAGAAAGGTGATACTTCAGGGGTAATTTCGTATACAATTGGTCAGGATCTGATGATGTGTGAGAAAATCAAAAATCTCGATTTTGAAGTCTGTTTTTTAATTAAAAAATTTCTACAATTATTTTTTTAATTTTTTTTTTAAACTAATATAATACAACTTTTCATTTTTTTTTATATTTTTAAGACTTATTTTTTAATATTTCTACATGAAAATTTGACACAATATTCTTTGAATGTTATACTTTAATGTACCATTAGTTTAAGTAAACAGATTTTAACTGTGTCGTCAAAAACAAATTACAAAAATGTGCCTTTTTTGCATGAATTAACCTTACCCCCACTTAAAACGATAATTTTTTTTATTAACTTGTAATTACTGTTGCCTAATTACCTAATCTGTGCATGTTTTAATTATTTATTGATTATATTTTCTATTTTTTAGCTGAAGTAATAAAAATATATAATAATAAATGAACCTTTTCACTTGTTTTATAAATCCATATACTGTCTTGTTAAAACTAAATATTTTTTAATTAAAAATTATACTGTCAATATACGCAAATACAGATTTTTAACTGTGGCCCTCATATAGGTTCTGCTACTAACACAATAATTGTTATTATATTGATCTCTTTTCCTTAGAATGACATGTTTGTTCTGCATAAATGTATTGGCTGAATCCTGTGGTAGTGACATAACCACCAAATTGCTCCTTCCCACTGTGCTCAGCATGGCAAATGACAAAGTGGCCAATGTCCGTTTCAACGTCGCCAAAACGCTGCAACGGATAGCGCCTCAACTCGACCAGGCTGTTATACAACCTCAAGTGAAACCCGTGCTGGACAAGCTCAATGTCGACAATGACGTAGATGTCAAATATTCGGCGTCTGAAGCGATCATGGGCATTGCTGGTAAGTGTTTGAGATGGTGAAAACTTCAAAGTCATCAAAATTTAGAAACATTAATGAAACTTTACTGGAATTTTATTAGAAATAAATTTCAATATGAGAAATTTGAACCATTTAGCATTTTTGACTATATAGCTTTACAGGTTTCAGATTTTAATAACCGACTATTAGAATAAATTTAAAAGGAGTTGTATGCATATATTATGATTTACATTTTATAAAAATTAACCATCTATCCATATACAGGATGGTTCATTAGTGAGAAGAAGTTCGATATCTCTCTCATCATAGGAAATATGAGAAAATGTTTTGAATAAAAGTTATTGGGTTTACTTTTTTGCATATTTCTAAATTACTTCGAAACATACAGGGTGTGTCATTGCTTCGGCACATCCTAAATGTCGATGTTTTTAAATGACTTTATATTGTTCACCATTGATTTCGAGATAAGTTCCAATACTAAGGTTTTTTTTTTAATGTTGCGACGTTTTCAATTTATGACAAAAATACTGAAAAATTGAGACAAGTAATATTTAAAAAATTGAGAGGATCAAAAGTTTATTTTTATGTACAGGCGATTTTATATGGGTGCACCAACTTGCTAATCTTTAAACATCTAAAACTTTGCTTTTTTTTTAAATTGAACACCCATTATATTATTTGACTATTTGTTATTATAATATAGGCCTTACAAGTGATAATTTTTGACAAATTCTTATTTTAATTGATACATTAAAAATAATAGAAATAAAGGAAACCTTGAACTTCCTGCACTAATGTACCACCCTGTATGAATATAACATCTATTAGGAATATTTATTATAGGTAGCTAACTATTTATTTAAAATTCATATTGACAACCCCAAAACTTAAATATTATCAGTGAATTTTAATAATGCATCCCTTTTAAATAATTATTTTTTTCCCTTCTATTACATATGAACGGCAAAATTTTGCAAAGCACTCTGTAAATGGAAATATAAAAAGTATGACAACTATAGCTAATCGTCATTATTTCAGTCCAAACGAGACTTCACAAGTCAAGATTGTAAATAAACATTGAAGAAGATTTAAAAGAATTCACAAAGCATGCAAGAACTTATTTATCTTAATTAAAATTGTCCAGTAATATAACTTATATTGAAATGTTATCCTTTAAATAAATGAAATGATACTCCCCCGATTTTATTTATTGTCTTTAGAAAAGAACGTAATTTAGACATCAGTTGCCTGCCATTTAATATTTGTCAGTATTTGCATAACAGGTAAATCTCCAAATTCAGTATTTTTTTTTTTTAATTACCCTTCATCGATGTCAATCTTTTACATGAATAAAACCTTTTGTATTCTATTTTTTTTTTCAGCTTTAGGTTGAGCAAGAGGAATGTAAGAAGAACATCTACCCTACAAGAAATAAAAAATATAAGAGTAACAATATAAATCAGGTCAAAAACTGAAAATTGGATTTATTATACATATTAATATGATTAATCTATAGATTGTAATATCACCATTTGTTGTGCTCGTTTATTTCAATAAAAAACAAGTGTAATATAGCGTTTTAGCAGTTTAGTGATTAAAAAAAAAAACAATCCTTAGTGGAGTCATATATTTTCTTGACAGATATCATGCATTAGTAGACAAACCAATCAAAATTAATTACGCCTACAATTTACTGGCATTTAAGCAGAATCTCAACTTTTTATTGGCTTATAGTATAAGCTCATTTTGTATGGCCTATTTGCAATCTAATAAAAGTCGAAAATAAAAAAATATATTGGTACTGATAAGACAAAAATAATTGAAAATATATCGAGAAGTTTCTGTTAATTAATTTTCTAATTTTAAAAGAGTTATAGACCAAAGTAAACATCTGGTATCAATCTGGTTCATTCAAAAGGAAATAAATGAAAAATATTTTCAATCTAAAGTGTAATCTAATAATAAATAAACCTAAAACTCATTAAAATTAATCGATTTGACATTTATCTTAAAATTACAAAAAAAAAACTTGAATTATCTTTATTACCCTGTATGCATACAAATATTTTTCATAAATTTGTTTTTGGATACCACTGATTCGAAAATGTTTCTATATGATTCCACTAGGTGGTCATCTGTGTCACCTTGCGGTTTTAATTTATTATTTTTTTATATAATTTTGCCATGTTTATTGAGATTGATATTACAATTTTGAAGGAGGACTTACTCGAAATATATTTCTTATTTTATGTTTTTATACTATAAGATTGTTTTTGTATTATAACTAGTTCTTTATAAAAAAATAAATTTAGTATATTATGTGTCCTCTTTCATTGATTTTTTTTTTCTTCTAATAATTACAACTTAAATATAGGTAAGACTAAAAGTAAAAATGTATCTCTTGATTTTCGGCAAAATATATTTTCATTTTTATAAAGAGACTGTTTTACGCCTTAAAAAATATATATTTGTTCTTAAAAAATATGTGTGTAATGTTTATTATTGCTGCAATCTTTTCAGTTCCTCTGCTATAGAATTTGATCCCGTTTCTTCTCCACTAATTTTTTCCTTAGAATTTGTTTTTATTCTGTTTTGCTTATTTGTAATGTTTGTTTCTGATTTCTCCTTTTTATTATTTAAAATCTTAGTTTCCGATTTTCTCTTTTGATTATTGATAATTTCTGTTCCGGATTTGTTTTTTAATCAGACCTTCGGTTTGTGATCCTTTATTATCTGATCTTTTTTCATTAACATTTTGTACTAGTACGAAGGACTCGTCTTTAGGTATTGTTAAATTGTTTTTGGTTTCATCCGCTTCTAGAAATTTTGAATCTTTACTCGATTTTTGTTTTTTATTTTCTGCCGGTTCTTCCGTTTCATCTTCGGTGGTTTCTGCATCTGTTGAATAACCTTGATGAGTTTCCTGAAATATATACATATTCTAAATATAATAGCATAAATTATTGAAGATATTTTTGGTATAATTTTTATAATAAACATGTATCTATTGTTTAAAAATCAATGTGTCAAACACAAGACTTTCCCTCTCTAGTTATTACAGGCTTTTTCCGGTTATTTTGTACAACCTATTGTATCACCCCTGTAAATGTTTAGAGGATGAACTGAATACATAAATAAAAGTTTTAAAATAAAATGAAATTAAAATTTTAAAAATCGGCCGATGAAAAAAATAAGAAAGTGAACATTTACAATACATACAATATAAAAAGTAGGGAATGAAGAAATTCAAATTAGAAATTTGCTATATATAAATGAAAAATAGTTGTTCAAATCAAATCAGTTATTGTGTTTAGAAGTAATAAATATTAAATTTTTGTTTCTATAATTCTCAAGAAGTCCCTGTAGTTACTGTATATTTATGGTTTGATAGCTAAAGTGAATTTCTGGAGGTTAACACATTTTCGAATGGCAAGAAGTAATAAATTATAAGCTTTAGGTAGAATGTATGTTACAAAATGATGACTAATGTTCTTATTGTTAAGTGGTGTAACAAGTAGCTGGTTCATTGTGCCCCGTGTGCTATATCCATGATTGAATGCTTGCTGACAATGACCACTCTTATAGACAAATGTTAAAATCGTTAGAAAATATAAAGACCGAATATTAGTTATTTCTGAAGAATACAATGCATTTGTCAAGGATCGTTTTTTTCGTCTAAAGATAATTTTCAAAATGTAATTCTGTATCACTTGGAGATTTTGTAGAGCGTTTTCATACAGATCACCCCACACTAGTATGCCATACCATAGGAGTCACTCCACGAGTGATTTGTATATTATAAGCAACAGTTTGATTGACAGTATCTCTCTCAGTATATATAATTTGTAGATAAGCTCTCTGAGTTTTGTTAAGTAGCTGATATGTTTCCCACCTAATTTTTGTCATAAGTATTTGATCTGACTGACTTCAGTGATGGTTTTGTTCAGATTTGTGATGCTGATATTCTGGAACTCAGGTCTATTCGCATTATTAACAGAAAAAGATATACAGGGTGGCTCACGCTCAACGGGACGGAGCTTTATGGGAAAACGACCAAAGATATAAAAAATTCGTTTGGGAGGAATACGTAGGTTACAGACGGCTACAATTTAAAATTTGTTAGATGTATACAGGATGTCCCACATCCATTTATCGGTTTTGTTTTGTAGAATCTTGAGCTGATGATCTAGAGAGGACATTTCCGATCCATTGCATTATGATTCACATCATTATTCGTCTTATATAACTGATTACTTTTTACACAGTTCACACAAGTCATATCTTCTGCACACTCATTTTCTTGATGATATCCACTGCACTTAGGGCAAACAACGTGATTGATGGGGCAGTTTGTTTTTTTGTGATAGAATCCAACAGTTGTAGCATCGAGGAATATTAAGGTCTTCATAGATTGCATATCTTTCCCATCCAATGTATACTTTGTTAGTGCTGATCAGCTTCTTGAATATCGAGGCTGAGCATTCACCAAAGATTATATTCTTACCAGTACGGCCTTTCTTAATGTAAGTGATCTTCAAATCATCAGACAAATCATTTTGACTGATAATAGAACTTTCAATTTCTTCCAAAGTATAGAATAAAATTTATAGAGAATGATATCACAAACAACTTTTATTTGAACAATTTTCTTGAAAATTTGAATTTTGCTCTTTTTGTCAAATTTTAGGAAAATTATGTATTGAACAAAAATTATAGAGACTAATATCACAACTTTTATTTGACGAATTTTCTTCTCCAATCGTAAATAAAAGATATAAAGTCCATAAAGTAAAAAAAAACGACCCCTATGCCCAAAATCTAATCAGCTCACCTCAGGATTAAAGCTTAAGTTTAAAATTTGATGTTTCTATGAAACCATTAAAGAGTATACAGACAACATCGCGAAAATAGTCAAAACGGATTCAAGGGACCTTAAAACGTAAAAATTCGTCTAAAATTCGAGGTCGAAAAAAAATCATGATTCCAATACTTCCCTTGTCATTATACAGACAGGAAAAACGTAACTATGTATTTAAAAGTGGACTAACCATAATTTCGATAATAGATTGTCCACCTGAATACCCACAGTCGCCTCTTCCAAATACCCATCCAGGTGAGATTCCTCCAGGATCTCCCATGAATATGGAGTTTCTAGCCGAGGTGTATAATATTCTCGAAACTATAAAGATTACTACCTACAAAAAAAAAATAGTTGAGAGCATGAATTTTAATATTATCATGTAAAAAAAATATTTTTTGCATAGAAAGTTTTACTCTTCTTTTTAACTTTTTTTATCCAAATCATCGCATTCTTAAATTACTGTTGTGTCTTTATTTTACATTCTTTAGAATAGTCCTAGAAACTTACATGAAAAATACACATAAAGGAAGATGACACTACAAACGCTTTTATTGTGCCATCTATGGGTTTTCTTATAAGATCTAAACATCCTTTGGTATTTAGAGAATCGGTTACTATATTTGGTTCGTCAACCCAAATATGAGCATATTCTGCTTGTTGGACGGGATCGTGTAAACATTGCATTGGGAAATCGACCTTGCAACAGCTCCAGGGAATCACCGGTAGCGTCAATATGTCAGGACTCGTTCTAAATCTGTAAGAAACGTATGTAGGATAGTAATCTTAATTTGTATATAAATTTTATTAAATTAGGCTTATAGTATATTAAAGCCAATGTGGGTTAAGACACAAAATGAAACTTTTACAGGTGAGTACGATTTTACAATTAGCTTCATTTCTAGATTGAAATAATACCTAGTTTTATGTAGAACATATTTGATATCAAAATGAGTGGTCACAAACATCTCTACTTGTCATAGAGTCATCAAACATCACATAATTAGATACCTTGCTTTGGGTACTGTGGTGAATCGCCATAATCTTTGCACCATATCGCATCTGGAAAGAGGGACATTTAGGGAGTGGCAATAGGTCAACATATCTATTTGACTTGTCCCTCTTAAAGCCATCTTGACAATTAATCACCCATTAAATCGTTCATTATATGGACAACCATTTACTAGACTTTCTAAGCATCTCCGGCATATGTTTGGAGGACAGCTGCCGTCGTACTTCTTACTCATATTGCGACACTGACCAGCACATTTTATATTACCGTCAGTGCTAAGGCTAGAGGTCGTCGTTTCTTATTTCATTTATACACCTAACATGTAATGACTATAATAAAATTTCCACTACTGGCCTGATTGATCATCCTGTAGATAGTATGGTCCATCCAAAATTTTATTTGTGTGTAATCAATTCGCCTTGGCCCAATATTCCTGTCGTAAGCTTTTAAAAATTGAGATACTTTATTTTTTGGCAGCTAAACCCATTGAAAAAGAACACGAAAATTTATATAAAGGCAATTCTAACCCATAATTAAAAAAATAGATTTAACCCTAGTTAGTTATAAAGTATTTATATAAAATAAAATACTTGTATAATTACAATAACAAAACAGGAAGTTTGTGTACTTACTCTTTAATAGTTTCAGACTTAACGTCAACGTGGTACTTTGTGAGCCATTTTATTTCGTGCCAATCCTCATAAGAGGCTAATCCGCAACACTCGTTGTTATATTGAATTTTATCTATGACTTCTTTCCAAGTGATGTCTTGAAGATATTGATTCATACCATTTGTAATAGACTGTTTTATTGAACGAGATATGTATTTATTCATTTTCCTCGCAAAATGGGATAAAATAAGGAGTTGGATGATTGTATTAGTACCCATAGTCGTCCAAAGAATGAAAAGGTTGCTTGTACTTTTTCTAAAAACGTTCATACAAACATTATTAATAATTAGAGAAGTATGTATATAGAAATCAAAATCTAACAAATCACATTGTGACTAAACGTGTGTCACTTTTCTTGTTTGAATCCTTTACAAGTATTGCCAAATTGTATCAACATCAGTATAAAATTGGAGTCAATACACCTTCTTCAAAAATAAAGTACCTGCTAGCTTGCTTGAGGCATCTCTGGCTAACGTTAATTCCAATTATCCACTGAAAAATGACATGTGTTCCATACAAGCCTGTGACTACAAATACAAAATTAACTTCAGATTTTTCTGCATGTAGAATTGGTGCTACTGCAATTATAACGTACAAGGATGATCCGGTCATTCCACAACCAATGATAACTTGAAGTACACATAAAAACACAAAAACTGCTGCTAAACTTTCTCGCTTCTTTTGAGACAATATAAACATACCCACAGTCATTTTAGTGGTACCTTTCTAGTTGTAGAAGTTTTGTAAAAAGTGCTTGACATAATGTCATAAAGACATTAGGTCAAAGTTTGATGTACATCTGGCTAGATTGATCTGCTATATTCTAAAGGCCGATTCATATTAAATTTTGTTATAAAAAGATATCTTTATTTCATGTTTCATACATGATGTTCAAATAACTGATTCCTTCTTAATTTATCAGATTTACCTCCTTTGAGATTGTTGTTTAATTATATGTTATCCTAAATCGTAAATACTGTTTAACAGTGCTCACTCTGTATTAGTAAAAATGTTCCTATTGCAAAAATAGTCCTGTATTTTAACGTCTTATCGAAATTATATAGAGTGAATCTTAAGTTGATACGTTTTTTTAACTTTGTATAGAAGTCATTATAATAAACTTTTCAAAAAAACTCAAAAATTAAAACTTACTATAATTAATTCCAAAATGTATCGAATACGGTCCCTGTATAACTTTCGTCGAAAAAATATTAATTATATTCATGCGTTATAAGAACCATTCACAAAAATTAACTATGCGAGGGAAATATTCAAGTTTAACGTTAAAGGGATACATTTGATTTTCCCGCAGTTATTATAATTACAATAAGGCCAGAGAACGGCGTCCTATTACGCCTTACGCCCAGTAAAAAAAAGAACAAATTGTTATGTTTAAAACTATTGATAGAAATTATTCTAAAATAAATCTAAAGAACTTAGAAACCAAATTCAAGGATAGTTCCAAATTAAATAAGTGTAAATACAAAAATTGTTTTAATTCGACGCCGATGACACCAAATTAAAAAAAAAAATCACGACGAATTGATAACCTCCTCCTTTTTTGAAGTCTGTTAAAAAATGGTAAATCCAAAATATGCCTATCTATATTGTTTTAGGGAATCTATAATTTCTTAGGGCAGGTTGTTCCAGACTCCTAAGATTCTGTTAATCAGAAAATGTTTTCTCGTTCTTGTTTTTTTTTACTCAGGGTTAATACTGGAATGTCACGAAGCTCTGGCAGGAGTTGCCAGGGAGCTTTTAAGTTATCCCGACAACACTACAGCATGACTTGACTATGAATGGACAGAATCTGTGCCTGATCACAGGCATTCTGACTGGACATTGCCAAGTACAGAAGCATTTCCACATCATGGGACTGTCAGAATCCGCACCCTGCAGGGGTGTGTTCGGCGAGAATTTGCTAACATCGGCTGATGTAAGAAAAGGACCCCTTGGCGACGTTTTTAACTAAATTAAATCTTTAGGCTGGTTCACGAGCTAGATGTTTATCTACCTAGGAGGATGCACAATAGTGAGGAATAAGTGCGTGGGTTAACTTACCCTCCACATGTTAGATATATAGATGCCAAGTGGCGCGGCGTTAGACATATTCCAGCATTTGTTGGTTGCATACAAGGTCTGGATACCACACGGGTCTTGTATATTCTAGGATATGAAGGACGTAGCATTTATAAAATCTGCATAACCTTTTAAACGAGACTTTTGAATTAAGAATAATCTGGAGTTTGCACATATTAGTGATATGATCACTCCACGACGGATTAGAATTCACTGTATGAGGACACTCTATTTAACCCTTTTGTGACTGATGTCGGACATATCCGTTTTTCCTTAATTTTACTTCCAGACGAGTGTCGGATATATCCGACATACTTATATATTGCTTTAGAAACTGTTGACGTTTATATCCGACTGTTTCAAACATTCTGTCGGAAATATCCGACGTCAGTCCCCCAGCCAATACTAAATCGCCCATTTTTTGGTCACTCTTTATTAGAAAAGTACCGTCTTGAAAGGCTTAATACATGCCCGTTGATTGAATATGGGAACTCTGGATTATTTTTACCAATATGGAGCACAACACATTTGTTTATTTTTAGGGGTAAGAGCACCTTAAGTGGAGGTTGTTAAGGTTATTTTGAAGTGTCTGATAATCGTAAAGGGGGTTGGCAAATATTGAGGTTACTTACGTAAGCAGTAAACAAAAAAGGGCAGAGAACAGAGCCCTGTGGGACACCACTTGAAACTGGTATTTCTAAAAAGAACTCGCTGTTAAAAAATTTAAAATCAAATTATGAAGGTTACTGCGGATGTCTAGATGTTCAAGTTTGTGTAGTAGTCGACGTTTTGGGCATCTGTCAAAAGCCTTGAAACTGGTCTTTTTAAAAAGAACTCGCTGTTAAAAAATTTAAAATCAAATCATGAAGGTTACTGCGGATGCCTAGATGTTCCAGTTTATGAAGTAGTCGACGTTTTGACATCTATCAAGTCTTAGAAAAAATTTAGATAAATGCTATCAATAGGCTTTTTATCGTCAATGGATTTCGTCCATTAATACAATGGAGGTTGATAAGAGTCGATCGTCCTTTAATGAAGCCGTGTTGTTTTGGTATAACATTTTCATGAAGATAAGAGAGATATCTCAGTCTTTTGAAGAAAAGGTTACTTTGAAGGAGAGAGAAGAACGGATGTATTTAAAGATTTTTTTAGTATTGTGACTGTTAGTGATTGATTCTGTTTCGTAGAAGACAGTTACGTCTTAAGCTAATTGGAAAATCTGAGGCAGATGAGATTGTCGTTGTTTTATATGTTCTTATATCTTCTCCATGTTTTATCAGTTGGAGTAGTTTCCAAGTGATCCAGGGCTTTAATTTCTTCCGATAAACCCTTCGTTTAAAAGTGTTTTTCTGAGAGAATTTGTGTAGTGAGTGAAATTTGTTAAACAATCATCAGAGTCCAGCAGTAAGTTATCCCAGTCAGTAATTTCAAGCGAATGACCAACCTGATTAAAGTCAATGATCTTTAACATTAAGAAGTTTTCTTTGGATCCAGGAGAAGGAAGATTGAATTTAATGTGTACCGTTATTACTGTGTGTTTGAATTTGACCTGATATGCAATCACCCGCGCACTTATCTAACAAGTCCCCGACAACATTATTATTTAAAATATGTTCTGCTAAACCCACTCAATTTTTAATTTACTCGTACCATGCTGAACAGATAAATGATACTACTTTTATCTACTAAAAAAAAAAACGAAGAAACAAGTAAACATAGACAGAATTGTTGGTATAATTTTTCATACACAAATTCAGTCCCGGTTTTAAATTTATTAATTCTTTATCTTTGTTATTTTTGAGATTTTTCAAAAAAGTTATTTGAAAGAGTTTTATTTTAACGACTTCTATACAGTTAAAAACGTATCAACTTAGGATTCAACCTGTATAACTGACGTGACATTTTCGTGAAACATTTAGTTTACAAAATTTTGATAGTTACGCATTTGAAAATTCAAGATCAAACATTGTACAATAGTCTACTGTTAAAAGGCTGTGAGCGCATCTAATTTTCATACTCTGGTGTTAAACCACATATAACAATCTTATTAATTTATTTATTATATTCGCTAGGAAGATAAGTTAGTTTAAAGGGTAGTGGATGAAGAAACAAATTATTCATTCACTTAGCCACACATTTAATAAAAAATGGAAAACTTAAAAAAGTATTTTATTTAGATTTCTTCTTTTGTATAAAATTTTCGACATGAGTATTTGCTATTTTAAATAATACACTGTGTTTCCTAACTAAATTACTAACTATAGCTCTTCTATAACACTTCAAAAGTGACATTTCTTCCTCGGGAGGTTCCAAAAACAAGTTAACATCTCCAATATACTAAAAAAACAAAAATATTAGCATACCTATACAGTATTGGCCATCGAATATCTTCCAATACCCCCGGCACAAGTACGAGTGAAAGATACAGATACCCGGCATTGGAGTGAGTGGAAAAGGAATGGTGTCAATGTTGCCATTTATACGAACTGGCCGCGGCGAAACGGAGGCCAGGCCGTCTGCATCACTGGTATTATTCCTTTACTGCTTGCCCAGTGCTCTGTAGCTTGCACACGCATCTGTGCCAAGATATATTGGAAGATGTTTGATGGCCAATACTGTATGTGGTACATACTAAAGTGACAGATTATATATTAGACACAAATGTACACTTACTTGTTCAGGAGTGACATTAAACACTTGTACTGCCCCCATATATTCGGACCAAAGGGTTTTTCTGTATTGAGAATTGTGTTTCTGAGCTAAAGGCACTAATAGAACATTTCCAAAAAGAACATCTCCATAACTCACTCCTTGATATTGTTCTAGTAACTGGGTGTAAAAATCTTGAAAATTGCTCAAACCTAAAAAAAATAAATTAATTTGAAAAAAATATATTAACAAAAAAGTTAAGTTAAAAATATTGGTACCTTGAATTTCTTTATCGAAATTAAGCTCCTTCTCGTGTTTTATGACATTCTTAAAACAAAATTCCAACAGATCATGTATTTCCTTTGTCAAAAATAAACTGTCGCTGCCAAGAAATACACAAGCGAGTCTGCAAAATCTGTCCGTTGGATTAATACTTGAGGCCAAAAATGGAAAGTAAGTTTCATAAATTAAAATCCAACGAAGACAATTCCTAATAACAAAAATTTGTTGGGTTTCGTCCTGCTCGGTATTATTTTGCGATTGATTTGAATAAAATACCAAAATCGGGGTGAATATCCAGTCCATAGGTATTACATTTCCTATGCTTATATCCAAGCAACAACACATTGAAAAGTCTGCAAGATTCTGCAAAATTAAAAAAAAAATGCCAATAAGTGGTAATACACAGCATACAGGTTAGACATTTTATTAATAAATATCTACCCTTACATTTTGTAAACCTAGAACTTGAGTGTATACTTGCAAAATCTCAGTTAAATTATTCAAAGACACCTCTAAACTAAGACTTCTTTGACTTATGTCGAGATGTTCCAAGAGAACTTCACTTGGATAGAACTTAGAACAAAAGATAACGTTTCCAAAAATAAATCTTATGTCAGCTTTTTGTTCAGAGTTAAACACGCACAAACATTTCACGGCCAATTCGTAAAATATCGAAGTGTCTAGATTGTCTTTGACCGGTACTGATGATTTCAAAATATTCATCAGAAATGTTGCTTCGGGTCTTGAAAACCAATGATTGGTTAGATAGTATTTGTCCAGTTTTTGTAAAGACATCAGATATTTTTGTATATTCGGGTGATTTAAGAAACATATTTTCACCTGAAAAAGATGTAAAATAATAACCAATTTTGCACATTATATAAACATATGTATATTACCTGTTGATTATCAGTTACGTTAACATATGATGAGACGGAATACAAGAAAGGTATACTACTATTTGTTTGTATCACAGGTACTATATGGTCCATAGTATGCCAAGCAGCGGATTCTAAACTTTTTAAATTACTGCTTGATTTATGGGTATCGTAATTGTTTAAGAGCATTGAACCATTCCTAAAAAATATATATAATAATTAATAATAAATTCTTCTTTATTTAATGGGACGTGATAGTCGTGACGTAAAAACAAAGTGTATAACGGATTTGTGTCTACATAAAACCAGTAACCATGCCAACGATGTCAGATGTCACTAAATAATATTCAAGAAGAACGTATAAGAATAAAAAGAAAAATGTTAGAAACTTGCAAATGCATATATATTTTCCTCAAATTTTCAATAATGATTAAGGTCGAATGTCGACCACTGGGCGAACACTAATATAAATAAAATTTTAATACCAAATTTGACAAAGAAAATTAATATAAACTAGTATAAATTAAATTAGTATAAATTGGTGATGGGTCGCTTTGAAAAGTCCACGGACAAGTCCGATGAAATAGTCTGAAAAGTTGACTAGTCCAAACACACTTTTCAAAAAATGGAAAAGTGTATTGCTCATGCGCGAAATTAAATTAACTAATTCGTCTGAATTTCTTACAAACAAAGGTAAATTTAGTTTAAAAAAGAAAAAACGACAAATGTTTTAACGATGTTTTCGAATTTTCGTTTCATATCTTATTAAAATAAACTCATGAAAAAATTACCAAAAAATCCAAAAGGGAAGTATTTTACAAATGATTTGCCTAAAAAAACGAAAATACAAATGCAAATATTGTTTCCAAAGTGTTTTTGAAAAAACATACAGGATAGAGATTTAACTGTGTGTCTTCTATGTGCAAGGTCCACTACTTTTCATTGTGACTTTTCATTACTTTTCCGGACACGTCCAAAAATTACTTTTTATGAAAGGTCCCATCTCTAGTATAAATTAGGTATAAATTAAATTAGTATAAATCAGTATAAATTAGTACAAATTAGTATAAAATAGTATAATATAAATTAGTATAAATTAGTATAAATTAGTATAAATTAATTAGTATAAATTATTATAAATTAGTATAAATTAGTACAAATTAGTATAAATATTTAAGCCTACATTCTTACATAAATATTTTAGTTCAGAATTCAAAATTCAAAGGATTTCTAAGAAATAATAAAAATAAATTATAAATACCTGTAATAAGAACGACGTGACAAAATTATAAACATTTTATTGGGCTATACAGGAAACAGGAATATGAGTTTTTTGTTTTTTTTTCTTGATGATGGGGCAGTTAAGGGAGAGCTATCAACAATTAGATGTTTTTAGATAAGCATTTTGAAATTCGAGACCTAAAAGAGTTGGTAAAAAGTTAAAGTATGCTCTGAAAATATTAGGAAAAAATATATAATACATTAAAATAAGTTTGTCTAATCAAATTTAATGTTGTAAGCTAATAGTAAGTCAAATTATCATTTGTAAGTCGGTAAATTCGATACCAGCATTCATGAAGAGGAACTAATTTGGAGTTCACACACAAATTTCTTACCTATAGATGTAAAACCGAAAATTAGAGCCATTTTGAATCTTAGTGGATGTAAAGCGAACCATACAAATAAATCGGAACCTAAAATATTTGTTTTAAATACCTATGCTTTCTAAATAAACAAAGTAAATGATACATCTTCGGATGTAATGTAAATAAATGCAAATAACACTTACCATACATAATTAAAATTGCAATAAACAATTTGAAACAAGAAAAAACCAACATTTCACAAACTTGAAATTTTTCGATATTGTAATAAGAAGTGTGGTAATAGTTTGTCTTAGTGTACAATATTGGGGCTATATCTAGTGTAGAATATGAACAATCTCATTTCAGTAGCATATAATTCTGTAGATGTACCTAAAAGCCTTTGCACAAACTATAATAGGTGGCATAACCGGAATTATTGGCTAGAATTTAGTTAAGAGAGTTAGGCCTGATTTAAATAAGTTGAAATTATTTATGGTTGAGATCACATTTTTTAAGTAAGGGGTTTAAATAATTTCAACGAGATAGATAATAATGTTTGTTTTATTTTTTTTTTCTACGTTCATGCAAAAACAAAACTTTATTGAACTATATTTAGTGAAAAAACACTGCACTAGTGCAATAAAAATTTTATTGCACTCCTCTGCCATTTTACTACAGAGCGTTTTATAATCATGACAAACATAAATATTCAAATCGACGCCAAATATTTAGTCCATTTTCATTTTCTGTTATTAAATATTTTGCTATTAAATTACGCTTTTTATTCTTCTGCACTTAGTGTCGCCTAAATAAAACATTTTTTTGGTTTTGCATGAACGTAGAAAAAATATTTTATGCAACTCGTGCAAAAAGTGTTTATTGCACTCGACGTGTTGTCCAACTCGGCCTGACGGCTTCGTTGGACAATATCACGTCACCTACTTTTTGCACTTGTTGCATAAATAACTATTAATGTTTGTGATTTAATAATTATAAAGTTAATTGATTTTTATTAAAAAAAAATTTATCAAAAAAAAACAGGTAACAATACAGTAGAAAAATAGATTGGGTTTTATGACAATTTATGAAATAACATTTTAATTAAGGTATTTAAATTAATAATAACATACATAAACAAATCATTTTTATTAAGATTAATTTGGCTTGTTTATTTTGAATTGAAAAAATTTTAAAGATAATAAATATTATAATATAGTAAAATAAAATAGCACATACAATTAAAAATTTAAAACAATGTCGCTAACCAACGTGGGGCATGATTAATAAACAGTGATTATTAAAAAAAAAACAAGTATTAGAAATTAAAATTAAAAAAAAAACCAACTTCAAAAACGTGCAGATGCCATCACCACATCTTAACCAAATTTATATGGGACCACCCCCGAGGTATCCTCTTACTAACAAAAAAATAATCATATAAATCGGACAAGGTGGTAAAGTATTATCGCTAAACATACATAAAAAAATGAGGAGTTTGAGGATTTTCTCATAGACCCAATTATTAGATTTTGACCAAATTTATATGGGACCACCCCTGAGGTACCCCCTTTCTAACAAAAAACGAATCATTGAAATCGGACACCGTGTTAAAGAATTATCGCTGAACATACATAAAAAAAATATTGCGACGAATTGAGAACCTCCTCTTTTTTTGAAGTCAGTTAAAAATAATTTAAAAGGTATGAATATTATTATTATAGTGAATACATAGTAAGTGTAAATAGTGTATGTAAAAAGGAATGTACTGAAGTGGAATCAAAAAGATGGACAAAGCAAGAGAGGAAAGCAAGCATATTAAAGAGACATTGCAGAACAAGTGAAAGTAAATTTAGATGAGACAGTAACTAAAGAAACGGAAGAAAAAAGAGAAGAGGACAGTGAGGAACCAGAAAAAATTACGACAACAGAGACAGTCAGGATGGAGACAGAATAGAAACAAGTAGAAAGAAATCAATTAGAAGAATTAATAAGAATTATAAGTAGAATAGACAATAAAATGGTGTCAATGGAGAATAATATGATATTAACAGAAGATAAAAACAGACAAAAGGAAAAAATTAAGATTTTAAGGAATGAAATGGGATAAATGAAGAATAAGATAATCAAGAAATTTGAAGAAATTGAACAGACAATAAAAAAACAAAAGAAAATGAGAGAAAAATAGAAGAAAATAGAGAAGCAATTGAATTTACTATATACTAGAAACAAAAATTGGAAAAAGAAGTTATTAAACAGGAAATACAAAAGAATAAGAAGAAATATGATCAAGTAAAAAAAATATATGTTGCTTTTTGATACTTCAATTAGGTTGGTTTAAATTATTCTACAATTTTTAGGATGTACTAAAACCTTTATTAAGAGAATAAAACTGCATAGCAAAAATGTTAATGATAAAGCTCTATCCACATTAGCAGGACAAGGCACGGTCAAGTCACAGTCCGGTCACGATCAAATCTTTTTGAAAGCATTCACACTATCGTATCATGTCATCGTCATATTCGACCAGTATTTCCAATATCGCACTTATTTAGGATGAGGAAGAAGAACAGCAAAAAAATATAAAAATAAAAGAAAAATAAGATTTTGGGTACAACCAATGTTAAACAAAAAAAAAAGAAAAATCGAAGACGAATTTTTTACGTTGCATCAAAAACTTATGGATAATGAAACAAAACTATAGAATGAAAAATTAAAGACTTTCAAATATTTTTGACAATTAAAGTAATTACTTTATTCTTTTCGATACTGCCGACAGTCGACAGCCCGCTTTTTTGTCTGGCTGGTTGATCGTTGAGCATTCACTGCGCGTCAACAGACAGTCACAGTCCGGTCAAATATTGTTAGAAATGATCGGCCTGTGACTTGACCGTGGCTTGCTTGTTGCATGACCGGCATGTGTGAACGGTTTAAAAGAAATCTCATTTAAAAGCATTAAAATTATGACAAATAATTTTTGTTCGGACCGTGACTAGACCGTGACTTGATCGTGGCTTGACCTATATAGTGAGAATATACCTTAAAGCTAAATTTTTAAAGGGAACAAATTATTAGATAATTTAACACAAATTCAACGTAAATAAAGCACATTTAAAGCTTTGACAGCATTGACACAGCCGTTGTCATGGTTACTTTGCTTTTAAAATCACGGTTCATTAGAAGGCGAAGTTTAACCAAATCCATTCTTTCAGCTAATCTCCAAATCGATGCTTTATAGATGCTATGAATTGATACACAATTAGTTTAAAAAAAAAATTCTCAAATCGACTTACGTTATTTTATCTGTAACCATTTTAAATCCTTCTGAATTGATTATATTTAATACGACAGTATCAACTTCAGCAATGTGTTGGTATCGTCTTAAAGCAGTCATACAACATATTAATGAAGCAGGAAGCTGAAGTTTTCCGCACTAAAAATTAATATTAATAATAATTATTTATTAATTGTTATTAAAGGCATTGACAACTTAAAATACAACTTTCCTTAAAATAAATCAAGGAACAATTTAGAGCGGTGTAACGGTAAATTATTTGCTGTTTTGGCAGAAAAGAAATAAGTAATGACATTAGTAAAATTGAATGGCATCATTACATTGCTTATCCACACACACCTAACACAACAGTTTTCTTTTTGAACTCACAGGAAGTTACATTATTACTCTTATCGTCCTTATTCACCCGATTTGGCCCCTTGTGATTCTTTCTAATCTGCCTTACTTGTAATAAATTATTAATTTGCTAAAAAAATAGATACTTACAGCATATTCCTTCAAATTGCACAATTGTGAACTCCATTTTGGCCAGCAATGTTGCATAAGTAGAGGTAAAAACGGCAATATTAATGAATAATTTTGTTTGATGACAGCTGACAAAAATATGAGCAATGATGACACATGTCCTATACGGATATAAGTGGTTGTCATGTCCAAATTTGTATTTTTGAAATGATAATCTAATAGATTCAATAAAATTGGTTGCAGAACACTAAAAAAAAAAGAAAAAAAAAGAAAGAAAAAATGATTTTAAAAATATATTTTTTTTTACAATTTTTACAGTAACTTTTCACATGAATAAAAACTTCTAACAAGAATAGGAAGCTATAGAAAAGCTGCAAGAAATAGACTCTCTTGATATTTTTGGTATATTCATGCATTCCTAGATTTTTATTATGGGCGCCACCAAACAAGTGATTTTGGATATTTTCACCATAGCTTTCGACTGTGGCCTCCAAAGTTTTGAACCTATCTACAAGGCTTGCCCCCTGGAATTTTTTTGAATTGCGCCCAGGTTTATTTTAATAATAAAAAAATAATTACACTTTTCATTTGACTGATTTAAGTGTTGATATATGTTGTTTTTAAAATAAAAGTCGCAAATTGATGTATTATCTTTTAAATTATTTTTGTATATTTTTTATTGTAATGGGGATTTTCCGTATGTTGTTCAATAAATTTATATTTAGTTGATTTTATTAGAATAACAACATTGTTTTCTTACCTGAAATAATCTAAGGACAAACCATAATGCACTAGAAGACTCAAAAAATGCATGCATTCTGTTTGTAATTTCAATCCATTTACATTTGAAGAGAAAACATCATTAGAAATATATAGAACAATGGACTCTAAAATTCTATATCTAAAAATGCACAATGTTAATAATAAAATTAATATTAATATGCATCACTACTTACTTTTTTGTAATTTTTTCTGCTAAACTTTTACTTCTAGACGATATTATTCTAATCAGTTTTACAGCTTGTAACAATGGAAGACCATATGGGGATGTAGAATTCTTATCTAAAAGAAATATTCGATTAAAAAATTAAATTATTATTATATAGGGTAGTGGCACCAGTTATGGACACTTTTAGAGATAATTTAAACATAATTGCTTGAAACTGCCACAGTAAAAGTTTTGTTTTAATCATACACATACCAAAACTAAGCTTATATATTATTTTTGCCTATGCTATAGAAGTAGTTTTTCTTAAATCACGTTAAGTATGTAATAATTAATTTAATTTTTGGAAATGGACAGTCGTTTTTATCATAAAACCTAATTTGGACACTTGTAGAACCATTAATGGACATTTTTTTTTTATTACTATTCTGTTTAAAACATGATAAATTGATATTTGTGATTCAAAAAATAATTAGGAATCTATAAAAGAATAAAATAAAGAATAAACACATAAACGTATACAAAATAATATAATTATTATCGATTTAAATTTAAAACCAGAAAATAATATCTTGGTAAATAAATAAATGAGATAAATGACTTTTATAATCATTAATATTCTTCTTCGTCCTCACTGATGCTCTCATGTTCATCACTAGTATCAATAGTGATACCACATTTTTCGCAGACAAACTGTTCGTCCTCTTCAGAATCTGCGTAAGTATTTCCAAGGCTATTCATATACTTAAGAGGAACACAAATTTTATGAACCTTATTTGGACAGCTAATACATTTAGCTTTTCTCTCTAATACATGCTGGTCCTTCCATGCTGTTTGGCACTTATAACATTTCCAGTTTAACATTAGGATTCTAAAATTTTTACCCTTTGAGTTTTCTTTTTTACGCCTTTTGGTTTTTGGACTTGTAATTTTTTTTCTTTTTGTTTTTCTTCTCTTGCTCTTTTCCGGCTTTCGTTTTATTGTTCTTTTTCTAATTTAAGTGCTTCTTTCTATTGTTGTTCATGTAACCAAAAATCAGCTGTTATAACTAAACGTGGTTTTTCCCTCAATTTGTTCTCCCTTGGGCCAAAAAAGATATTTTTTAAATGGAGATTCACCAGTGTGCTGTGTTCCGTTAACGACAATTTCTTGGCAATGTGGTTGAAAATAAGCATTACTTATAGAAGGATCAATTGTTTTTGATGTTGAAGGCTTTGCATTATCGGGAGTTTGTTGGTTTTTCTTTTCAAATGTTATGGCAGCATGAACTTGATGATATTCTTCTGGGGTTATGTGGTTTTTTGTCCGACTCAGCTGTAACATGTAAATCCTCAATTACTTCTTGCCAGATTTCCTGTGAAACTTCTTCAGAGGGTGTTTAGTAACTTCTTGAGGAACGTGTTCTTCATTTTGGGTGTCTTCGTGGATGTTATCGTCGATTTTTAATGAGAAGTTTAAAGATGTATTTGTCAATTATATTACCATTTTTCTCTATTTGAATTCTATTCCAGGTATTAAACAAGTCTTTTATTGACTCAGGTCCACTCCATTCGTCTTTTAAAATGTGTTCCTTCATAATTTGAAGTACATTTGCTGAAATATTAGCTTCCAAAACCTTTAAGCAGTTTTTAATGTTATCATTCATCACGTTATCTTGCTTATTGGTATCGTCTGCTTCTTTTGTGTGTTGTTTGTGTAATATTTTGGAGTAATGCACGTTGTTTGCATCAAAGGGATAAAGGCCACAAACTCAAAACCCATTTTTAATCGTATCCGGAGACATGACATCTTTTAAAATAGTTACCAGTAGTTTGGAAACATGATGTCTCACCAATTGCTGGTTTTCATTTTCAGTGAACCATTTTCTTACATGAATTTTCCATTTACTTTTTAGTGGATAAAGTGACCGCCACATCGAGAGGCTGCATTACATGGGTAGCATTTGGAAAAAATGCAACTAAAATAATTTCTTTTTCACGCAAAAACATACTGAGGTGTAGAGTCAAATGGGACCTGTGTCCGTCGACAAAACAAATTACAGGGCGTTCGATGTTATTTTCCATTAGCCATGGTTCAAATATATTTGCCATGTATTCAAAAAATACTTCGCCAGTAATCCATCCTGATTCCGATTTTCCTAAGCCTCAACCTTTGGGAAAATTTTTGGCAATTTCTGAAGGCGTTCTCTTGTATGGATAAACTACCATAGGAGGCACCATGTTTCTGGATGCTGCAACTGTAATCAATACTGTGAGGTTCTCTTTTTCTGAGTTTTTGAAACATCCTATATATTTTTAATTCCCTTTGGGGCCAAAACTTTGCCAGTTTTAGGGCATAAGGAAATTGCTGTCTCATCAGCATTAAAAATGCGATCTCCATTTTCTAAAATATAATAGTAATAATTTTCCTTTAAGTAACTGGAAACTTCTTTAAACCAGTTACGTATATCGCCTTCAGTAAGCTTTCCACGGTAGCCTGTTAGCTTTTCAGGTGTTTTTAGGGAAATATTTGGATGCCTCATTAAAAATGACTCGAACCATTTTATCCCTAGAATACCGTCAGAAAATGGATTCTTACGGCCTCTTTTATAAGTTTTGCTTCGGTATCAGTTAAACACTGTTTTGTCACGGGAAAGCCGGCCCTTGCAATATCAACAATCCACGTTACAATACGGCCTTCCTAATCAGTTGATAAAATCGGTGGAGGTCCCATATTGCAAATTTTCGGGACTGATGCCTTTTAGTTTATTTCGCAAAGTTATGCGTGGAACACCGAATCTTTTACTTGCGGTTGCAATGGGAATGCCTGCCTTTGCTGCGGCTAATACTTCTGCCATATTTTCAATGGTATATTTCCTAAATTTATTTTTATCTATTTTGTTGAAATCTGAAAAAATTAATGAACCAATCGTGGACATACCCAATTATCCCTGAATGGACATTATGTCCAACACTGGATTTCTTTTTAACAATTTACTGTTATTTATATTAATCAAAAGCATTTTTTATAGTCAGTTAAACTCAACTAAAATCAACTTATATGAACTTAAGATCCTATAATGGACAGCTAACCTAAAATATCTAAAATTTAAGCAGTCCTCTTTGTTAGTAAATAACAAGGTTAATACATACCTTATACAACGCCACAAACAATAAATCTTGGGGAAAAATAAAAACTTTGTGTTTGGTAGCTTAAATAAATTACTGCCGTTCTTATTACTTGCGTTAACGAATGTCTCTAAACACGCGATCATAAACCGTTCGGATTTTTAAACATGGCGTCCTCTGTTAGCAGAAATCGCAAACAAAACATAAAACTATAATTTAACAAAAGATATTAACGTATTTACAGGTATCTTCAATTCACAAGTATCTTAATACCAGGCACTAAATTGTAAAATGTCCATTACTGGTCCCTTGTCCAAGACTGGTGCCACTACCCTACAAATATATTACCTTGGTTGAAAACTTGGGGTATAAAATTCGAAATTATATTTTCTATTAGACTTTCACATTCCAGTATTTTATTTAAAATAAATTCAGAATCTCTTGCTAGTCTTATAAGAATATCCATGCAGTAGACGATGGTTTCTAAAGGAGGCTTTACAGTATTTATTATATATCTGAAAATAAATAATTGTTACAAAAAAAGGTAATGTAGCATGGAAATAAGAATATTCAAATACAAGACACTGTGTCATAAAGTTTTTGCGATTGCTAGGGTAAATATGTTCCTACCTTATTCTTGTCAATATATCAGTTCTGGCCAAACATTCGACAATATTTTTTTCAGCTAGTTGTTGGTCATTGACAGTATAGTCGTCTTCCATTTCATTATCGACGGACAAAACAGGTTGGGTTAGTCCCAATCCAAAACCTAGGTATAAAAAATGTTTTAGTTCTCAATATAAGGTAGAGCTCGAATTTTTGTGAAGAACACACTTCGTCATAATGTGCAGAAACCAATTTGAGTTTGTAGGCGTGGTCAGATAGATTTAAACGTGATCGAAGCCGCCTGCTGCTCATCACCGCTCATACAAGTTGAATTCAGTAGCGTAGTGTTACTTATTTGTACTTGTTGCATTTATTTAGCTATTTGGAGTTTCTTGAGTTTTGTGCTTCGATTTTTGAGCTTCCTGAGTTTTTGTGCTTCGATTTGTGTGTATATAAACTTTAATTTGTTATATTTTTTTAATTCCTAATTAATTTTGTGTATATTTTGGTAAGTACATTTACAAAACTATAAATATTAATCTCAGAAGAAACCGAACATCCTGAAATATTTTAAATACCTTTTAAAACCAGATTTTTTTGTAAACCATATTTTTCTTATCTTAAGAGCTATTGCTGCGGTAATGAGATAAAATTCGTAAGTTTTATATATTTTATCACCAAGTTCTTAAAATTTAAGGTATTGTACTTCATATCTTTTTTGGTGTAACTTAAACTACAGTTCTTTAGTATGAAATCAACAAAAAAGTATTATCACAACGCAGAAAAAAAATTAAAAAAAGTCTGAGTATGATCACTGTTTTAAGGATTCGGTGAACATTATTTTTTCTTGATAAAAAAACTGAAACTAAAATTAAACACTCAGATAAAACAAAAAAAATATTTTTTCAATACAAATTGTAAAGGAAAGATTTCTCTAGAGAATTCTTAAAAGAAAATTCTAATCGAATAAAAAATAAAAGCAGAATCCTTAATACAGTGATAATACTCTGAAAAATTTTTATTTTATTTTCTGTGTTGTGGTAATACTTTTTTGTTGATTTCATACTACAGAACTGTAGTTTAAGTTACTATATAGCAACAAAAAAAATATCACGTAAATACCTTAAATATTAAGAACTTGGTGATAAAATATATAAAATCTACGAATTTTATCTTATTACCGAAGCACTAGCTCTTAAGTAACTTTAATTTGTATTACTATTTCAAAAATTTTCCTTGGCTAGAGGTTCGGTTTTCTCTTGATGAATAGAAAAATAAGTTTAATATTATTTAAAACAAATTTCCTACAAATATCTATATTTTTAGCTCGTTCAAAATGGAACAGAAAAAATTATTAGGCAAAAAGGGCCAAATTATTCAAAGTCAAACGAAAGAAATAATTTCACGCCTCATAAATTTTATGAAAAACGAGGCTGAACACGGATTCAAATACCATTACACAAATACAGAGAGAGAATTTTAGCTGCTACAGGGATTTCTAGAAGCAGTTATTCTAGAATTAAGAAGATGGCTGGTGAAGTAGAAAGTGGAGTTAGTACTTCATTTTCACAAAGAGGATATACAAAAAGAAGTACAGTTGTAGAATCTATAAGGCCTAAAGAGTTGGAAAAACTCAGAGGTATAATCCATGATTTTCATATTATTAAGAAAAGACTACCAACTCTAAATTGTAAGTTACTATGTTGATTATAATGGCAACGTATTTAAGATAAATATTATTTTAGGTATATTACAAAAAATGAAGGATTGTTGTTTTGAATTCCAGGGCAGCATCTCATCACTTAGGAAAATATTATTAAACATGGGTTTTAAGTAAGTATAAATAACGGTATCTAAAAAAATCAAAATAAAAGGATACCAAAATAATTGATTTCTCATAGTCAATTTTTGTACGTATAAAATTACAATGTTTATTTTTTCAGGTGGAAAAAAAAATTAAGACAACAGATCTGTTGGAATCCTACGACATTAGGAATAAGAGGACAAATTATTTAAAATCCTTAATACATTATCCGCAAGAGGGCAGAACTATTTATTATTGTGATGAGACCAAAACTAATGTCTTTGGATGAGACCTATTTACATTCGAAAGGATGGGCCGATGGCAAAGGCAAATTCCAAACTCCAATGAGCAAGGGGAAAAGGCTCATAATGTTGCATGCAGGGAGTAAGGATGGTTTTGTAGAAAATGGACTGTTCGATATTTACTTCAGGTAATATAATCTATTTTTTATAGAAAATTATTTATTGCGTCTTTACCTACTTCATAAAAATCCATGATGCTTAACAATCGAAAGTTATGATCAGCTTAAATTTAATTTAAACTGTTAAAGTATCTAATTAACAAGTAATTTAAATACTTAATGTAGTGGTTTATTTTATTATCTTCAGTTTAGTTAAAAGATCTTTACCTGTACTTAATCCTTTATTGTTATACAAGGGAAAGTTTTTAGTAATAACTTTTTCTTAAGATTATTATAATACGTCTTATCATCTTGAAGAAATATTTCTTCTAAAAACAGATTATTTTTTAAGTGATTTAAAATTCCTAATAATTTTTGCTTAACTAAGCAATTATTTAATTTAAAAGAGTTTTTTTCTAAGTTTAAGTATCATACAAAAATTAATTATGAAAAATATACTTGCATTATAGATAATAAATTATTTTTTACTTTTTTTTCAGGGAAAAAGACAGGAGATTATCATGATGAAATGAACTGGAATAATTTTTCCCAATGGGTTAGAAGGCAGTTACTACCAAATCTTCCTCCAAGGTCTGTACTTGTAATCGATATTGCAAGTTTTCATAATGTAAAATCTGAAAAAGCGATTACAACGCAGACCAAAAAAAGCAGATTTAATTAACATGATGCTAAAATGACCAAACCAGAACTGTACACATTAATAAAAGTTCACAGACCTCCACCGAAATTTCTTTTAGACGATCTTCTCGAAGGAAGAACATGGACACAAAGTTCTACGATTACCTCCATATTGTAATGAAGTCAATTTTCATTACTATATTTCGGCCTATTCCGGATATAAATTTTAATTTTATTTTAACTTCATGGGTAGACCCTGTATATCAAATTTTGTTTCATTTAAATTCGCGTATTATACCTGAGTAACGATAGCGCGCGCGATCCGCGCACATCGAGTGGGCAGCTAGCCTGCTTGGGCATAGAGACTCGGATTCAGCATTTTAGTATTAGAAATCATTCATTCTCTTTACTGATCTCGACTAGCTTGATTCCATTTTTCCGACCTCGTTAAGTCTGCTTCGTTATACGCCGTAATATTATTGCAGAGACCGTAGTTAGGTACACCGAATTCATGTTTACGTTTTTTTTTCTGTCATCGGTTCTTGAGCTAAACGTTCGAATACCAGTTTTATTTGATTAAATTATTCCGTTTTCGATTTTATTTAATAGAAATAATAATTGACTTTAGATTTTCGTTAAAATTATTTGATTTTCAGATAAATTATTTAGTTTTGATTTTATTTAGAAACATTGGAAATTAGTTTTGGTTATTAGGAAGTAGAAATTTTGTTTCTATTTTATTAATTACTTAATTTTTATTGCGACCGTGGATTGTGTTTCTATTTTAGAGTAATAGTAAACCTAAATTTAAATTAAATTCCGTATACAGTTAATTACTTAATTTTCATTGCGACCGTGGATGTTGTTTCTATTTTTAAGTAATAATAAATTTAAATTAAATTCCGTATATAGTTAATTACTTAACTTTTACTACGACCATAAATTTTGTTTCTATTTATTCACAATCTGGTTTAACTTTTTTTTTTACATTTATGTTTCTTTACTTGGGAATAGAATTAGTTCGAGAGTTGGAAAGTTGAAATAGTATCATTTTTCATGTTGAGTGGACTGGTTTTGGCGAGAAAGCTCACATGGGATTAGATACTATCCCGGTATTAGATTTTTTTTAGATTAACCCCTAGCCGTGATTAACATATTAGTGTTTTTCTTATGTTTGAGAGGGCTGGTTTTGGCGAGTACACTCATCATAGGATAAATACTAACCCGGTTTTTGATTATTTTTTTTAGTTACCTCCGCCCCGTGATTAAAATGATAGTATCATTTTTATGTTGAGCGGGCTGGTTTTGGCGAGTACACTCCTCATAGGATTGATACTATCCCGTTTTCTTACCACATTTATCTATTCCCTATTCACTAACACAAGGAGGTTTGTTTCAGTTTCAATACCGACTAGATAGTTAACCAGATAACTTTTTCTACGACCGTGATTTTATTTCTGCTTTTACGAAACAAAATATTTAACTTCAATCTTTTTGTCGATTTAACAGTTAACTAGCTAACTTTTGCTACGATTGCAATTATTTGCCATTTTTCTTCTTTAACTGAAATAGTAATTTTGTTTTTGGTTTCGTTTTGGCTCAACCACCGAACCGACAATTTATTAATTAGTTACTATTGCAACTGAGCATCTTTCTTTTAATTTTAATTATACCGTCTGATTGAGACTAATCAAAGTTCATTACAGGCCTATCTGTTTTTCTTTTTGTTCAGGGTTTTAAAAATACGAGCGAGGGTGGGCGTTGAAATATAACTTACAAATTATTTATTGTAAATAGTTAAATTCAATATATGTGTCAACGTTACCTTGACTATTAATGAGGTTACTGATCCCTAATTTACTTCCCCCTTTATTTCAGCAGTGAGAAATTCTTTATCACCACAAGTCACGATTAAAGCCCGTTACTTGTTGTTACTTATTACCTGTGTCTGAGTGACCAACGACACCTGGAGTTTTTCATCTCTATCTGTGCTGCCCGAGTACTTTCGACGCCGTTTCGAAAGTTTGTTGAGTAAACCACACATAAAATCTGGCGCCCGAGAGCCGTCCCGTCAACAGGCGTCATTTGTAAGTAATCGTTTTCTCTGAGGCGAGAAAACCCCTTACAATATCATCCCCAATTAAATCCCATAGAAAAAATATGGGCCACAGTAAAACATTGGGTGGGTCAACATAACACAACATTCAAGTTGGATAATGTTGAAAAGTTATTGGCAAGAGAAAAATTCCGAAGCATAACGCCGGAGGAATGGGCAAACGTGGTGGACCATTCCGCGAAATATGAAGATGCATATACTCAAAGAGAACACCTTATGGATGAATTTACAGATTCCATCATATTTAGAGTCGGAATCCGATATTTCCGACTTGGAAGATGATGAAAATGTTTAAAATTATACAAATTAAATTAAAATATATTATTTATTTAAACTTTTAGTTGTTTTATTAATTTAAAGTTCATCAGCAATTTAACTAACGAATAGTTAAAATATAACATTAATTTATTAATATGTTCGATTTAAAATATTTTATTAAGGTACACACGCCACTGCTAAGATATCAGGTACCCCTACCGCAGCAGATTTCAGCCCAGCGCCATCAACTAAAGCTCCACAAAGTTATGACGTACTGCGCGTACTGACAAAATGTGTTCTTCACAAAAAAATCGAGCTCTACAGATAAGAAGTTTAATGAAATTCTACATAACCACTAAGTATTTACTGGTTTTGGTTTTCTTGGGTTCTAGGTGCCTGAATTAAATTGTGAAGTTCAATAATTTAACAAATTTACTATTAAAAAACTGTAGTTTTACTAATTCAAACACCTACAACCTATTACTAAGTTTCAAATATTTTTAAAGTAAATTTTTTAGTGATTATATTTACAAATCTAACTCATTTTTTACCTAATAAACTATCCAGACAAGTTTCATCCACTTGTGAAAATATCAAGTTTCTCATTGCCTTTATACTTGCATTCAGAACTCCTGGAGTATTATCATCTAAACAGAAACGTATAACAAAAAATATCTGTTCTATTGGCACATCAATGATTCCATCATAAATTCCAGTAGAATTTAAGGCAAGTATATTTGCTATCGTATTAATTGCTATGATTTTTTGTTGAATTACGCTAGACCTAAAAAACAAAAAAATTATAAATTTTCCTTTAATGGTATTATTTAATTTTTGGTACCGTGAAAGTTGAAATAATTCTTGCAAAGTATATCCAGGTCTACCAGATTCCTCTCCATGATGGTATAGAGTTCGATTTTTTTCATTAATTTCTGGCTGCGAATAGGGCAAAATCCATCCTTCAAAATCGAATCTAAAAATAAAAATGTTCAAATTTGAATTTATATTAGATTTTAAGCAATCTTAGAAGACAAAAAAAAAATAAACTAGGTAATTTTTAAAAGGAAAATAATTCAAAACTTAAATAAAGAAGAAAATCTCAATGTCTGTATCTCAGAAATCAACAAGTAAACACTTTACTCTGGAAAACAAACTACATATTTATATAAATATAAAATAAGTTTCTATCTCTACTGTTCAAAAATTACAAACATTTTTTAACAAGATACGTCAGTTGCTCGTATAACCCACCCTGTATAAATAATGGAAAGAAAAGGAAACATAAAAATAACATCATACCTAGTTCATCATTCGATCCATAAATAAAATAAAATTAAAATAATGTTTCAATCGCATAAAAAACAATATAGAACCACCCTGTACATACAATATAAATAGTATATTACATTACGAGTGTGGAAAATCACTTTTCACACAAGTGATGTACAATATTTTTCCTACGACCACAAAATAATGTCATCAAAAAATGTAAAACCAAGGTTATTATTACTATAATAATTAAAATGTATTTAAAAAAATAATCAACAATAATCGTATTTATTAAATTTTCATATTTTCTAAACAAAAAAAAAAAACTAAAAATAAAAAAAAAACCAAAAAAAAATTCTGTCCCGCCAGGATTTGAACGCGGTCTCAAATGGCAAAGTTGATAAGTTCGATGTTCTAACCACCTGAGCTAATAGCCCTTGTGTCAATTGAATGATCTAATCGGTTATGTATTTAACCAGAATAAAGAGCAAACATTATTTTAAAATTATTTTATTAATAATTGTTAAAGATAAATATCTAGGATCTAATTTACAACAATTTCAATAATTTAACAATCATATCAATTTTTGTATTAATATGGACATTACATAGATCAAAATAGAAATTAGGTGTTTGACATTTTGTGACAGCTACTGCGGAATGTAACATATTCGTACACGGGTGGAAAGTAAATTCTTATTTATACGCGTGTGATATAGGGTACTCTTCATAGGACTATATAGTGTGATATGTGTCACTTTCCTAAGTGGTCGTAGGAAAAGTTATTTTTAGAATCGACTCATTTCTTACTAACAAACAACAGCGATCAGAAAACAAACTGCATCTCTTTCATCGTATAAGTCTATCTTTGTAAATGGTTAAAAAGAGAACGCAGGCCAGGTGCAAAATCCGTTCAACCAATGACGACTCGACACCATAAATCAGCAGAGCTTATTTGTTGACAAGGACAAACAGGTCAACGGTGCGGGATCGAGTCAGGACTTGGTCAGAACAGCAGAAGCTTTCTCACATTCAACAAGTAAAGTTGTATTTTTTGCTCTGCCGAAATCGGCACTGTAACATAATTACCACATAATGTAATATACCAATTTAAGTTTTAAGTACACAGTGTAAAATTGTTAGTTGTATTAGTTTATTATCAAGTTTAAATAAAAACGTAAAAGGAAGGTACATCTTTAATTTCTACAAGGGAAAGTGAATCCCAAATCAAGAAGAGTTGGTGCTCGAATCTCCTACAGAGTAATACAGTCCACCGTTGAAAGAAAGTGTACGTGAAGTAGAACCGAGTAAAAAGGTCCATAGCCTGAATCACTCTACTGTTTTTCTCTATTTATAATCCAATGTTTGATATTTTTAACACTCCAGCTTTGTTTTGAAGAATGTCATGCTATGACCAATGTTGTCCTTATTATGTTTCTTCAGACATTTTCACTTCCAATCTCTAATTGAAGCTATAGAGTCGTAAAATGGTTACCATCTACACTTGTCTTATATTATTTTAACCCAAAATTATAACATGGGGTCAAATAAATCTGTTAAAATTAATTTAATATAAAAAAATCACATCTGTCATTGCTACAAAGAAACATTTTTAATCTAGGTGGTAACAGTTTCATATTTGCTGATAAATATTGATTCTAATCAAGTCACTTTAGTCTTAAGCCAAATTTATATTTACCACCCTTGTATAATAGTACAAACATTTTAGTATATATGAAGTTTATATTTGGTTTTAGGTCATGCACCAACTTTTATTAAGATGAGCATTTCTCAAAAAAAAAACACGGAGTGCTAACCACATATCAGTTTAGGTTTCAATCGGGTAAAAATACTACCCATGTTGTTTTCTGTACTAGAGAAACTATACCTCAATTTAAATGATAACATGGTAGTTGCTGCAATGTTTTGTGATTTCTCCAGAGCTTTTGAATATGTAAATCACAAAATATTGCTGAGCAAGTTAGAAAAATATAGATTCCGAGGAATAGGTTTAAATTAGTTCCAGTCTTATTTGGCAAGTAGAGTACAAAGAGTTTCTTTCAATATGCAAACATCAACACTTGCTACGATTCACTGAGTGATTCCTCAAGGATCCGTTCAGGGACCAGTTTTCTTTTTAATTTATGTTAATATTATTAAAATTGTGTATTTCGAGCTCAGTATGTATTTTAATGCATACACCGATGCTGCATTGGAGGTATTTGTTTATTTAAGAAGAACCTGAACGTCATCTGGCTAGAACTAGCAACTTAAATTCCACTTAGGAATCTCGACAGTCAATGTCGTTGATAGCCTCACGGTAAGGGCACCTGTCCGGAAAACGTGAAGGTCTGGGTTCGACTCCAGACAATGACAGGTTTTTTTTTGCAAATCTACAAGTATTTGTTTTCTCATTTGGGGTCCGGGGATGGTCTTAATAATTCGTAAGGGGATTTTTGAGATTTGTTTCCAAATTTTCAAATTTATTTAAAAAAAGATATTAATGTCAATATTAATGGATACTTTACCATATTTACAGATATTGATACTCTGGAAGAGTGGGAATATTGAAGAACCCGAAAATAAATTCTTAGGCTTATTCATTGTCCAGAAATTAAAATTTGAAATCCAAATTAATAGTTTGTGTAAGAAGCTGTCCTCTGGATGTTTTGCAGTAAGAACTATTGCATACAACTTATATACTTTCATTGGTAGAATCCCATCTGCGATATGCTATAATTTTCTGGGGAACATGTTCTTTCGAGTTGTTCACTAGAGTTTTTGTCTTACAGAAGAGGGCCACAAGACATATGTGCAAAGTTGCTGGTGTCTCTTGTGCTCCATTATTTATTAGGCACAATATACTAACACTCGTCTGTTTATTTTAGAAACGGTACTTTCACTTTTTAAAAAATATAAATGTAATATCTCCAGCAATACTCGAAGAATTTTTTACCTTCCCTTGCCTATACCCTCTTTCGATTCGGTACATGGCTGCTCTATTGTGTATAGCAGGAAGATGTTTAACCTCCTGCCAATTATTATAAGAAGCGCTGACTCATTAAAAATATTTAAAAAGCAAAGTCAAGAAATTTTTACTCAAAAAGGCCAACTACAAATTTGATGATTTTTTCTGTGATTGGTTGAATTGAGTAGTTCATTTTAATTTATGTGTATTTTAGATATTTTCCGGTTATCTAATTTGTACTCAAGCATATGCATTTTTGTTCTTTATATTTTATATCTCAACAGAATTAAAAAAAAATGTTTCTCTTTGAATTTTATATTTAAAATTATTAACTTTTATATAGCATTATGTTATCAATCTTTGTTATTAAGAATGTAATTAATTCTTCAACAATAAAAAAAAAATTGCTCTTGCTCTCATTCAACAGGAAAACGAAAAACTATTTAACATTTTCAAGAAAGTTGAGAAGGTTGAAATGGAACTAGGTGTCCTAAAAAGTGATTCTAAATAACTCAAGGTGAAAATGGACTATAAACGATGAAAACCGTGAAAAAACAGATATCATGAGCAAACTAACAGATCAAGAGTCCAGAAAAACAATATTGTAATTTTTGTCCTAACTGAAAATGATACTCAGCCAAACTATGATACGATCCAAATTCAATCAATTCTCAACATTCATAATGATTTCGCAGAAAATGTTGAAAACATCTTCCGCCTGGGAAAAAACGTGATAATGCATCCCCATCCCCACCTAGGCCTATCAAAGTGGTATGTAAGAATACAGATGTAGCAGTAAAACCATCAAACATAGCACTAACTTTAAACATATTGTAGTGACCTCTGATAAAACCCCTTGACAAATTGAGTATTTTAAAAACCTAAAAGCAAATATGAATGATCGCATTAAAAATGGAAAACGTTCGAAAATTGTTTACCACAATTGATACTCTATAATAGCAAAATACCTCTAAAACCATTAACTATATTGTTACTTCTAAACCACTAGAGGCTTAAATTCTAAAACTTCCAAATTCAGTCAAGCGACATCCTTATCCAAAATGAATTATTTAACATTTCTATGAACAAATATGTTTATAAAATCTCCTATATTTGCAATAGGTAACAAATTCAATAAATTATGTAATCAGGTTGTTATACTCATCAAATTTATATATTTGAACAAAATGTTTACAATTTTCTTAAAAAGAAATAAAAGTACTAAATATTCTGTTATGAAAGTTTTAACTAAGTAATTATTAAATTATTATTATAAAACACATGTCACTAAATTAAATTTTATCCTGTAATTGGACCATATTTTAACATATTAAAAGTATGCAAAAAATTGATAATGTATTTGAATTTTAAAAAAACATATATTATCACAAATGCAATCAAAATAATCTCAAAGCCATACATCACAATAACAGCTTTGAGATTATTTTAATTGTATTTTACAATTTGATCACATTTGAGTTTGGAATTATTTCCTTTTTTTATATATTATTTATTTAAAAAAAGTTCACCTTGCTTCAAATTTATCAGCCTTCATTTTTGGTATATCTATATTCTTCATCCAAGCTAACTTGTTTGCTTCAACCACATCAAAATTAAGCCACCTATCGGCCATAGGTTGAGTCAATATATCAGCAGTTGTCTCCATTTCCTCAACGTTCATGTCTTCACCTGCTTTGTTTTGTTCGCTTATTGGAAGATTCCTGGTTTTTATTACATCTTTTTTCTTACGAGATCTTAAAAACTGGATAATAGCTGGATCCATCATTGATATGAGCTTTTCACGTTCATCATTAAGCTCTTCTTGTGTCATATTTTTTATGATATTTAAGTTTTCTTGATGTATTGATTTACTTTCACTGCCTGATAAAATAGAACTTTCTGATGGCAGATGTTCTGACTTTGAACTAGTGGAAACATTAGTTTTACTTGTTGATGGGTCAGTTTTTTCTTTAATTACTATAGTTTCAATGTCAATAGGAATTGTGTCGGTTTCCATTGGGATATTTTCTTCCTTTTTCAATTTTTTCATTTGTTGAGCAAAAATACTGCCCTTACCACTATCTACTGTTAACTGATTAAAATAAATTAAAGTAAATACAAAATATATTTTAGAAAAAACAAGTTATAAAAGCAATTTTAAAAAAAATGATTTCAAAATCATGCAAATGACATTACAAATTGAGTTTGCTGATTTTCTCATAGATAAGATCATCAGATTTTAAACAAATTTATATGGAACCACCCCCAGAGGTACCCCCTTTCTAACAGATAAGAATACTAGAAATTGGACAAGGTGGTAAAGAATTACTGCTGAATTTACATAAAAAAATGAAGAGTTTGATGATTTTCTCATGGATCCAATTATTAGATCAAATTTAAATAGGACCACCCCTGAGGTATCCCCATTCTTACAAAAACAGAAACATGGAAATAGGACAAGGTGGTAAATAATTATCACTGAAAATACAAAAAAAATATATTCCAACAAATTGAGATCCTCTTTCTTGTTTTCAAGTTGGTTAAATATTACTCTGAGAGTCATTACTATTAAGTCATACCAATTATGCTGATGTTTATGGGCTGTGTTTAGATGTAGACTTGAAAACAAGGTTACAGAAAATTCAAATCTCTAGAGATCATGTTTCAAACAAATTGATAGAATTATGGTGACTTATTATGTTTAATAGACAAAAACTTTACATGGCTTCTTTTGTACCCAAAGTGCTGAGAAATAAGACTCTCCTACATATCTTAGCTCAAATATTCATAACTGAAATACTAGAAATTCTACCTTTCTTGTTATACCTAAACGTAGAACAACTATCTACAAGAGACCATTCTCATACATCTTTACATGAACAATATTAAAATAAATCTCTAGAAAATATTAAAAAATTACTAAAAAATGTTGTTTTAAAATGGGTTGTTTGTTTATGTATTGTTCAATTCTTATTGCATGTTTCTATATAAAATTTCTATTAATTAATTTTAAATCTAAATAACGTCTATTTTTATATTGTTTTTATTTGGTACTCGGTTGAATAGAACAATGCTGGACTGAGGCTTATTAAAATAAAGACGTTTGTTATAATTACATTCTTATTAAAATATACCTACATCTCTCCTCTTGGCTTGTGGAAAGCCTTTTCCTTTATTAAATTTAAATAAAGATTGGGGCGTTTCTGATTTTTTCTCTATTATATTTTTTAGATTAATATTAGACGGAACATCTTCAAATGTGTTTGCAAGTTGTTCGTTAATATCAAATTCATTAACTTCATCTTTTTGAACAATACTTTTCTTTGTTTCATCTGAAAATATACAAAAAGTAGCGAATTTAAAAAATAAGAATCATAATACCTTTAGTTTTGTTACTAATTACTGTAGCTGCAGGTTTAAGCTTATTTTCTGCTGTATTTTTTTCAAATTCTTTTTGTAGACGCAGTATATCTTCCTCGGTTTCACCAGGTTTTGGCCTTGCGTACATTTTAGAAGAGAATATTTACTTTCCTGTTATTTGAGGTTAGATTAATGTCAAAAACCAAATAATAATGAAGTAAGTCACTTTCACTCACTCTTCTGAAAAACCTTTGTTTTGATACGATATCTGGCTAACAATAAACCTAACCATTTTGAAGAATATTAAGAGGCAAAAAAAAGAAGATCAAAATTTATCTAATGAAAATTAGTATTAGTAGAATTGAAAAAATGAAGATGAAATATGGACGATACAATTTTCTGTCAATGTAATATTTTTATAAACAAATTAAAAAGGTTTTAAATAAAAAAACCATGATATCAAATCGAAAGTACAGAAAATAGCATGTCAGTCAATTCAATACAGGACATTTTTGAAATAAAACCCCTTTTACAAAATATTAGTATAAAATTATGTGCAAGATGCGAGAATGGGGTGAAACAAATATTAGCTTTAATTACAAGGTAAACTTGAATAGTTAGATTGAAAGAACTATTTAACAAGATTTGTTTTAGTGAGGGTGACGTAGTACTTCATTATACCTATGGGGAGTTGACCCCTGTATTAAAAAGAATTCCATGGTTTAATGATAGTTTTAAGCAACTGGAAGCACTTTGTTTTGATCCATCAGCTACTTGGTTGCTTGTAGTTTGTAAGTTATAAAATTAAAATTGAAAGCAAGATAAACAAATATTCTTGTTTTCAGCTTTGGACTGTTCACTCTACATTATTCCAGCACTTAGTTTAGTTGACAGAAAACAGAAAATTGACTGTAAATGGTCGTTAACAGATCTTACACATTTTCCCAGACCTACCCAGATACCTGATTCCAAACCGACCAGTGTTATTTGGTGGCAAACTCTAGACTGCAATCAAAATGCACTTGTTGGTTTTGAAAATGGTTCCATTGTATTGATAAGTTTAACTGATGGACGGTGTTTAGGCAGCTGTAGCATAACTGAAAGTGTAAAAGGGCTTAATATATGCCATGATAATAATTTGGAGACTGTATCCTTACTGGTTAGTTCAATGTTATATAATTTTGTTATTAGTTAGAAGTTATTAGTTTCAATTTATATTTTGTTTTTTTTTTTATTGTTGATCTAACTAAGGTACGAGCACCAATAATCCACTCTGGAAGAACATCTTATGGCAATTTAATGTAATTTTGAATACACCCATAAACAACGCCTTTTTACCAGTTATTGATAGTTTCAGCAGTTATCATTGCCCCAGTTAACAACAGTTTCACTAGTCATCGTTTTACCCCAGTTATTGACACTATGAAGTCAGAACATTAAGCAGTTGAACACATAATACCCTGGTAATTGACAAAAAGTGTTAAACGCTGGAGAATAATATAAGTATGCATATCCAGTTATTGACACTCCTAAAATGTAGTTTAGAATCCAAGTAAGCAATGAAATTTTACTAAAAAATGTGATTTAGAATACAAAGATACCTTACACAAGAGTTTATTTACATATCTTAACTATTTAAAAAGCAACAATGACTTTTATAATGTACTTTTAAAAATTTCTTGGGAAAAAACAAAATTTACATGCTTGACACATGTGTCATTTTTGCCAATTAACTAAAATTGGGACCTTCGAGGATTTTTATTGTTGCTAGAGATATTAGACTATTGTCCTGGCAGAGAATTAGGTATGTACAAATCTGAACACAATATCCATATCAGGAGAATTTGAATTTTAAAGTGTCGATTACTGATGTTCTTACCTTATAAGGATTTTTCACCTATGCTTAGTATTGTGAATGTGACCAGTCATTTTGTTTGTCAATTTACTAAATTTAAAAAATACAATATAACAAACAAATTTTTATCTGGTGAGTCAGATGCTAACTGCTTGATATCAGACAACTGATCTTTGGAAGATGAAGTTACATTGAAGTCAGTTATTCCATTTGATTGATTATATTTTACATACATTAGTTTTTTAGATCGTATAGTAGTCAATCTGCATTAGTCAAATAACAACTATTGAGTAATAATTTTTTTTTATTATGAAATATCAAAAGTCATTAGGAATAAATGAAAGTAAATATTCAAAATAATAAAAGAGTCCAGTTCTTGCAGATTTTTTAAAGCTATTGAAAGACATACTTAGAATATCCAAATTTAATGAATTTGCACTTCTTTACATTCTTGTTAGAGAACTAAATAAGCCGTAATTAGTTCTATAAAATCGAATGAAGACTAAATAATTTTGACCAGTCTATCTTACTGGTACTGTGTACTGAATTAATTCTAAAAATTCAGAAAAGTGAATAGATCCTGAAATTACTTTATGCAAAAATAATAAATCTACTGTAACCCTTCGAAATTCTAGACATTCAAACTTCACTAAATTTAATAAAACCTTATAATTATAGTGCAATTACTAGTCAAATCAAGTCAAAATTCTTTATTGTTGAAGAATTAATTACATTCTTATTAACAAAGATAGATAACATAATAGTAAAAGAAACAAACAAATATTTTATAAATGAATTTTTTTTGTTTTTAAAAATTTTTAAAATTCTAATGTCAAGTCATAAAATATAATATATAGAACAAAAATGTATATGCACAACACCAAGTACAAAGATGACAATTGACAAATATATAATATACACAAATTAAAATGAGCTACTTAATTCAACCGATCACAGAAAAATTTATCCAATTTGTAGTAAGCCTTTTCGAGCAAGAGTTTCTTAACTTGCTTTTTAAATATTTTTAACGAGTCAGCACTTCTTATATTAATTGGCAGGTGGTTAAGTATCTTCTTCGCGCTATACACAATAGAACCATACACCAAGCCGGAAAAGGGTATAGGCAAGGGAAGGTAAAAGATTCTTCGACTAAAACTTCTCTGAATACACAATATCTCAGACATTTTTGTTGTAAAGACATAATATATACATCATAAAATGGAGATCAAACTGGTTTAATGGAATTCAAGGAGAGATTGTTCGATTTCGTTAAGACAAATAGCTTTATTTATTGCATAAGTGGAACAAACAATACATGCTGATCCAAGAGTCCTAAATCTTTTATCTTATTGATACGTTTAAGAATTGTATCCGCCATTGAGTAATCAAATACAATCTTGTTGCAGTACATTAATATCACTTTATAAAGTATAACAATCATTGACACCATGTTAATATATCGTGCGCTTATTGCGAAAAGTGACCAAATCAAATTTTGTGTGATTTGAGTTATGACCATTTCACTTGTTAAAATCAAATCTACCAAAAGAAAAATTGCCAAGTCATATTTATACTATCTAAAAGTAATAAATAAACTCCATCAATATGAGTTGTTCATGTTTGGTCATATTAACTCAAATATAAAATTTGACTTTGTCACTTTTTGCAGTAAGTCCACGATATATCTTTAGGTCATTAGCAAAAAGTAGAAAATTACTATATTGGAAAATATCTTTAATATAATTAACATATAGTAAGAATAATTATGGGCCCAAATTGGAACCTTGTGGAACCCCTGAGGGTACGTCATATTGGATGGACAGACAACCAGTTAACCTCACCATTTGAACTCTGTAGTAAAACCATGTTATTGGTTAATAATGATATAACTTCAATCTAATACAAAGAACTGATCAAATAGTTTTCAGTTTTGGTATGATCATTAACATTGATTGGCCTGTAATTCTAAATATCACACCTATTGACGATTTTAAATACAGGAACAATAAAACTTCGCAACGATAATGTGGGAAAGTATAAATCTCTTTAATTGAGAAAGAAAAATTTGGAATTTGAATTACATTTCTGATATTGTTATCTGTATGTTTTAGAAAAATGATTTGTATTGCCAACTTTATCATCAATTTTTAAGAAGGATTCGCCTTTAAAACGCTATAATAATTCCAGAAAAACTTTAGGTTGTTATTAATAGAGTTGTCAACACTAGAAATATAATTTGCAAAACACTGTTTGTGATCATTAATATTTCGATATTGTTTAAATCTCTGACGTGTGATTTTTTTGTCAATAGCAAATATTTTAATTCTGCTTAAAACCAAATAGGAAAATTTGAACTATTCTTTCATTTTAGAGGCACAAAACAGCTTATTGCATCTTAGTATTTGATAAAAAATTTGAACAGCAGAGTCCAAATTATCAGCTGCAATTGATGTTATGGTAGGAATGGGTTCTAATATATTGCGACCTAAAAGATATACTGTGCCCCCTTCTGTCGCTAATGCAGCATGGAAATGTCTCAATGCATATGACGACCCTTCCAATCCTATCTTCTTAAGGAAGAGTAGGATTTGGAGTGGCTTCAAGTTGGGTAAATTGCTCTCTTCTATTTGATATGCTCCTAAGAATAGTGCACTTGGATTCTGGAGTGCTACACTTTAGTTAGAATTTGAATGAAGGTTTCGTCCTCACAGATTCTGCACTTACTATCTTCTACTACTCTCAGTTTACTGTGTCCTTTGAGTCAACTATGTCCAGTAAGGATCCTTGTTACAATTCGTAGCCTGTTCTTGCTCAGGCAGATACAGGCTTCCGATCTTCTTTGGTTATATTCACCCAGACGTATCTTGACCCCAAGAGATTGTTCAAAATATTGATGCAAACACACGCTAGTCTTTGTACTTTTGAGATATTAGCTCTCGTAGTAGCTAAACTAGTTTTGTTATTCCAGACTACAGCCGTAAGTGATGATTTGTCTCATTATTGCTGTATACATTCATCTCAGTGTGTTTGGGTTACATTCCCATTTTTTTACCCACAATATTCCTACATACCTTAGAGCTTTTGTGGCATTATTTACTACTTCCTTCTCATGTATGTTCCAGAAAAGTTTGTTGTCTAGGGTTAGGGCTTGATATTTGACTTCTTTTTTCCATTCTATATCTATCCCGTCTAATTTGACGGTTTTAAGAATGAGTTTTCTTTTTCTTGAAAAGGCTACTAGTGTTCTTTTCGTGGGGTTTATACTAAGTCCCACCTTGCGGCACCATCTGATGTGTTCTAGTCCTCTTTGGACTATATCACACAGGATATTTCCAAACTTGCCCCTAGAACATATGACTATGTCATCGGCATAACCTTGATAGGGTATGCCGCGTTCAGTCAATCTGCATAGAAGTTCGTCTACGATTAGGCTCCACATTAGTGTGGATATAACTCCTCCTTGTGGACATCCTCTGGTTGTGCAGATGAAGATTGTGTCCTCCTATCTGTCTCTGTAATTCTCGTAGATAGCAGCTGAGTCATCCATCTAAATGTGGTGCTATCTGCTTTTCTCTATGCGGTGCTCTTTTGACAGATTCGTGTGGCGTGTTGTCAAACTCTCCTTATATCCATTGATAGATGCAAAGTAATTATTCAAACCGATATATCATTCTCAAAATCATGTTGACCAGTTCCTTTCATAAGAAACTGAGAAAGCCGGCATTCTTAGTAACTTTATGACTACATTATGAAGTACCGATTTAATTTGCCATCTTTCCCACCAAGTTGACGGTGTAATATCTGATGATGTTTTACAAACTGTGTAATTTGAACACATAATAATGATGCACCAAGTGCGCAATAACTGTCAGTGCTTGCAATTCGAAAATGCTATAATATTCAAAAAAAACATTTATTATTCAACAGAAAAAAAAATTAAATTTAAAAATTAAAAGTACAAAAATTACATATAAAATACAATAAAGAAATAAACAAATAAACATAAGTTTTAAGTCTGAGACTAATACAGTGTTGTCCTAATTATGTTTTTAAAACATTGAATCAAAGTAGATATCGGAAACACTGCAAACGTTATTGTAAATAGAACATGTTGAAAACAATGGCGATTTTGCATAAAAGTTAGTGCGACGTGTTTGAAGGTAAAACATTGGTTATTTCTACTCACAATTCTAGGAGTATGAAAATTTAAAGAACTTGATAGTTGGGAGCAATTAGTTTTACCATTCATTAGATTGTAAGTAAATATGCAAGAGTGGTATTGTCTACGATTAGCCAGCGAATGAAAAGCAAACCTATTGAGTAGTAGATTGTTATCAACACCTTGGACAGGATAAGTACGATCAAGCTTAAAAGTGACATACTTTAAGAAATTGAATTAAGTCTTTACAGTTTCTGAAAATAAAACCTAGCATTCTTCTCGCACTTAGGACTATTTTGCTGATATTGTCCGAGAAACTGAACTTTGTCCAAGGTTCTTGATTTGGGCAACTTCAGTTAAGAGTTTTGAATGGAATATTGGAATAAAATATTATTGGTTTTTAATGAGTAACAGACAAATTTGCATTTCTGGATGTTTAATGGTAATCTATTTTCATTTCACCACTGCTCCAGAGTATTCAAATCTTTTTGCAGTAATGCACAATCTTCTCCTGTTGAAATTGTCTTGAATATTAAGTCGTTTGCGAACAATAAATAATCATTTGATAATTGATCACCAATTATATTTACAAACAACGAGAAAAAGAGCGGTGCCAATTTACTACCCCGAGGAGCTCCACTGATAGTTTTAAATTGAAATGATTTATTACTTCTATATTCAACATACATAATGCGGTTATTGAGATCTGTTTGAAACAGTGCAATGAGATCATGATCAAATCTGAAGTTTTCCAGTTTTCCTATGAGGGTCGCATGATCCAACTTGTCGAATGCCTTCGAAAAGTCTATATAAATTGTATCGACTTGATTATGTGTAACTATGGCTTGGTTTACTTTTTGGGTAAAACATATCAGATTAGTGACAGTTGACCTTTCACATAAGAAGCCATGTTGTTTTTCTAAAATTAGATGCTTTAAAAAGGAAAGACTTGTATTTCGTGCAAACATTTTTTAATTATTAAATGCAAAGCGCTTTCGGCATGGTGTCATCATCAGTGCTTATTGTCCACAAACAAGCATATCCACCTCATCCTTACTTCAAAATATACATATTTCACTACCAATGCTGATGAGCATGCTAAACCATCTGCATTAGGGGCTATTTTTGTTTTGTTTTTATTACCCATTATATTATTTTTCTGATGGTTTTAAAATCCCAGTTTACTTTAAATTTTTGTTACTAAGTTTTATACTTGATATAATCATTCTACAGTGCCTAAATCATTTATATTTACCTTTGTTAACATAGATAAATGGAGTTAGTGGACAACAATGGAGATTAATATTGGAACAACATTCAACAGGATATCTTTGGCCTCCTGAGGCTTACACTCAAGTAAGTAAATATATTCAAATATAGAGTAAAAAATAAAAATTATGCTCATTATTTTTTTAAATAAATTGTTGTTAATAACGAATATCAAATAATTTAATTTGATTTTTATCAAATTTCCTTCTGTTTTTTATTTTGACAGTCTGAAGATTCAACCAGGTCGCGCTTATACAATCTCAAGCAGCTAGGTGTGGATAAATTTGCCTCTTTAAAGCAACGTTTAACTGAAGCTAGAGGCAGTAGACGAGATAGTCAAAGTGACTCTACCAGTGAATGTTCTCACACAGAATCTGTCAGTTCAAATGCATCTGGACCGGAATTGTTGCCGCATTTGTGTGATACGCACTTTGCACCACAGTATGCCAGAAATAGATATTTGTTCACGGCGTTTTATAAACCCACAAGTTTACTTACAGTAAGTATATAACTATGTACTCCATAATTTCTACTGAACAACCTAAAAAAATATTAATTATTTTAAGTGGTTGTTTCTTAAACTGATTCTAAGAAATTTCCATTATCATAGATATAACTTTTATTATTATAAAAGCGCATAACTCTAGATAATTGATTAAAATATCCATAGCTTGCCCTATGTTGTGGAAGCTCAAACAAAACGATAATAGATCATTACAAATTATTTTAACAGATAACATTTTATGTAAAAATAATAGGCCATTATATTACGTCTTCGTATAAAAACTCTAGGTTTAAAAGTCCTAAAATTGTTTCATGGTCATAAGTACCTTGTGGGTATCCCATTTTGTAAGTGCAAGTTATCATAAATTGATTTTGAACATCTTCCAGCCTCTGAAAATGCATAGAATAATGATGAGACCAAACAACAGAGGGGTCCTTTCCTTCTTTTTTTTAATAATACCAGATGTCTCACTATATTTTTCAACCCAAAAGTTTCACATTTTGAGGTTTTATTAGTGAATTGTAATAAATTGTAACCGCATCGGGATATCTTAATTGGTTCAGAAGATACAAGTCCTCAAAATGTGGAAAAATATAGGGACATACCTGTATATGTAAACAACTCATTTGAAGTATTAATAAAATTGTTTACAATATTTAAACCCTTTAATAGGACACTTAATGTTTAAATAATATATTTATTGTAGTTATATTTTGATTTACAGTTTAATTTCTTATCTCTTTTTATTTAGTTGGCACGTCACTTCATTGTCCAGAATTCATAAAATAAACTTATTAATTATCTGTATTACTATTCCTACAATACACCCAGAGATGGGATTGAATGGAAAATAAAAGTAAACATTTGCCAACAAAATTGCAATTCTCTGTATTTATTGGTACACAAGACATATCATTTTAAGTTCCCAATATCCAGTGAGAACTGAATAGCAGAATTTTGCTAATGTACTTTGAAAATGAAATTATAAAGTTTCCTGCAGATTATTTAAAAATTATTACTACAGCTAATTCCTTGCTACCTCAATGGTGTCAAATGTGTTGGTGGTTGCTCTTACTGCAAAATATTTTGAAGAACATTATTGGTATAAATATAATAACCCCACCTTTTCTCTCTAGTACATAGTTTACCACCATTCCAAACTACCAATACATTTCCGTTTATAGTATTTGATAAGGATTCTGTAAAAGGAATATATCAATAAACTTATTCTGGCATAATCAGTAAAAGTAATGAACATGACTTTGACTGGAATATTTGGAATATAATGAAAATACCACAGGCCCTAGTATGGAACCTTGAGGTACTCCACTATTCAATTTAATCGTTTAAAGGAGTAATATCACTTCATTAAAACTTTCCAGGTCTCTATTTTCACGTAGATTATTCCCCATTTGCCTTCTTCCTAAAAAATATTTGAGTTTACAGTACTGTCAGACAATAAAAAATTTAAATGAATTTTTTAGGTGCATGCAGTGGATGTTGAATCAGCCCCGTTGTATGTTCATAAGTTACCCCAAAAAACTTCAACCATTTTACTGACAGATCGACTAATATATGCTGTTAATGAGGAATTCAAAATGGTATCGATTATAAGTTCCCATCTTTCTGAATGCCGATTAGAAGGGGAAGCAGTAAGTTTTTGACTTTCTAAAAAAAATTGTTTAACGACTTTTTTTTTAAGGAATTTAATAGTGATTCAATAATAGCACAGTTTTACCTAGAAAGTGGAAAAATATTGAAACTTTACAAGGTGGCCGATTTATCTACGATTCGATTAAAAAAGAGAGATGATAATAAGAGAGATAAAGTTTTCAACTTACCCAAAACTGTGGATGATTTGAATCTTCCAAAATCGCTAATAGATACATGCATAATTGTTACTGATAGTTGCGTTTATAAAATTTTTGTTAGGTAAAATTATATATTATTATCTACTATACTTTGCATATTATAATAATAACTATTTTAGCTGTTCTCCTGTTAAAAAATTCGTTGAGTATGTTACTGAAGAAAGCGACATAGACAAAGCTGAAAGGGTATCCACCATCTTCGGCCTCAACATCCAACAACTGTTAGAATGCTGTGGAGATCTCCTAATATCTCGAGGGTCGTACCATTCCGGTATTATTCTGTACAAAGAGGCGAAAGTACACCTTCTAAAGCGTGTCTTGAAATTAGCAGTTTCTGCAGATTGCAGGACACTACTGAAATTCGTTCATCTGTGTCTTAGCGCCAGCAAGGTTGATATGTCAGTTGCTACTAAGATACACATCGGAAACTTGGCTGTGATGGCTTATACTGAGCTGATTTTGAGATATGGTGGACATCAGCGGGTGTCGAATACCAAGGATTTCATGTATGTTTTATTAAGTAAAATAATAAATATTTTCTAAATCATTAATTTCCTCTTTAGGAATTTCTTGTCTTTTGAAGAATATTATGATCAAATTCTGGCTGTGAACGTTGCATGTCAGGCAGGTCATTGGAACATTGTTACATTATTGGCGAAATCTAGAGGTCTTCAGCCTGAAGTTGTTACAGCCTTGGGACAGATTTTACAAAGTTCCAGGGCTCCGAAACCGACAGAAAAGGATTTTTTGTACTGTCTATCTGAGCCCTGCCTTACTCAGAGTTTGTTGATATTTGGCCAGTGTTCTCAATATATTTTTCTATACATCAGGTAAGATAATTTGCGCAATTTTCAATGTGTTCTTTTTAGTTAATTCTCAATAATTATAAACTGGACAAATGTTTGATATAATTACTGTTTTTATTCTTTTAGAGAAAACATTGAAACTTTTTCTGTCGACATATTGCGTCGTCTAGCTGTGCAGTTGGATCCTAGCCAACCCGGCGCAGTACCTTTGGTCAGCAGACTGTTCCAAACTACTAAATTTTCATCTAGTTTGGACACGACGATTGAATCAGTGGATTTTGAAAATCCAGATAGAACTGTAGTAACAGTAAAAGATCTGATAGATACATTCCTAGTTGTTTTAATACATTTAGTTTGGAAGACTGAGAAAATTGGGTAAGAAACATTAAAGTACCCACTTAATTGATGTTATGATCATATATTGTGTGTTATTAAAATACATGTAGATATTAAAACTGATTAATATTTAAGCTTTCCTAGAATGAAATTGAAGTAATGAATTTTTAAAATCAGGAATACACTACTGAAGTTGGCATAGGTCATCTACAAAATTTAGGTCACCTAAGGTCATCGAGCACAAATACCAGTCACAATCTCTGTCTGCAATTTTAATATCGATATTCTAGTTAGGAACTAATCAATAACTTATCTTTAGGTGTAGAGAGTAGTGTCAAAAAACCATTTATTAATTTTACAAATGCATATTATGTAAGCAGTTTCACAAATAAAAAACAATCCATGATTACAGACCATTTTAACTTCTAACTTCACAAAGCGAGACAAAAGAACTACTCTAAAGCAAAATAACTATGTTCATGAACCAATAGGGGTTACTTAATCAATCATATATGTATTCTAAAAAATAATATTTACCACTGTAGAACTTACTTCAACAATACTCATATCTCACGTGACTAAATTGCTCAGGCAACACTCTTTGGTATAAATTACGTATTTTTTTAGCTATTACCATACGTATAAATACTAGAGGTGTGTCGTTCGCGAACGATTCGTTCAAAAAGAATGAATCAGTGCACTGACTCGAATGAATTGATTCCCTGTTTTTAAAAGATTCGAATCTTTTTTGAGTCAATTGCTCGATGGCTCTGCGATCGATCAAACACGCCGAGTTCCGAGTTTGGTTGCTTCGTTCATTCGATTCGGATTCGGTATTTGGTATTTTACATCGGCATCGGCAAATTGGTCGCTTTTGTTCTACGTTCTACGGCATAATACGAGAACTCTAACTGACAGGCGGTGGCGGTATGTGTCTTTAATGTTTTTCTCACTTTACAGGAGGTGTGTATTAAGCTTAGGTAAACAATTTATGCGTGTTGTCTGATAAATAAATTTAAATCAAAGTAAAATTAAAACAAAAAATGACGAATCGTGAATATATAATTTTGCGTTAATTTTGGCTATATATTTGGCATTTAAAAAAAATTGTGTTATTGTTGTTTATCTTAACGGACAAGGATGTATTTATTATTCAGCTGCCTTTTTTTTATGAAATATGAAACATTAATTTGCTTTACTTTAAAATAAATCTGGTTATAATTATTTTACTCAACGACCTAGTAGGTAGGTAGGTTAGGTAGTACTCAAATTCGTAAAAGTTCGGTTCGATTTCCTTCGCCGGATCGGCGGAATAACATCGTTCGTGGTTCGCTAAAGTGAATCACTTGAGAACGAATCTTGAAGAACGAATCTTTTTAGGTGAATGAATCAAATGAATTAATTCAGTAAAAAGATTCGAACTTCCCACCTCTAATAAATACGGTTGATCTCCTACCCAATATGTTCGTGAAAATGTCCGCCCTATAAACGTATATTATTTGTCACATGTAAACGTCGATTACTACTAATTTATCCACATATAATTAACCGTGTTTACTCTACGTCTATATTAGATTTATAGTTGTAGTATATTTATATGAATACACTTTGGTATAAAAAACGTGACATGCTACTTAAAACATACGTGAAAATGTCCGCGATAGAAACGTATATTCATCGTGTTTCTAGTTTGGCCGGAAATCACGTTATGTATAGAAAAATATTTTATTTCAAAAAATAAACAATAAAATTCCAAATGAGAAACTTAACAGGATAATTCTTTGACAAACAAACAATATATATATCAAAATAAAAATCTTAAGTCATCACTTTGATGTGTTGTTCCAGACGTGTCATAGCAATGTTTAAGCCAGTCTTGTATGTCACATTTAATGGTTCGGTCTGTCAAATCGCTTGGTGGGTACACCATCGTTCCTATAGGCATGTCTTATGGTTTCTACAATAGAACCGTTTTTATTATAAATAAAACAAGCTTACCAAAAATAACCACCGTAAGGATACAATTTTTTAATTATTGCTTATCACGGCATGCCCGGTTAAATTTAATGGCAACTGGGTTCCTCAGAAGGTATTTCATAATGTCCATGGTAGGTACAAGTCCTAACGTTTACTCTGCCAATGCAGGCCAGGCGTATTTTCTGCAAAAAGGAATTATAACCCCACCCACGGCTATTTTCGACATTCTATGAAATAAAATCAACTGACGAATAATATATGGATAATGAATGTGATAGGAATAAATAGATGGCCTAAAAAACCCTTATAAAAATAAGAGAAACAAAAGTTAGAAAGTAAGGTTATGTTTTAGAATTTCTGTAAGCATCTTACACACTGTACCTACCTATAAAACAGCAGTTGTTGTAAAATGCAGGAATTATTAAAAGAATAACTAAAATAAAACATTAATATAAACTTACCCATGCCTTTAATCAATATCTTTGAACATGTGTACACAAATGAATATGGTAGAATGACCTACAAAATGTAACCGCACACTACACTATCCAATACGCGCAAACGCAAGACTAGAAATGAGAAGACATCGTAGCCCGAGTATGCCATGTTTCATCCGCCTTATCAAATAGTTCCGTATGTATAGGGAATTTGTTATAAATGTTACAGGTGATATAATAAAAAATATGGATGTAATATAAACAAATATACCAATAAGCTTTTAATATAAATAAACCTAAATGTATGCATTTACTTCTATCTACTAGTTTATCACCAACAGGAACTATGCGTGTCAATTAAATTATATTTTAACGTATAATATACAATAACTAGTATCTATAAACGTTTCATTTGTCCGTTAAAAAACGTTAAGTATAAAAATAGTAGTTGTTGAACGTTTAAGAAATCAACCAAGACGAAATTTAAACGGGAGTTATTATAGAAAAATACATATTATAATATTACATAAATGTATAGGAATTTAATTTAAATAAACCTAAACGTATATTTAGGCACACTCTCTACAAATCGTTGATCGCAAACTAAAAATAGTCGCATGTTGTTAACTATATTTAAACGTGGAATAATTTACAATTATATACCATAAGATGTATAAAAAAATGTATATCATTCAAAATACGGTATGTACAATAATCGTAAACTGTAAACGTATACAGAATCAACCAATACCAAATATAAACGAGAATTACGTATAAAACACGTTAATTATACCAATGTGTGCTGCCTGTGTGATGTCATAGTTGGTTAAAAGTAACATTAATAACTTCATTGGTAACCCTAAAACAATGGCACTAACCTACTTTACAGAATAGATGCTTAGTTTGTCATAAAAGTCATTAAGAATAGCTATTAAATTTCTTATTTTACCAGATCACGCTGGATACGGGTATTGTTGAAGATAAGTTATGTTGTCTTTAACAAAATGCTCTTCATAAAAAAATGTTGGAAACTATTTCCAAATCAGATAAAAAAAGCTGCAAACCACAATCACAAAAGCTACAACCATCTACATACTTAAAACAATGGTTCTTTGCTGACGTCACACAGCGAAATGTACAAGTCAATAATTGTGTACTTAGATAGTTATATTGCTTCATTTCTGGCAGAACACAATATATTAGGGTTAATAATTTGATTTCACGTTGCCTAAATGTTCCTTCAGGGGTACCACAAGGGTTACACTGTGTACCTATTTTATTAATTTATTTATTACTGACATTGGCCAAGCTTTGAATGTCGTGAATTATTTGCAGATGATTTAAAACTTCTTATATATGATTTAAAGAATTATGATGAATAAACTATATCTGATTAGTAACAAACGTACTAGAATTAAATATAAACAAGTGCGTTGTAATTACATTTATGAGATGTGTAACAAGCTATTATTATGAATATAAAATAAATGACAATGATATTAAAAAAGTTTGTGAGGTAAGAAATGAGATCTTACTTGAGTTTAAGTTAACTTTTAAAACTCATATGTAAAACAATACATGTAAGGCCTTTAAAAATCTGGGTTTTATTTCAAGAAATAGCAAAGGTATCTCTATTAATAATATCAGACTCATTTATTCATATTTCGTCAGGTCAATTTTAGAATATGATTCGTTTGGTCTCCACCAACTACGAAAAACTACTAGACTAATCAATTCATTCATAATAATTAAGCCCTTGTTTATTGCAATCATTCACTTTGTGTTTTATAATACGCAGACAGAGCTATCGCGTCGGCTGCTGCATTAAAAAGAACGAGACGGCTGCTAATTTGAGTGGAAATTAATCGGTACTTCCGTCTAGGACGCTTGCTTTATACTGTTGTCACATTTCAAAATTAATTGCGTACTTTCCTAGAAATATTCTTCAACTAAGATAGTTGCAACGAGAAAAATACATTAAACTGATAACTGGCATTAAGAATACAAATATACTTCCTTAATGTAATTTTGAAAGCCTTTTATGCGTCTTTGGAGCCTTATGTTAAGTCAATACTGAGTTATAACCATAAAAAATCCTTGTAACAAGACTCTCTCATACTGTGATGTGGAATAATTGAGAGAGTGCAGAGAAGGTTTTTCAGACATCCATACAAATTTGGAATAAACTGGCTAGATACTAACTACCGTCAAATTTCAGAAATGTCTTCACTCTCTTTTAAAATGAAAGTATGATAAAGAATTACTATTCTAACACAAGTTAAATGGTGTAATAAATTGTCCTGCTTGCTTTATTTAACTTTATTGTTGGATCAAGAACTAGAAATAGACCATTGTTATGTATAGTCGTCATAATCTACCAACACGCTTATCTCTTGAATTGAAGTAGTCTATCATGCCCAAATGATATATTTTTCAAGTCATTTAGAAATAGAAATATAGAAATATTTTATTCTCAGTAATACATATATAAACATGTTTACATAGCCGTCAGTACACATAAATGGTAAAATACACTACATTTTACATATATTAACAGCAGCATACTCGTATAAAATTTAAAATAAAATAGGATTTTAAAAGATCATGGTTGGTAATAGTAATTAAAAAAATATATAAAAAATACAATATTAAAAATATTAGGTGACATGTTTCACTCTAATCGTTAGTGTTATATAGATACATGTCCAGTAATATCCTTTTAATTTTATGTTCAAACTTTTTTCCTGGTAGATTACGGATGTGGGGCGGAAGTGCATTATAGAATGAAATGCTTTTTGTTCGGGACTTGTTTATTCTAGTTCTCGTTTGGATTAGCTGATTTTTCCCTCTGGTATCGTATGTATGATTGTCTGAGTGACATGTGACAAATTATTTTTTATGGCTAGCAAGTTTTCAAAACAGGGTCATTATGCTAAGTTGCTTAAATATGGTTCATAATAATTTACTCGCAGAATAGAGCGAACTGCTGATTTTTGCAAGATAAAAAGTCTTTGTAGTGAAGTGAAGCTAGCATTTCCCCAAGTTAGAATCCCATATGTTAAATTGGAATGGAATACGCCATAATAAGTAGTTATTGCTGCTTCTGTATTAATTTGATTTTCTACGTAGAGCAAACGTGAATTTTGCCAACTTGTTGCATAAGTTATTTATTTGATAGTTCCATGTAAGTTGTGTGTCAAAATATATACCGAGAAATTTAGTGTTCATTGTTTCACTAGTAGTTTGGTTCAACCTAAAGACACATGTTTCAGTTTTATTGTGATTTAAAAACAATTCGTTGCTATCAAACCATTTTTTAGCTTCAGTCATAATCTTAGAGTTTTTGATAACTATGTCAGGTGTGTAATTGCAGTGATATGAGAAATTGGTCATCTGCATACATGGTAGTTAGTAATTCGGCATTATTTGAATTCATATATGATGGAAGATCATTGGTATATATTTAAAAGTAATAGATGCCCTAGTACGGATCCTTGTGGAACACGTCTTTTCATTAATAAAGGTTTACTAAGTTTATTCATACTGGCTTCGCCGCCACCCTACGAGAAGTCGTTAATTCGTCTTCTTGTTGTCACGGCATTATTATTATTTGTTCATGTACCTATGTGAAATTTGCTTCTAAGGTTTATAAAATACTACTGCTAGTCACGGCGTAAATGGAAATAAACAAGACGCATTCACACAAACACCTCCCACCACAGCAATTACAAATGATTAGTGTCCCCGATACGCGAGTTTTTTCCGGCGGCATTTAATGTTTCAAATACAGTAGACCGTTGTCCGGCGGCCTTATCAATACTTTGATAGCCTGCCGACCTCATCAACAAATCAGTTTAGATTTTCGGCGGCTTTCTTATATGTGAGAAGACCATGCCGCCGGAAGACGGTTTTTGTTTTATTAAATTCAACTACCGCCGGCGGTGGGCTAGCCAGTACGAAGTTTATTTCTGTAAAATACACTTTGTTGTCTGTTTTGCAAATAAGAAGCAATCTTATTTGCAATGCCTCTAATACCATATTTATCTAGTTTGTCGATTAACAATATGTGACTTACACAGTCAAATGCTTTAGACAGATCAGTGAATATAGCTACGCATTGTGATTTGTTTTCTAAAGACTCCTGAATGTTATTCACTAAAGCCAGCATGGCATTTGTAGTTGTTCTCCCATGTCTAAAAGAATATTACGAAAGTTTGTTTATGTACTATTTTTTTATTATTTCTCTATGTAAACTACTTAAACTTACTTTTGTTATTTGATTATTTTACATGAAATGGATTTTGCGTGAATATAGTATTTTTTTAATATGGGGTTGGTCAATCTTGATACGATCTCTGTGTATAGTAGTGTGTGAGTACTTCAGATATTTAGATTAAACGGCCTTCATCTTTTATGTGTTCGTTCGTGTGTAGTTTGTTGCGCTGTTGTCAAATTTCATTTGTATTTTTACTTCCCTCTATAATTGTAATCATGAAATAATCAACTTCCAAGATTATTTCAGGATTTCACGTTTTAGGGTCCCTAGATTACGAAAAACATGTTTCCCCATTCCGTCGGTCTGTTTGCGCGATAGCTCAAAAACGGCTTTATAGAAAAACTTCAAATTTTGTATGGAGATAAGTTTCCATTCCGGCTCGAAGCCAGTTATACTTCCGATCAGTTATATACAGGGTGAACAGTTTTTAAAATAAAAATTATTTTTAAAAGTCGGCAAATTTTGACTAAAATTGGTATCTGAGAATTTTAGAAGCCAAACATTACAGATCCTAAATAATTTTTTTTAAATTCAAAATGGCGCTGAAAGGAATCGTATTTAATCAAAAAAGGGCCCCCTTGAATGGAAATAATAAAAATTATCCTTTTGGTTTGTATAACTGAACCAATTTAAAAGCAGCTATCATTATTGGTCAATAACGGCGATCTTAGAAACCAAGTGAGAATTTGGGTGGAATCAAGAGGAATATCGATGGAGGGGGAAATGTGAAAAAGGGTTTTTGGTTTGGTGGTTTTAATTTTAAATTATTAAAATTTAAGTGCTTAGGAGTTCCCTGTTTTTACAATTTCTATATCGAGGGAAGTTCTGGGTAAAATACTTTACCGTTTTTTGTTCATCTTTTAAAGAAATTTACTAACATTGATCTGATGGATATAGTATTATGGTATGGATCTGCTGGAAAAAATGCTCAACAAACACTTTCTTTACTTCTTCCTGACACTCGTACGTTTGTAGCAACTAAATACGTACAATTGAACAGTTAACCAAGAACATAAACAATCTACCAAGGAATTTTTTTTTGACACTCATATTACTCAGATAAAGCCAAATTTATGCATTTGATGTTTTAACTAAAGTTTTTGTCAAATATTTTTTTTTTTTCTGGCTTAAGGTCGATGCCTCTCCACATAATTTGTCCCTTATTTTCAAGGCTAGCTAAACTTCCCTATTATTATAGACGGCTATGAGCGAGTTCCCATGTTTGTAGAATTATAGCGAGGCGTATTATGAAACCACGCCATCCTTGCTAATTTTCTGACTGTGGCAAGTGTGACATCATATTGATGCCTCGCCTTCTCAAAAAGAACAAGCAGTGAGGCATCCGTTAAATGCCGCACCGTACTCAACGTGTTAATTTATAGAGTATGGGGATATTTACTAAGACTAGCAGTAGCATGTCTTAATAATAGTGGACGCCATTTTAAACAATTATTGTAGTATAGTTTGATGGTCTTAGGGCGCATTGTTTTAATATTGTTGTTAAAAAGAACTTTTTTTTTAGAACTCAATTCTAAAATTAGATCCATTCATTTTTGTACACCATACACTTATATTACTTTTAATATGTTATATTATGTATTTCAATAACAATCTGTATTTGAAAAACATCAGTAATCTGATCACATTAACTTAGGCAATTCTGAATGAAAATCGATGTCTTCTGAAATATAATAGACATTCGTTAAAATTTTCTGTTTTTTTTTGCAGATTTGAATTATCCCTTTTAGATACTATACAACTGCCTGAAACTCCCTCTTCTCCTTATCCTTTCAAAAAACTGCCAGATTTGCATCCCTTAGGCTGTGGTTTTGAACATGCTGCTGTAATTCGCAATAATAATGTTTATACAATGGGCGTATCGACTTCTGGATGTCTGGGTCTTGGGCCCTTATTAACTCAGAGTAGTCCTGCTCGACTTGTACAGACTCTTTCAGAATTGAAAGTTAAGGTTCTTAGTGTAAGCTGTGGAAAGAAGCACACGTTGGCTTTAACAGATTTTGGGGTAAGTATTTTTTTTATTAAAAATATTTACATATTGTTTACTTTCATTATTATTAATGAATTCAAAATTAAGAAATATTTGGAAGAAAATACATAGAAGTAAAAAAATAATTTAATTTGCTTTTATTATAGATTTACAGATAAACAATGTGGCATCATTGTGGTATTTTCAGATAATATTCTTATTGTTCTTATGGAAGGAAGTAATTCTGAAAAAAAACATAATATAAAATAAAAACAATTTTTTTAAATCTCTTTAAATAACCAAAGATTCATCTTTGTACTAATGGGAAATTCTCCCATGAAATAGGAAATAAAGAAAATATATAACAAAACAAACACCAAAACATCCTAGCAATTTTTCGTCTCTCAAAAATTAGTTTAAAATTGAGAAAAAAGTGAGGTATTTAAACTTTAAAATATTTTTTTTGTTTCTACTTATTTGAACTATAATTTTGAATTTTTTGATGTTTTTTAAATAAATCATATTCTTCTTGGGAATTTATGAAAAAATTCAAAATTATGAAATTAAAAATAAAATTAAAATGAATATCCACCTTTGAGTGTAAATATCTCGAAAACAAATCACTTTATGAGATCCCGACAAGAGTACATGATTTATTTAAAATATATATCAAAAAATTTAGAATTATAGTTTAAATAAGTTTTTAGACAATGGCGTAAAATTTAGAGGATATGAAAGTTTTACTTATCCAGCTATGCCATATGCCACTGACAAATTTTATTTAACTGATTTTTGCAGATAGATGTATCTTATTATATCAAAAATGTTTTTTTCTAATTTAGTAAAATTTTACTGAGTAACTTCAGTTGTTCATTCTTAATTAGACATTCTGTATATTAGTTGTCCTAGATGGTTTCATTTTTTACCTATCGGCCCTTTTTTAATAAACTTCAAATAAGGAGGAGGTTCTCAATTCGTTGTATTTTTTTTTTATGTATGTTTAGCGATAATTCTTTACCGTTAAAGGTGCATTTTGCAAGCAGCGATTTTGGCGATGACCGCTGAGCGATAATCGCGTTGAATAAACGTTTACAACTGTGATCATATTTGCCCTAAGATCACGCGAGGAGATAAACTCACTATTATCACTCATAGGAAAACGGAAGTATGTAAAGACCGCCTAGCAGTAGTCCGCTATGATCGCTGTGTGATTATCGCTCAGCGATCATCGCCACAATCGCTGCTTGCAAAACGCACCTTAAGATGTGATGACGGCATCTGCACGATTTTGAAGTCTGTTTTTTTAAATTACTTTCACCAAAAAGCAAACGAAACAAATAAATTACTTACCGGTGGATCATCATCATAGAGGCATTTGGCTATTTCTAAGGCAGCTTTACATTTGTTGTCTTTGGTTTTTACGGAGTTTTTGCAGCTTTTAAACGAGTGAACAGCGGTTTTGGCAAGAGAAGCAGGTGCATTGGCTTCAATAACTTTTATACCCTCTTCCCAGTCAAAACTGTTATCTTTTGTCATCTACAAATTAATAATAGCTAGTACACATTTTCTCTTTACTGCTAGAGACTAAAAATATTCAAATATGGTAAGTTTTCACTGTAAAAAAAGTATTTGATACACATTTCAATATCCTGGAAATATTAAAAGTTTGATTTGTCTTTTTCTTATTTATGGGGTGGGTGTCTCATTAAGAATGTGACACAGAAAAACAGAATATTCTCTGATTAAAAATAAGACGATTAAAAGAAAGATGCTTAGATAAAATATTATTAGTTTCAAAAATACAGGGTGTTAAATTATTACTGGCTATAATTTTTTTTATTTCTCAATATAATTTTACTAAATTCGGCAAACATTTTTGGTTTCATAAGGTACACCTATCAGCAAAATAATCTGTCAAATAAACTTTGCCACTGGCATACTGTATGGATAAGTAATACTTTCCTAAATTTTACGCCACTGTCCAAAAACTTATTTGGTCTACATTTTTACGTTTTTTAAGTCTTTTTAAATATATCATCTACTCTTGTTGGGAACTCATAGAGTGATTGGTTTTCGAGATATTCACACTCAAAGGTGAAAATTCCTCATTTTAATTAATTTTGTAATTTTTGATTTTTTTATAAATTCTCAACATAATTATTTAAAAAGACATCAAAAAATTAAAAATTATGGTCTAACCAAGTTTTTGGAAGGGATGGTGTTAGTTGCCCATGCCGTACGCCACGGCAAAGTTTATTTAACTGATTTTTTGCTGATGGTATATCTTATGATACCAAAAACGTTTGCTTACTATAATTTTATAAAAAATCAACAATTAAAAAATTATTCAAAATGAGGATTATCACCTTTGAGAGTGAATATCTCGAAAACCAATCACTTTATAAGTTCCCAACAAGAGTACATGATTTATTTTAAAAACATCAAAAAACGTAAAACTATAGTCCATATAAGTTTTTGGGCAGTGGCGTAAAATATTTAGAGGGAATGAAAGTGTTACTTAACCATGCCGTTTGCCACGATAAAGTTTATTCAACTGATTGGTGTATCTTATGACACTAAAAATGTTTACTGAATTAAAGAAAATTATACTGAGAAGTAAAAAAATTATAGCCATTAAAAATTTTTGTATTTTCAACTTTAACACCCTTTATTTTGGAAATAAGAAATATTTTATCTAAGCATGTTTCGTTTAATCGTCTTATTTTTAATCAGAGAATCTTCAGTTGTTCTGTGTCCCATTCTTAATGAGTATATACCCCGTAAATCGACAGTTAAACTTAATGTAATTTATGTATTTTATAAAAATTCTTTTGAAAATCCACAAATACATATTTCCAAATTACCCCTACAAAATATTAAAAACCCTTTTTAAACCCCTAAATTAATGAAAAATTTTAAAAATCTGTTCCGGACTGGGTTAATTTGAATGTAAGATTCGAATCCAACTTGGTGATAGAAAATTTCCATTTTTTCAACCAACTACTAATTAGTAAGGATGGTGATGTTTCGCCCCGGCCATTTTGCCGCCGTCATTCCATTTCGGACGTGCCGTTTGGCCCCCGGCCATTTTGCCTCTATAAATAAGAAGTCGCGATGGCTCTAGGTCGCACAGGTTAGGTGAATTAGTTAAGTTTTTTATTTTTCCTATTTTAGGTATAATTTTTTGTTAGGGGTGGTCCCATATAAATTTGGTCAAGATCTGATAATGGGATCCATTATAAAATGATCACTCTTCATTTTTGGAATTTGTTTTTGTTTGTTGTATAACTTGTATTTATCCACTTAAAAATAATTAATAATAATAATAAATGACTTTATTGCTCTCATAAATACATATTAACAAAAACGTAATTACACAAAAAATATATGTATTGCCTGAAAGCAAGAGGCAAGAGAGCAAGAGCTCTCAAAACATTATCCCGATAGGGAATAGTGATTGAGCAGCGCTCTTCCACGCAACCTTGGACAATAAATAAATTTATATTATTGTAAAAGTATAAGCCATGAAATACAATAAATACATTATATCCGCTAAATTTTCTTGATTAACTAAACTATTAAACTAATCTAGCCATGAAATTACCCTAAATCTAGTGAACTAAAATTTATATGCTTTTTACATTAATGTTTTTGGTAGATCTGTGTTGTGAAAATAATTTTAATTTTCTTTTTGTTTTTATTTTTTGTTTTGTTTATTTTGTTTTGTTTATTTTTTTATTTTGTTTTTTTTTTAATATTGTTTTTTTTTAAATCACGTAATTAATTTTGCCATTAAAAATGTAAAGTCTGACGATTTTCTTGAAACCGGAAAGTGGAGTGGTATTGAACATTTGGGGAGCCATATTGTGAAGTTTAGCTGTATTATAAGATTGTTATATGAATTATTTGATCCTTGAAATATTTAGTAAACCTAAACTTAAATTTCCAAGACGTATGGTTATTATTTGTATTTAAATTAAACCCTGTATAAACTCGATACAAAAGAGTAGTTATCTTTTATTTTTAAAAAAATATTTATTTTATGACTTACCAATTTATAGGTCATCAAAATACAATGCGTATAACACTGAAAAAAAAAACATACATTAACAATAATCATTTAATAAAAGAAAAAATATGATATGTCCAACACATTACTTTCCTGTCTAGTTATTACAGGCTTTTCCGGTTATTTTGTACAACCTATTGTATCACCCCTGTAAATGTTTAGAGGATGAACTAAATACATATACTCTCGGCACACATCTTACTCGAAACATATATGTATTCATTGCCAACGAAAATATTGAAAAATTTAAATTTTACACTTTTCCGCAAATTTTTCCATTACGGTCAATTTTAGAGAAATCATGTAAACAAACAAAAATTATAGAAAATCATATTGCAGACAACTTTTATTTGAAGAATTTTCTTTTCCAAGCGTATGTAACAGATATATTCTATAAAGCAGAAAAACGAGCCCCTATAAAGTACCTCCCAGATGTTCCGACTATGTCCAAAAACACACAGACATCATCGCGAAAATAGTCAAAACGAATTCAAGGGACCTCAAAACGTAAAAATCGAGGTAAAAAAATCATAATTCCTATTTCTTTATCTGTATACAGACAGGAAAGTAAAAATCGGCCAAGTGCAAGTCGCAATTGTTTAAAAATAAGTAGATTTGGTACGTTAATAGATACTCGTACTATAATATGGCAGTTAGAGGCAATGCCACGGGGCTCCACGATTTTGGGGGCCTATCGTAAGCTTGTTTTGTTTTAACGCCCTCACAACCTAATCATATAAAAATAAACAATAATTATTTTAAAACATGTAATAAACTATCTGTTTATATAATATGTATTAAATTACTTTTGTATTTATACCACCTATTTAAACAATTTGTAAAACTTGAATTTGGCTATGTTGCTTTTAACAATCGGCGTTGGTTTGACAACAAAAAATCCTGTGAACTACGGATAATTATCAATATTATTATTATTTTAATTTCAATACGTCGGAATATTTTTTTATGTTCAGCGATAGTTCTTTACTACATTGTCTGATTTCAATGATTTACTTGTATTTAAACCATTTTCTTTGGGACTGCCATACCAGACATGAAAAATGGTGGTATGTACCTTAAAACAGGAATACCTGTTTCTTTTTCAAGTATTTCGTACCCGTCTCTCTTTCAAGTCAACTTCAGCGGCAATTTGTATACTTGAATACGGTGTAGCTTCAAATAATGTACAGAATTGCAGTTCACTAATGTAACTCGTTCCTGTCGCGGGACTTCGCTCTGCTCGTCCCGCAAATATTCACTCGTTACATAAAATATGGCATTTCGCAACTGGTTTCATAAATAGATATTTTTATTCAATTGGAAAAAATAATTTTTTTGAGAGGTATACATACCATTATTGATTTATCATTGAAATCAAAATCTCCTTTATGCATCGCATCTACTTTTTCTAAAAAAAAAGTTCAAAAATAGTTGAATACATATTTTTTTAATAAAGCCTAAAGGGAACAAACAATTATTGGATTTGTAGTCACCTGGTGTAACTCCTACTTTATTTATACACGTATTTCTTATTAGCCTTTTTGTAGCTGCCATTTGCTTTTCCGACATCTGAAAAATAATTTAAATAAAAAATAAATTACCTGAACTATCACAGATTGTTTTTAAACGATTTAATTTGAGTTCGGAAATACACCGAATTGGAAAAGTGTTGAAAATTGAAAAACTTACGGCCGATAGTCCATCTTGAACCAACACAAACAAACACAAAAACAAAAATTGGTACTTCATGGTAGCTGTTTCATCACAAAATACATATTTTTAATAATCACCAGTAGTTATGTATCTCATATTTTTCGAATAATTATATGTAATTAAAAAATCTTGTGATTCTCATCTTTAATTTTCAATTAAATAATTGCATATTTTTAAATGACTGGGTCGGAACTGCCATTTTAAAAAATATAATAGAAATAGAGGAGGCTGATAAGGAAACAAGGCGGATATAGAGGAAATTACTACTTTGTATTTTTGAATGAATTTTAATAATTTCATCAACGGTCGACTGACGGTCACATTAGATAAATAACCGTGATTACTGACAAATTGTTTAAGCATTTTTAAAATATGTATTATTAGCAGTATAATTTTTTAAATCTTTAATTGTTGTTTGTCTTGTTCTTGTTATGCATGTTATTGTTTTAATTATCCTCGTACCCCCCCACATAGTATTATTTATTTTCCAATTTTACAGGGATATTCACATAAATTGTGAAGAGTACTTATTAGGAAAAATGGGGAATAAAGTAAATTTTAAAACGATATAAATGTTTCATAAGGAGCAATGTGTTGCGGGACCTCTACTATTCATAATTTATATGAATTAATATTCAGGGCAACAAATAAACCTAAAAGCATCGTATTTACTATAAACGTAATAATTGATTAAATTTTAAAAAATATTCACAATTCACATCTTTTTAGGTATTTTCTTGGGGCTCCAACACCTATGGCCAACTCGGCTTAGGCCATCAAGTTCACGAAAGTCCGTATCCTCAAATTTTGTCGACACTTTCGTCTAATAAAATCATCGATTTGGCTGCGGGTCAGTACCACAGCGTAGCTCTCTCTTCTTTGGGACAAGTCTTCACTTGGGGTTGGGGAATACATGGACAACTAGGACATGGTAACTGTGATAATGAATTTTTACCGAAACTTTTGGATTTTCCTGAAGTTATAAAGCAAGTAAGTCAGTATTTTTAATTGTTGGGTATACTTGTCTAATTTTATTATTCATATTTGTGATGTTTACTATTTATGTTTTATTTTGGGTGGTTTTAGGTGAAAAGTCTTAACACTATATTTTATGAACAAGTCTTGGAGACTAAATTTTAAACTTAAACCGTTTTGCCTCTTACAAAATGAGCCTTCAATGTTTGATTAAAGAGACATCTTTTAGGATATCTTCAACTGTCACTAACCGACACTTTAACGCTTTCGCTGCCCAAGCTTTAAAGCCAACTACACGCTCTGGCCCATCGGTATACGAACATTTAGAAGTTTGGACGTTTATTAACGTTATGGGCCATGCACAATGAAAATCTAAAAATTTATTCTGGAGAATAGCTATTATATATACAATGTAATTATAAATAATGGCACAAGTTAAGACCAAAAGAGAAAAGAATATAAACATCTATAGGATGTCAAGTATATTACCGGGCCGCATATTTACACATCCTCCTATATGACGGCACCGGAGTGCTGAAATCTGTTCGCCTTTGTAACCTACGCTACAAAAGCTCATTGATTTAGGCACCAATGCATGAGGCCTCTCTTATTGCTGGAATCAGTAAGCAAGCTTATCTGCATTCTATGAAACAATGGCTGTACTTAAACTGCTGTTAAACGGTCGTGTACTAAAATGCCGTTAATAGACATGATGTCATTCAAATGACGCATTTGAAGTTTTTTTGGGATAAAAAAAAAAGAAAATATACAAGAAGAAAACAAAGCAACGACTTCTTGTAGGGTGGCGGCCGCCACCAAAAAATTTTAACCCATACCTGGCTACACCTACCGGCATAGACGCCAACGGACTGGACACAGCTAAAATTGAAAAGTAAAGTCTCACATAACTTAAAATTTGTATGGGTGTCTAAATCAATGAGCTTTTGTGGCGTACTTGTAGGCTACAAAGGCGAACAGGTTTCAGCACTCCGGTGCCGTCATATAGGAGGATGTGTAAATATGCTACCGGGCCGCTGGCTGACGGTGTACCTATTAATTCATTTATCGATCAAGGTAGTCAAGCACTTCATGAATGGTTTACCCGAGACTTATAAGTTCTCGGAAGCCTATCTAGGGAGTGGAATAAATGAGGAATTAATAAATCGAAAGAAGTAGGGTATCCAAATGGTGGTACAATTAGCCTATGAAGCTGCAGTCACCATGTCAAAACCTTGTTTGGAAGGCTGGACCATTCAAGGCGGGGAGTCAAAAACAATCGAGAGTAGTTTAAAAGGAAGTCTGAACGCATGAAAAAAGACAAACTTTCGTCGTAGTTCTATACAGGCTGTCCCTTTAGTACATAATTACTTGATATTTCAATTTGTATTATAGACACATGTTTTGATTAAAAGTTATGTGGATTTGAAAAAAAATATAATTTAAAAACATTTTTGGATATACAGGGTGTTACGCTTTTGTCTGGAAAGAAAAACATGTTTTTAAATGGAACACCCTGTATTTTATTTCAGTTTTAGAGTGGCATGGTAATACTGTATTTATCACTAGAATATTTTTCAACTTATAAGGACCAAGCTGTGATGAAAGAATTGGTTCATTTTATATGGGGTTTTATACATATACAGGGTGCCCCATTAGTGGGTAATTGATCGATAGATATTTTATTATTGGAGATATGAAGAAATGTTTAATATAGAAGTTGTAAGACCATATTTTACAATTATTCTTAAATATACATGGTTGTCTACAAATGAGGGGAAAACCAAACGGATATTTTTAAACCAAACGCTCTGTAGGTAGTTACGCCTTACATATTTGGTTGTTTTCACATCGTTTTTTAATTTTAATAGACTAAACGTTCCTAAAAATGTTTAACATTTTCATTTATTTGCTGTGATGCATACAGGGTGTGTCTAAACTTGAGGTTACAATTTTTCAAATATATCCTGTGTATTACGCCACCAATTTATAAATTAATTTCTTTACTTTTTTTATTTTGTTTGGCATTCTATTCCCAAACGACGTTTTTCTCAAGTTTTTGACGGTTTTACCATGAAAATTTACATAATTTTTTCGCATTTTTCCTAATGGCTTTTGAAAAAATGGACTTATTTAGGTAAAATGCTAATTTAATTTTTGGTAACCCATTTGTCAGAATGAATGAATGGTTTTCTATGCCTTCGACGTTACAGGTAATATGAACCATTGTAAATAAAATTTAAAAATCAGTTCAGGCTCAAGAATGCCAAACAAAATAAAAAGTAAAGAAACTAAATTATTAGCTAATTAAATTTGTGGTTTAATCTACAGGGCATTTCATTTAAAAAAAAAAATAAGAAAATCCTAATCTTGCGTTTTGACACACCCTATATATAACGTAGCAAGTGAATGGAAAGTCAAAACATTTTTAGAAACGTTAAATCTATTAAAATTGTTTGACAATGTGAAAACAAATACATTTCTTATACATGGGGGTTTTATTAACCAACTTCAAAAAAGGAGGAGGTTCTCAATTCGTCGCAATATTTTTTTTTTATGTATGTTCAGCGATAATTCTTTAACACGGTGTTCGATTTCAATGATTCTTTTTTGTTAGAAAGGGGATACTTCAGGGGTGGTCCCATATAAATTTGGTCAAAATCTAATAATTGGGTCCATGAGAAAATCCTCAAACTCTTCATTTTTTATGTATGTTTAGCGAAAATGCTTTACCACCTTGTCCGATTTATATGATTCTTTTTTTGATAGTAAGGGGGTACCTCAGGGGTGGTCCCATATAAATTTGGTTAAGATGTGGTGATGGCATCTGCACGTTTTTGAAGTCGATTTTTTTTAATTTTTAATTTCTAATACTTGTTTTAAAACCGTATAAGTTTTTCCACCACTCATTTATGAACTTTCCTGTATACTTAGGAATAAATCTAAAAATGTCTTCGTATCTTTAATAATAAAACAGCTATCGATTAATTACTCACCACCATTGTAGATAAACCATCTAAAATTTATCTGCTTGACGAATTGTCGTTGTTTCTGAAACTCATCACCATCCTTGTCTTTTTAAAGGTAGCTGCAGGACATGCCCACACTCTTATTCTAACAAACGACGGCAATTTATACGGTTTTGGTTCTAACGTTTTTGGGCAACTAGAAGGCAGCCAGAGTGAAGGAAACAAATTTGTCACGCCTGTTTGGGTATTAGTTCCTACTGATAGTTACACTCCAATTGAGAAAATAGCTTCAGCGTACTTCCACAATGTGAGTGGTAAATTTTGTCTTTCCGGAAACTAAATTAAACGTACTTTTTTTTAGATTGCTGTTTTAAAAGATCAAGAAGTACACACGTGGGGTGCTAGTCCGCAAGAGGTGCGAATTTTTCAGTCGAAAAACAACCAAAAACAAAATGGCGTGCTTGCAAAACCGACCGAGTCCTGGAAATCTAGTACGCACATATATTCTGGTGTTGGTAAAAAACCAATTGAAAGAGTTGCTGTTGGGTACAGGCACTCTGTTGTCTTGCATAACGGAAAGGTATTTGCTAACTATTCTCACAAGATAAATCCATAAAATGTTTTCCTTAGTCGATAAATGTATCCTCTAGTTTTTAACCTCTCTGGATACTGTCGAACGCCATTTCTAGGTCTGAAGAACCGTTGTTTATGCTAACTTTATTTTATTCCAGTTATTGTGGGGCAAAAATAGAGAAGAAGAACTGAATTCTCCGAAATTGAAACAACAGGATGGTGTAAATAGTTTTTTCATTCAAAAGTTTATGCACGTCGCTTGTGGTTTAGATTACACCATGGCCATCGATCATACCGGAAAAGTGTTAGCTTGGGGAAGCCCCTCGATGGCGCAGACAATTCTCGGCAGATCTGTGGAAGAAGACAACCGAAAACTAGAAGGCAAAGTAGTCATCTTCAAAAACACCAAAAGAGTGATCAAGTTTCCTAATCAAGGCCAAAGTAGCACAGATAGTCTTCCAATAGAAGTTCCTGGACTACCGTCCATGGCGATAACGTTCAACCCCAGCGATCATAAACTTCTTTTTTCTAGAAACTATTTAGCTTACGCTGTGCGCACAATCGAGAACAACGAAGTGATTATTGAAAATACCAATATTTCGTCATTGGATAGCATTTACGAAACTCCCAATCTAAAATTTGGACACAGAACTCTACATTATGTGTTGGAGACTTATCATGGGTTCTATGATACTGATAATGTGTTGTCTAAGTGTCTTGAAGTACAAAATTATCAGGTATTTTTTAAACCTTTTGACTAAGTACCTCTATATTTCAGACAAATAAGCAATTTAAAAAAATCGTTTGACTTTCAAATTGACTGAGGATAGAAATCCCAAAAAATCTTTGCCAACTATTTTAATTTTAATTTCAGGCAGCTGCAAAACTAGCAATATTAGACGGCCATTTCGGCGACAGTTTAGGATTCCAACTAATAGCGTTCAAAAAACATTTAGACTTCCTAAACCTCGACTTAGATTTCGCTAGTAACGCCAAAGAAGCCCCATCAGAATCCAAGGACTATATAGAGCTAACCGTCAGAAATATTCAAGATGACCTAAACGAGAAAAACCTCGCCTACTCGAACAATTCCCCTGCACATATTTTAAGCACCAGCTCCAGTTTGGACAGCATAAGACAATGGGGAGACGACGTAGAACACCAAGGTGGTAAAGAATCCCCGTGCGAAGCAGAATCTGGCGATATTAGACAAAATATTTCCCACTATGTACAATCTTTGAAGCATCATGATAATTCTCCTATTGGTAGCGTTTCAAAGTTGGTATCAGAAATGGATAATGTTCAAATTAAAATGAAACAACCAGACACTGGTTTGCAAGTTAAAGACAAGGCTGTTTTGGAAATTCTCGAAGCTGCTTCATATTTGGTCGAATTTTATATTCGGTAAGTATTTATATCAGAGATAACCAGGAGATGTAACTACTAACAAATATCGTGCGGCCGTGAATAAGACATATTCTAAGGGACACAGTAGGGTATAATATCCGCTGGTATCATATTAGTAAAGTGAATGTATTAAAATATTCGCTCAAGAAAACGATTTACCTCCCACTCTTTTGTCACAAGTTGAATTTTTCACATATGAAAGGTCATGATAAGGTAACCCTTATTCCGGAGGTAATACAAAATTAGAATGTGCAGAAGGACACTATCATCAAAAATCCAGATATTGATACCACCGAATAGAGAAAAATATACTCATTTTTTGGTCAAATGCACAATAAAATCTTTGTAGGGAGTAATTGTTTATACTTATTTAAAAAAAAAATCATTTGCATTAGCCCTTGTGGCCGAAAAAAAAATATAAACGTAAATATCTTGGTTTTAGCCCTTCAAAAATTTAGTTAAAAAGTCGTCTTTTTTAAATATACCACTCATTTACCAAAAATTGAAGGCCTAAATGAAAAAAAAAAAAAAACTTTATAAAATTTTTGCTTATGTGTTGACAAGGTAACAGAGTAAACACCATATTTTTTGCATTTGAATTAACAAAGATATAACAATAAACGCTGTAATTAATTCTCACCGCCAATTTTATCGACTCTCAGTGTATCTTTCTCTTCTCCTTCAGACGTAGCATAGCTCTGTTTCTCTCTACGTGCCCGGCTGATGTGTCACATTATTGATATGGTAGGATTTTTTTATTATAAAACTTCTCGTTATGTTCCATTGGGCAATGTGTCATATTGTTATCTGTTTTTACTAAAGAATTAATAAGTGTATATATCAAGTTGAACACGTGCACAATTTATTTATACAAGTTCATACAAGTTTATTAATAATGTAATTTCTGGAATATAAAACAGCAAGCGCCTAAGTGAGTGAACACTTGTATTGCGCTGGTTAATATATGTTTAATAATTTCATTTTAATATAATATAATTGTAATAATATTGCGTTCATCTTAGAATAAAATAATGATGTGATTACATGTTTATACCTACCCTACTCTAGTATTTTTATAAACTCATAATAATGTAAAAAAATAAATGTTTTACTTAGTTTAGAAAAAGTTTTTATGTTTGTAACATTCCTTATACTATGTGGTAAAAGGTTATATGTTTTTGGCAATGTATATACCAAGAATCTATGACAAACATTTCTATTAAATTTAGGAAAATATAGTAGCTTATTGGAGATACTTCGCGTGTGCTATATATTAAACTACCTAATAAATTGGGAAGAAATATAGACATTTTTGCGTCTTTATTATATCTACATTCATCCTGTTGCAGCTGAATATATTTGGGTAAGTTATAAGTTTTCGTTTAAAATTTTAATTACGGATTTGTTGTTGCAAGTAGCAAAGACAAAAAGATTTCAAAATAGGGAAGCCCAAAAGTTGCATATCATTTAAAGAATATGCTCATATATTTGTAAACATTATTTATAGAAATAAATTTAATGCTCAAATGATAGATGTGGTATTTGATCATTATAAAGGACATTCTATCAAAAATACAACACGTCAAAAGAAAGGATCCCAGAAATCAATTGATATAGAAATTGACCGACCCAATATTCCACTTCCGCAAAAATAGAACTTGTTTATTCATTCGATATTTAACAAAAAACGTTTAACAAATTTTCTGTCAGAGCAACTTCTTCAAAACTCCATCCAGCAAAAGCATATTCAATTTGTAACTAGTGGTGGATTCGCGAAAATCAATAAATATGGGAAGAATTTTGAACCATTAAAAGACGATTTTTTAAATTCAAATCACGAAGACGCTGATAATCGTATCTTATTGCACATATTGTCAGCCAAAAATTCGGGGCATTCACGCTGCATTATTTATTGCAACAATACAGATGTTCTAGTCTTATTAATTTATTTTAAGAAGTTTTTGACTAAAGATATATGGTTCAGAACAGGGCGAGGAGACTCAAGACGATTTCTAGCAGTACATTATTTAAATTTGGATGAAAACCTTCTAAAAAATGTGCCTGTTTTTCATTCTTTGACCTGTTGTGATACAACCAGCCAATTGTCCGGCATTGGGAAAAGAACCTGTTGGAAAACTTACCTTGAACACCATTACTTTTTGGATGAATTTGGCACTGATCAGTACTCTGAAAACATATTCTCTAATATTGAAAGAATTTTCATAAAAATTTATTCAAAACTGCCAATGTTACTTCCATTAACATTTTGAGGGGATTATTGGCCTCTTCAAAAACCATCGCTAAATTGCCACGGACTGAAGACGCCCTAAGACTACATTGTTTAAGATGTTTTTACCAGCTAAATATTTGGCTAAGCTCTTTAAACCCAGATGCAGCTTCCTAATGTTGAAGAGTATGGATGGAAAGTAGATCAAGATGGAAGGCTGATACCCACTTTTAAGACTCTGGCCGACCTGACACCAGACATAACAGAACTTACATCATGCAAATGCAAAAAAGATACTATACAAATTTCTAACAATAATATTCTGTTTTACCAGAAAAACTGCAGAAATAGTTTGACCACAGCCGCTAATGTTTTGGAAAATGTTGATTTGTGTGGTGAATCTGATTAGTTTGAAAGTCTTGTAATTATAAATTTTAATATTATTAATTTATGCTTTATATAGTTCCTTCCAATTATTATTATTATTATAATAATTTATTTATATTGGAGATTTATAATCTTGAAGTAATTAATACACCCTATTATTCATAGTGGATAAATCAATAATCCCTGTATAAAATAATATAAGAGAGTCAAACTGATTGCATACATTTCAATACTGAGAGAGATGCATAGAGAGTCGAGAGGCTCTGCCTTTAATGTTTGCTTTCTAGTAAAACCATGACATCACTAATTGTTTATTGCCATATTTTTGTTAATTTAAAAAATATGAGGAAAGAACTTTTACCTTGTCAATACATAGTCGAAACTTTTATGAAGAAGAGTTTTTTTTCATTTAGGCCTTCGTTTTTCGTCAAATTAGAGGTATATTTCTAAAAGATTTTTTATACAAATTTGTAGACAGTTGAAACCGAGATATTGACGTTTAAATTTTTTTCGACCATAAGGGCTAATGTAAACGATTTTTTTTAAATAATTATAAAAAAATACTTCCTACAAAGACCTAATTGAGCATTAGAACAAAAAAATAAGTATTTTTTTTTTTCTATACGGTGGTATCAATAACTCGATTTTTTATGATAATGCCCTTTTGCACAGTCTAATTTTGTATTACCTCCGGCATAAGGGTTAGCTTATCATGTACTTTCATCCCTGAAAAATTCAGCTTGTGAAACCGAAGTGGGAGGCAAAGTTAAAATAAGTTTTAATCTACACCATACTATATGGTTATTTAATTATTCTCGTTTAGTTTACAAAATTATTTACATATATTTAAAAAGCTAAAATAATTCAACCTATTTTATTGCAACTGAACCCAAAGCATTTTGAATATTAGTTATATTAAATTTAACTAAATTATATGTAATTTCACTAAATTAGATGTAATAATTTTCAAAAAATTCCAAAAACCTAGCGATGTTAGATTGGAAGTGGCAACAGGGCTTACACCGGCATGGAAATTTACGTTATGTAGTATAAGCGCGCACAGTTAATTCATTGATAAAACTAAGTTTTCTTTCCGTATAATTATTCTCTCTATTCCTTGTCTTACTTCTCACCGTTCGTCGCCTCGCCCCGCGTCTAGAAATAGAATAATCCATTGTCGAACTAATGTTGAATATTATATTTTATCAATGACTGCTTATATCTCTGATTTATATCTTTCTTTTTTGTAATCTGCCAAGGCTACACTTTAATATTTTTATAAAATTAACAAAAAGATTATATTGTTTTTGTTTTTAGAAAAATCTACATTTCGGAGAACCACATTTTGATGCAGAACATCCTCATGAAATGCATAGAATTTTGGTTATCTAATAACCTTCCAGTACCTGTTCTAGAAAGTGTTCTTCTCAAAAACATGGACAAATACTTCTATCCCTTGTCCATACTGCTTTTCTGCAAAGATTTCAGCAATCCCGAATATGAGGACGTGAAGCCTACATCGACGGGATTTTTAAAAGAATTCTCGACCAAATTTTGCCTTCAGCTGTGTTCCATGGTGTTGGAAAACGTCGATAAGGTGTAATTTCAAGTTGTTGCATTTTTAAAGTTATTTTTAAGCGTATTTTAGTAGTTTATTGTAAGGGTGATTTCAAAAATTAATTATATTTTTGAACATGCAAAATATTATATAACTACCTAATAGACAGATGTCACATTTCCGGAGAATGTCAAATGTCAGTCTACTGAAAAATCAGTATATTTTATAACCCAAAATTGACAATCGTCTTAAGTTTTTGAAAGCATCCTACATGTTATAAAAGAAACTAGTCAAAAAAAAATTGGTAGGTCTCATTATTTGTTGGTTTTTAGTTGCATTTTTGTTAATCTTTTCAATCTTCCTGACTAAAGTGTTTTAGCTTTTCAGTAGGAATTTTGGTAGACCTTTCACTAAATACCTTTTTGTCATCCTTTTGTAGAATGAACATAAGATATTGAAAAAATAATTTGCTGTTTAAATTAATCAAGAAACCCATCGACACTTTGAACATGAACATAAAAAAAAATTACTCAGAATGTGGCAGTTAAGTAATTTTTTCAATAATTTTATTAAACCATTTTACGAAATAGTACTAGTCAATATTTAACTCTTACAAAAAAAGAATCTATAGCACAAATCTCACACATAATCATTTTGATAATGAAAATGGTAAATACTCAAATTTCAAAATAAGTATATTGTAAACAACTTGTAAAAATAATAGCTGTTCTACCAAAAATAAGTTAAATAGAAAATTGATTTTGCTTTTTATTTGCTTTAAGTGTTATCACGTACTTATGTTGTTTTTGTTTAGTTCAATTATTATATTTTAAATAAGTCCTAAAAAGCAGAATGACTGAAAATTGTGTAAAATACAATTTAATAATTTATTTGAATCTTCTTGACTCAACGTCATGCATAAAATTTGATGTAAATCTTCAACTAAACTGTTAAGATATTGAATTTATGTTATAATGTCATTGAATTTATTAAGCAAATCAACTTTTCATTATAGCGATATTTATATATTTACTTTAAGATTGTGATGTTTAATGTTATTTTATAATTTTTTTAGAAATACTAAGTTTGTACCTGCTGCGTTGTTAATTATTGATTTAGAACGTATACACAAATTGGATAGTTGTATTTTTAAAAATAAACTGTATTTAAACAAAAGCTATTTTAATTAATATTGGTAAAGATACAATGCAAAATAAGTAAAAGGAACAACTTAAAATAATAATTCATAGCAAAGTTTGATAATACTCGTATGTCAAGAAAACATATATAATTAAATGGAAACATCAAAGTATTCAAATGGTCCAACAGTTGGTAAGTCGTCTTCAAAACTGCTATCATATAAAGTTGGTTCTTGCAGTTCGCAAATAAATGGTGGTGGCAATTCTAAAAAGTCTGAGTCTATCAACATGGGTTGTTTATTTTCTTTACATGGGGAAGGTGGTGGTGTTTGTGGATCCAAATTTCTAAGCATCTTCATTGTTTCTTTTCCTATGGGTAAGGAATCCCAAATATCATTATAAGTGTCTGTAAAAAATAATGCATATTTTCGATCAAAAATTAAAAATTGTACTCATCTCTGATAAACAAAAATATTTTTTTTTATTTTGACCTACAACAAAAAGTTAAACCGTGTGCACTTTGTCAAAAAAAAAAATATTTGAATCTATCTTTGGAATAAATCAGGACTTAGTTAATGCGGCCTTAAATAACCAGTATACAATTACTGAAGATGTTTCCAAATTGAAACCAGAACAAATAAATTGCCTTATATTTAAAGATGAAGTAAATGTTGCTACCATATGAAACCATTTTAGTGATACAGCATTCAGTAAATTACAAGACTTATTAAATACTAGAAATTATAAGAAGTCCTGGTTTTGTCCAATATGTGAAAAGCAAGTAAAAGAAGATAGCATACGCTGTGATACTTGTCTGAGATGGATACATGTACAAACCAAAAAGTATTTAATAAATCCAAAGACTTTAGTATGCAAAAGAAAGTAATTCATTAAATTACAGGTTAACTTATTTTAGAATATTTTTTTATTTCATTTAAATGTTACATTTGTATGCATTCTATTTTGTTCTCTATATACATATTTATATTTTATTTAAGGTTTGTTGACTCTGTTTCTACTTACTTTTTAAGTATAATCATTTATATTTTTTTACTTATATACTTCAAAGCATGTATTAAATGCTACAATAAATCATTTTTATATATGTATTTGTCTCATTTTTTCCCCTCTACGGATTTTTTGTATTTAATGAATGTTAAGTTCTACTATAGTAATTGACTTATGGATCATTAATACTAAATGCTATTCTACTGACTTATGGCAGATTAGCACCAGACTCTAGACTACAGACTTATGGCAGATTAGCACCAGGCTCTAGACTACCGACTTACGGCAGATTAGCACCAGGCTCTAGACTACCGGCTTACGGCAGAATAGTCTCAATAGTCACTTCCTTTTATAATCAAGTAGGTATCTACTTACAACAGTCTTAATATTTTTAATACTTTTTTTGTATTGAAAAAATAGTAGTTATAACTGCTTACCTTTTATTTCTTTACCAGAAAATACAAAATCTTCTCCATCTAGGTCGGAATCTAACATTTCCTGTTTGACTAATTTAGGAGAGATTTTTTGTTTCATGGTGGTACTTTTTTTGGAACCACTTTTCAAATTAAGTTTTCTATCAAAAGGACTCTCTCCATTTACTGACCGATCTATAAAAGGCATCCTAGGCACGAGTTGAGACCCGGCCTTTCGCTGTACCATATTTTCTGCATCTAAATTAAAAAGAAATTAAAAATTGTAATCGAATTAAACAATTCCACTTACTTTCCGACGAATATATTTGTATTCCAGGTGAAGAAAACATTTTGGCCAAAATCTAGAAACTGTCTTCAAAGTTTAAATCGGAAATTAAACGTGCAATGTGCTACCAACGGAGGAAGGATAATGTGCTACCAATTTGCACTTTTTTGTTCAATTTCTTTCAACTTTCAACGGTCAAAAATTTCAATTTTTTGTTTATCCAAATGTCATTTTTTAGCAGTTTTTAAATTTTCTTCTTAAATGGTCTAAAACTCATAGGTAATTCAGTTACTCCCATTGGTGGTTGGATAGCAGACTTTATCACATGACTCAAGTTGGACCAATGAAAAGATTCCTGATTCTTCCGCTTTTATTTGAAATTCACCTACTGTTTAAGCCATTTAAAAAATTACATCATATAAATATTGAGCATGAAATAAATAACTTACATCATGATGTTGTATAAAAAATATATTTTTATGTAGGATGTAAGAATAGGCTCATGCTAAACCTCGCCCAAGCCAATGTACATTTCTATATATTATTTTTTGGATGTAGAAATAAAGGCTATTTATTATATTGACTAGGAAGTGTGTAAATCATATACATTTCATAACTGTGAAACATTTGTGAAAGCTTCATTGTTAATTATTTATATTAAAAAAAGCATAGTAAAAAAACTGGCGTTGTAACTTGTAAAGCAAAAAAGAACTTTAGAAGGAATGTTAAATAAGGTAGAAATTTAAAATAATAGAATACGGATTTTAATGACCTGACTTTTTATAGTAAGAACATTTTGACATATCAAGTTCTAAACCTAAAATACTAGTTAATTCATTTTCTAAAAGTTCATGTAACGTTTTAAAATCATGTTTATATATCCAATAACCTCCGTCTGGTACAAAATCGTATCGTTTTGGTCCAGATTTTGGCGAACTTAACCAGATCTGCTTATTTGGTGTCTGCCTGTTCATAACATATGTACCATGTTTGCCTAAATTTACAGTTAACACACCACTACTGAATGACACGTCTCCTTTTCTTAATTTTTCATTGCTTTCTAGAAGTTCTTCAAAAAAATCTGACAAGGACTCTAAAGTTTCTTCACAAACTTTTTCAAATGTTGTTGGATCGACTTCTTTAAAAATAGTATCAGGTTTTTGACTAAAAGGCTGACACTTTTCTACAATTGTAGAAATTTTGCCCACATCTGATATTTTAGTAAAAATATTACGTTTATCTCTAATTGCATTATGGGACGAGGCAGACTTAACAGGTATATTTTTATGTCTAAAACGCCTTAGCACTCGTAACATTTTTCATGTCATATAATTATTTTTACTTTTAAACTATGTACATACAAACGACTATACTTCATTGACTATTTAAAATAAAATGGTTTAACATTTTCATTTTACACTTGCTCCTTGTTTGACACTTTTGACAGATAGAACATAACCTTTTTTTTATTAAATTTCATTTCACCAAATACTTATATAATAAATAGTGGAATTACTTTATATGATGCATGTAGTTAAAAAAGAAGACATACATTACATTGACACTTTACTGTTTAGAAACAGGCCATCAACTAGAAGAAAACGAAGAACAACTAGACCGATTGCAGTCAAATGTCAGTTTTTAAATTTTTATTTGATTTTAAATTGTACAATGGGTAATTTTTTTGTTAATTTTATTGTTACACAAATAGAAGTTAAGTAAAAATATAGAAATATTGATATTAGTTTTGGTATACAACATAAGATAAACAATTTAAGATGTCAACGACTCCTGGATCTAAATTAAGTCCTTTTGGGAATAGCATAAGGAAAACTCTACTAACTCCTTGTCGCAGAGTGGGATTATCAAGAAAGACAAAGACTCCAAACAGCATTAATAAATTATTGTCTCAAACCCCGGTTAGTAACACTAAATTATCCGACCAGCAATCCAATATTACACCAGTTAATAAAAACAAGACTCCTATTAAAAGAAAAAGTTTAGTCGAGTTAGCAAACCCCATGGAAAAAAGTTGTAAACTGGAAGATAATGTAAAAAGTAAACCTAATGCAAAAAAGAGTCTTAATGAGTGTTTTAATAGTAAAGAATCCGAATTAAAATCAAACACCATTCCTACTGAACCTACTGATGAAAAGAATATTAAACAAGTTGTTACTAGTAAAAAGAATTCCAAAAAGTGTAAAAAAAATAGTGAGCATGAAAATATAGATAATGAATCCAAGAAAAATAGTAACGTAAAAGATATTAAAAAAATTGAACAAATTGGAGTTGACTGCAAGAAAGTAATACCTAAAGAATATGATATAAACACTAAAAATGAACAAAATACTAGTGATAGTGAAGCACTTGAAATTAAAACCGTTGCCCAGGTTCATGTTGGCTCCATTCAAAATGACCAAAATTTTTATGGTCTTGTATCAGATCATGATTATCACAAAAAGGATATTACTAATGAAGATACAAAAAATCCAGTTTGCAAAGAAATCTTTAAAGAGAACATTTCCAATAAAAAGATGGTTCAATGTTTTGAACTAGAAACCAATAATTCAAGTACTAGTACAAGTAGCAGTCCAATAGTAAGAAAACCTTGTAAAAATAGAATATTATCTGATTCAGATGATGATTTTACTATATTGCCTCCTGAAAATGCAAAAAATAAAAATGAATCAAATAATAAAAACATCCTTGTAGAAAGAAGCACATCTATTAATAATGAGTGTGTTGAGAGAATAAGAGACTGTAAAATAGGTTTGCAAAACCTCAGTGAAGAAGATATGAACATTATTAAAAACAAGACAAAGAAGAAAAATAAGAAATTTATTTTATCAGATGATAGTGATGATGATTTTTGTCCTAAAAGTTCAATGAAAATTAAAAAAAGCATGTCAGAAATGAAATTAAAAACCAAAACATCATCAAATTCAAGCACAGGAAAAACCGATTCAGGCCCAGGAGACAAAAAATCAACAGAAAATCATTCAAAATCCAAAAATTTCTCAAAAACTGTTATTTCACAACTGTCTTTTGATGATGAAGATGAGGATGCATTTACTTCAACACCTGATAGAGAAAAAAATGAAAAAAGAGAACTAATAGAAAAAATTAAAGACTTGGAATCAAAAATTAAAATAAAGAAACAAAAAGTGGACAACCTAAATAGGGCTTCCGTATATAAATCAAAACATAATGTTAATGAACTAAAGCAACTTTCAGACACTTGGAGACAAGGCTGTGTATTGGGTTTGAATGAATTGATAGTTAAACTGCAGAACCATGGACCTATAGATATGACAACATTGTTGAGAAATTTGCGTATACCAGATGAAATGGTTGCAAGAATATTTGTTGATGTTATTTCAGATTAAATTCTAATTAGTTTTATTAAAACAATTAATTATAATTTATTTTATTAGTAATATACATTTCCTATTAACTGATCTTTGGGTGTCCCTTTTTTTTATTAATTTTAATTTATGTGGTTGTATATATTCGATCATGTATTGGAATAGATACGCCTTGTTTACATGAACAATTGTCGTATAATATAGAGAAAGTAAAAGTTGAAAAGTCTTTTGGTAGGTAGAGAGGGGGTAAACGTCAAACCACGTCGGGCGGCTCCGAGAATTTCACAGTAATGTTTACCTGCCAGTGTCGTTTCATAGAATAAGTAATTTTAAATTTTTATCGGCGGAACCGGACAATCGCATGTATTTATGGATTATAAATAATTATTAAACATGTATTATAATATTCAAATTATAATTTTACAAAATTTCAACAGCTATTCACAATTTATTAAACTATTTACTCGAAATTGTTATTAACATCTATAAAATAATTTTGTACGCCAATGTATCGTGTCCACTTCGGTGAGATCCGCTGACAACCTGTCAATTTATGTGTATAAAGTGGGAGAACTGGCAAAAGCATTTCCAACTTTTACTTCTGTTCTAATAAGGTCCATAATCGCATACACAACAAACGATGGTACCAGCAGAGGTTGCCACAGTGTCTGTTTCGGTTAAACGTATAAGGATAATAATGAATAGTTCCCAATGTTTCAAGGTTCAAGATACTTAAAATGGAGCTTAATATTTAACAGTTCATTCAAGAATCTAAATCATATTCATAAAATTTCTCATTTAATTTTTTTCTGCATTGAATCGGTGTTTAAATTAGATGTTTTTAAATTTTGTTCACTAGAATACCGTCGGTTTAACCATTAAATACTATATTTTAACTGAACATTTGGCAACCCTGTTTGTATATGTTTTTAAAAATGTTCGGTGTTTTATTTTAGTGGAATATTCTTGTTTTATTTATTTATATAAAAGATTGTCTACAAACGTGATTATACATTTCAAAATAGTAAAGAGATGGATAGTTTTGCGAACATTTTGGACCAAAACCACCTAAAACCAATGCTCGCTATTTTCACAGGTAGGTTATGTCAAAATCAATCTCATGAAATGTAAATAAATAATGTAGATATCCATATCCATTGGCGTAACAACTGTGCTAGAATTTTGTTTAATTCTTGATATAAAAATACCTAATTGTAGAAACTGGTTATTTTATGGTATACAGGGTGTACCAATAAAACCTCCCAGGCCGGATATTTTGATAAGTAATAGAGATATTTTAATTCTGTAAAAGCCAGTTCATAGAGCGTTAAGAGAGCTTCAGTTTTAGATATAAATTAATTTTAAATAGGTCAATATGTAGATGGCGCTGCGCTCAATAACTTTTTTTCGATGGGAGGATCTTTCTTGTGAAGCTGGTAAAAAATGCATTTTAGGCAGATTTTGTTCTATGAACTAATTCTATAAATATAGCCTTTTTTGATATACAGAGTGGGTCACTCAAAACAGTTTTATCTTGTTTTTCGGCATTAATAATTGGATTTTTAGAAAATGCTAAAACTGTCGATATTTATTCCAAATTTTACAATACAGACATCTGTCAGGTGTTAACCCCCTCCCTTCAACTTCTCCAACCCCTTAATTTTAAATTAGGAATGTACCATGTACGGCACATCATTGAAAAGGTAATTTTATGTGGAAGTCAGAAATATGACTGTTTATTCCGATACTTTCAATTTTAGCGCCCTCTATCGGTATAAAAAAAGCCTGTAACATGTAATAAAATGTGACACTTCATTTGAAAGCTAATTGTATTACTAATGCAATGCCCTACATAACATAAATATCAATATTTCCATACTGCACTTGCAACAAAATTAAGTTAGCAATAATGTTTAAAATAATGCATGACTAATTTTTAAACTATTGCAAGTGCAATATGGAGGATATTTATAATAATGTTATGTGGTGCATTAAATTAGTAATTAAATAAGGTGTCACACTTTATAATCCGTACAGTTTTTTTATCCTGATAGAGGGCGCCACAATTAAAAGTATCGCAGTGAACAGCTATATTTCTAAATTTCCCATAAAATTACCTTTTTAATGATGTACTACACATTGTAGTGATACACTATAATACGTAGTGGTTTTTTATCCCGCTAGAGGGCGATACAATTTAAGTAACGGAATGTACAGAAATATTTCTAAATCCCCCATTAAATTACCGTTTCAATGATGTACCATACATGGTACATTACCTATTTAAAATTAAGCTGTTGGAAAAAAGCAAGAGAGGGGGTTGACACATGACAGATGTCTGTATTGTAAAAATGTTTCTAATTTGGAATAAAAATCAACCTGTTTTAGTATTTTCTTAAAATCCAATGATTAATGCTGAAAAACAGGATGAAACTGTTTTGAGTGACCCACTCTGTTTATCAAAAATGGCTAGATTTATCGAATTAGTTCATAGAACAAAATCTGCTTAAAAATGTATTTTTTACTAGATGCGCTACACAAGAAAGATCCTGCCATCGAAAAAAAATTATTGAGCGCAGCGCCATCTACATATTGACTTATTTAAAATTAATTTATATCTAAAACTGAAGCTCTCTTAGCGCTCTACGAACTGGCTTTTACAGAATTAAAATATCTCTATTACTTACAAAAATATCCGGCCTGGGAGTTTTTATTGGTACACCCTGTATACATTTACAGGTTTACGAGAAACATTGTCATTGTGGCTGAACAACTTGAAAATAAATGAGGAAGATCTCAAAACTGGAAGATGCCAAAGTTTGTTCAGATCACTTTTCACCTGAAGATTTATTTAGCTATAATAATCGAATATTTTATTTGAAATAAAATGTTTTGCCAATAGAGTAAGTAAACAAGTGTCTTTATATACATACTTTCGTATTGATATAGGTAAAAGGTAATTTATAAGTATTTATTGCAAACGCCTACTTACACCTAGTTAAACAATTCTTTTTTGAAACTGTTATTGAGGTCTAAAATACTGTGAAAAATAGCTTAGAACTAACTGTCTCCCAGTTATATAGTTTAATAAACACAAAGTAAACTTTTTTTGAGTAAAAACTTATATTTTTTTTTAGTACATACTTCGTTGAGGGAAGTAGTATAGAAAATGTATATGTGAAATGTGAAAACGTATGATTGTTATATTCGCTATTCGCTCAGTGCGAAGTTATGGTAGGGGAAGAGAAGCGATTCTAGCACAAGCTGCAGATAATTCGACCAGGGCGATATTTTGTCATTTTGGCGTACCACATATATACACGTATACATTTTACTTTTTTTGTAAAAAAGAAGTAAGAATAATGTAATAAGCAACCGTAGTTGCTGTGTACTAGAAGTAGAATCTCCCAAGGTATCTTCTAAAAAGTAAGTTTTCACTTCTTTTACAAAATTAAATTATTTTTAAATTCTAAGATATTTTGTAATTTATTCGGGTTCTGTGAATAGGAAAAGAAAACATCAATCCATGTCCTGCACCAATGTGAAAGCCTAACTAGATTGAGGTTTCTAATACTAGATGAAAAAAAGCCAGACACATGTAACTACATGCATGTGGATGCCACTGTCAGGGAAACTAAATCTAATAAAAAAGTCCAAGCTTAGATGATATACTCTATCTGTAACGTGTGGAGGGTGGGTTACCCCACGGCACTTAGGCCTCATTAGGTCCATTGTGCATCCTCCTGAGAAGATAGGCACCTCCTAGTTCGTGAGCCAGCCTACAGATTTAATGTAGTTGACAACGTCGCCAAGAAGTGCTTCTCTTATATCGGCCGGTGTTAGCCGATACTCGCCGAACACAAATCTTCTAATAAATGAGAGCGTCGAGCAAACGTAAAGGATATACTCGATGTTCTCATCTTCTTGTTCGCACCCTCTGCAGAGTGCGGATTCTGACAGCCCCATGATATGGAGATGCTTTCGTACTTGGCAATGACCAGTCAGAATGCCTGTGACTAGGCGCAGATTCTGTCTAGTCATAGTCATGTATTTGTTTGCTGCAGTGTTGTCAGGATAACTTAAGAGCTCCCTGGCAACTCTGCAGTTTCTTGTTTCATCCCATCTTTCCTTAAATTTGATTAGGTCTGTCACTGCCGATTTTGTCAGGCCAATAGAAGGGACAGGTCCAAAAAGTATTTGGTTGGCTGCTTACTTGGCTAGTGAATCAGCAAGACGGTTACCTTTCGATGTGGCGTGGCCTTTAATCCATCTAAAGGTGAATACGTTGTTGATGGATACTTCGGCCAAAGCTTCGTGACATTCTAGTACTAACCCTGAATAAATTTGTGATGACATACTCTAAAACAAATCGAGTCTCACAATAGATCTGAAAAGGTCGCGGTGGACACAATGACAAATAATATAAAACTCCTTTTAAATCTAATATCTAATCTACCCTTATTTTGGACAAAAGCGTCGTGACATGCCACTCGTATTTTGGTATCTCATCGAAATTTTTATTAATTTTTACGTAAAAGTCTTCAGTATTCTAAGAAATTCTTCATGTATTCGTTTAATTGGGCATTTAGAAGCAAATTGATATGAAAATATTGTTTATTATTTGCGCTTATAAGGAGCCTATATAATAATTGCAAATGGTTACAACGTTGCCAACTATCAGTTAAAATGTTGAATATTGCATAAAACCATGGAAGTGACTCTTTATTCGAAATATCAGAATTCAATTTCAAGACAAAATATTCAAAACGATAAACCCCCTTGGATTATGGAGGAACATAATGATGTCTCATATGCGCGGGGTACTGCTCACCAATGGGTTTTGAATTATAAACAATTTTATTACAGGTATATATTCTAAATACTAATGGTATCTAATACCGACCAATTTTAAATGAGTTGTTTACATGTAGTAATTATTAAAAGGTAGTTCACACGCGACAGTCGTACACAAAAATATCGCCTAATAGTGAATACCAAAAGTTTGAAATTCTCAATGCTGAAAAATGTTATTTTTGTAAGAGACTGAACACAACACATGTAAGCTTATGTACGGATACGTTATTATTTCAAGTAAAATCCATCCGGCAACGTCACAAATATATGAATGATGCGCTATCAAGTGAATACCTATAGAAATTTGTGACTTCCTCATACTAATTTTAAGGGATTCCAGTTCTCAAATACAGTAGACAAATTAATTTTTCAAGAACACGTCACGAGGTTATAACAACCTCTTATCGCCGATTCCACCGTTGTGTTAAACGGAGATTAAAATAAGATTGTTAATGTAAAAATGTCATTTGAAACACAACGGTGGAATCGGTCCTTAGCTGATCGAGTGTAATTCAGTGATTCTGAACTAACAATGTTGCCAAGTTGTAATCATTGTACCCCACCACCCAGACAGCACACCAAATCCTTTGGATATCTACGGAACATCCCAATATCCACTGAATGTCCAGTCCATGGTAGATATATATTTTATATCCATGAGATGTAATATATAGACATGCAAATGTCCATAAATAATAGTAATTATATAGCAAATTATTAAAAAATTACGCCATTGTGCTCGCCATTGTGGCTAATAGTACCGTTCAGATATTTCAAATTAATTTTTTTAAGGTTTATTCAATATCCCATGAATATCCACTAAATATATCAAAGTCTAGGCGCGAATGCAAACCATCGTGGATATCCACTAGATATTATTTGATTCTGCTTACTAAGTATAGATAGCGATACCACTATCGCATCTACTCATGCTCGACCCGCCATAATAGAGTTCGATCGAAATTTTTATCCTACAGACTCCATTAGAGACCGGAGTCGAGAATTTCCATTTATTGCTGAAGAGTCCTAATAAGGATGACTTTCTCCTAGTGGGCAAAATCAAAGGCAGAGTGTTGAAAATATTTTGAGTGTTGAAAATATTTTTTATCTCTGCTATTTTCTTTCGACGTTATTCAATAATCAATGGTTACTTATGAACCTCTACTAAAGATACCCATAAAATATTTTGTTGAATATCCGAATATCTTCTATATCCTGGGATACATTTGGTTGGATATCCATATATTGAATATCCACAAAATATATTCTGTGGATATCTATGGGATTTCTTGTATTTTCTGAAAGATACCCATTAGATATTTTGCTGAATATCCATTAGGATATCTTCTATATTCTGGATATAGACGGACATTTGGATATCCATATTAGATCCACGGAATATTTCTGATATCCTGTAGATATATTGGATATCCATAAAAGATATTCTGTGGATATCTCTGGGATTTGGTGTGTTGTCTGGGTACGCGTTACGCGTCGACTGCTTTAAAAATATTTTTATTTTAAAAATCTATATCTTTTTACCAAAACGGTCAAAAATTCAGCGTTTTTTAGAAAATTTTATAACTTATGACAGGCTTCAAGACTGTTAATTATGCACAATTTGATTGTTAATATCTCGTTTCACAGACGGTCAAAAAATTTATTTTTTTGTATTTAGGTACGTAAAAGACACTTTCATTATCCTTATATTTCAATTTTATTGAATTCTTAAGAAAAGCCGTTTTACGATTGAACTACTTTAAATATTATTTTAAAAAAATGAAAATAAAGTCTTAAAATCTAAATCTTGAGGCATATTTTTAATTATATTTAATATGGAACTTAATTTTTAAATAAAATGTACCTATTTATTGTAAGTTTTTATTTGCATTTAAATTTTTAAAAAATAGCCATCTGTCCAAATAAAACCATTTTAAATTAGGAATTCTTATTATAGGTATTTAAAAATATATTATCGCAGACAATTTTAATCGACGCTACCCATTTTAAATTAGACACACCACTTCATGCATTGTCAGAATTGTTAAAATAGAGAACAAATATAATGCCATTTCTTTTTCTACTACGCATCTGTGGCAAATGGAATCCATCAAATGCCAACAACCACAAAAAAAATGCCATTTCTTCTGTTCCGTCTAACTTGTGTACGGCAAAATTTTGCTACAGTACTTTGTAAATAATAAAGTTCATTAATCTCCGCATTTGTGTAAAACTATTTTTGGTTGTAAAATAAAATGCTTTAATTGGTCTTTATTTTATTTTATAAAGGAAAGTATGTAGTCAGAAATATGTATAATATTCTTGCTTCACATTTAAAACGGGTTCTTCCCAATATTTTTCTATTTTCTTTTCTTCTTCATCAGTCAAGCTTTATAGTAGGTATATTTATTCAAAATGTATACAAATTGTTTAAAGTACAAAATTAATAATCCTATAAAATTTAGTAAATAATACACAAAAGGACAAGCTTGTGCATGGTCTTTGTAGTATCACAATACTGTGAAATATTATTCTTACATTGGGGTCTATTCTGTAACAATTCCTTTATATTTAACGGCCTTTAAAAATATTTTCTTCTTTACTTCTGTCGTTATTTAAACGGATCTTTAAAATACATTAGAGGACTATCTTAAAGAATTCTGTTTAAATAATAACAGAAGTAAATTAACGAATACGAACATATGTTTAAAGGCCGACAATATTTTTAACAACCCCTATGGGGTCTATTCTGTAACAATTCCTTTATATTTAACGGCCTTTAAAAATATTGACGGCCTATAAAAATATGTTTGTATTCGTTAATTTACTTCATTATTTAAACAGATTTCTTTAAGGTAGTCCTCTAATGTATTTTAAAGATCCGTTTAAATAATGACAGAAGTAAAGAAGAAAATATTTTTAAAGGCCGTTAAATATAAAGGAATTGTTACAGAATAGACCCCATTGAAAGTTAAAAATATACGCTATAAAACAATATTTTTTTAAAATTATATCCATATGCTTTCATCTAGAATTTTATAGTAATTAACAATACATAAATCCCTTCCATACGGTACGGCACTGCCAAGTTTTCCGTTTGTATCTATCCTAAAATACATGATCGAATTTTGCTGCGTTTGAGAATCCACATCGGATGCATCTGAGATGTAAAAAATCTTTGATCACGTGATGCAGTATACGTAAATGTAATGAAACAGATGTGTCCGATGTGGATAAAAAAACGCTCGAGATGTAAAAAATGCATCCGATGTGGATTCTCAAACGCAGCATTTGTATATCGACAAAGGCCACTAAACAAGGTAGAAAGAAGCCACTACGAGGTGGAAAGCGGCCATTAAACGAGAAGCACGAAATAGTAAGAGACCACGAAACGAGGAGAACGAAGTAGTAAGAGGCCAATAAAATAAAAGATGTGACTCTGTCAGTTCTGTGGACTCTGTGACTGGAAAAATAAAAAAATCACTGTCATGCATAATTCTTTAATCATTAGTTTTTTAAATTTTAAAGGAAAATGATAACAGAAGTCACGAATATTCTTCATGATACTTTCCACAACCTGAAATCTTTCGAATTTTTTGATGTAAAAACACCAGAAGATTTATACAAGTTATTTTTCTTTTGCCATATATTTTCATGGGCTGTGGTTTTGTGGAAATTGAGAAATTAAAGTAATGCATTCGAAACGTATTTATTTTTTCTTGTTTACAAACCTAAATAATGTTATCAAATTATAAATTAAAAGTTTATTTTCACTCGTACGTTTATTTTTAAATTTTTGAATGTGACAAGTATTTTTGACATACGCCTGCGCATTGACATTGACAATATTTACATAACCTGAATTTTTCAAAGTGTTTTGTTTACAAGTTTACAATTTTGAAGAAACTGACTATAAGCTGAGATATTTCAATTAAATTCGTAAATGTCTTTAGTAATAATGCTAGATATAATATGGCCGAACAATATATTAATTCCGTTCACATAGAGAAGCTAGGTAAACGACCAAAATAATCTAACCTCAAACAACAATCTGAATAAAACTGTTTTTAGGTCATAAAATAAAAGAAATAAGAGAAAGAGGGCTTCAGAATATTATATCAAAGCTAGATAATGGTGCTTTATTTGATAATGACTTAGCTAGAAGTAAGGAACTTCTGAATAAGTTATTTAAGTGGTTTTTATTCAAACCCTGTACTAAAGAGGAGCTTGTTTTTACTTTACTCAAACGTGTCTTAAAGGTAAATTCAACAATTAATTATTTTGTATAGCAGTGTTAACTAATTCAGAGAATTCTTTATTATTATCATCTCAATTTTAGTCTGAAAGTGGTAAAAGTCTTATAGGAAAAGGAAAAGAATCTATCACACATGAATTAGAACAAATACACTTATATTTAGATCCAAAATATTTAAATCTACTAGAAGAGTTACTAGAGATAGTAAATAACTGTCAACCTGAATATATAGTGCCTCCATTGCAGTGTGATGTACCTTTAAGTTATCGATCTGGTGAAACTGAAAGTGAATTTACCCCATATTTGGGAACAACAGCCACAGTTGTAGAAGGAACTTTTCGAAAAGAATCATCAGCAGAACAGCAAACAGGGTAAAAATAGTGAATATAATAATTTATACTTATTGTTGGCTGAGTTTACATGCATTGTCAAGAACATAATGCATGTAAAAACATCGACCCTGGCCATTATATTTCATTTAAAGAATAAATAATTTTATGGGTTTTCAAATTATTTGGCATTAACTGAAAGTATCAGCTGTTGTGAGAAAATTTATATTCCAAAAATTGACTGAAAATACAATAAATTTATTATTTTGCATCCTAATTTAAATTTTCTTATTTTTTATTTATTTAAATCCTTTTACAATATATACAAATTTCTTACAAAACAACATAAAATATGTAACAACAATTTGAAATTGTAGGTATCTAACTGAAATAATGTAAAAATAATAGAATGAACAAGATATATTGGTCAATTAATATATATCTCGTTTATTTAGCAAAGCTAATAGTACATTACAAATAAATAAAATTACAAAAAATATTTATCTATATCTAAAATATAACACTAAAATATCACAGATGCTGGCTCGTTAACATATAATCTCTTAGTTTATATTTAAAGGTATTAAATGAGGCGACATTTCGGAGTTCTAAGGGTATCTCATTAAAAGCTTGAAGTCCCTTAAAAAATATTGAATTTTGGGACTGTTTACGTGCAACTTGTGGAATATGAAAATTAGATCTATTTCTTGTGTTATAGTTATGATAGTCAAAGTTGTAATTGATTTTATCAAGTAAATAAGAGGGGACCAGTCCATGTTTAATTTTATAAATGAATATTAAAGTTAAGTATAGAAAATAGTTTTTAACAGAAAGCCATTTCAAATTTTGTAACATACCTAATATATTGGTCCTTCTATCACATGACAATAATATCCTCATTGCTCTATTTTGTAATTTCTGAAGTCTGTTGGTTTCATTCTGATTAAGTAAATACATAATGGTGGCACAATAAGTGAAATGAGGCAAAACTATACTGTTATATAAAAGAATCAATGACCATTTATTAATATATTTTGAGCACCAGTATAAGTAGTTGACTTTAAACGCTACTGTTTTAATGATATAGTTTGCATGATCTTTAAAAAACAACATATGGTCTACTATTACTCCCAGATATTTATTTTTTTTTACGACTTCAATGACATCATTTTCAATACTAATTTTCATATTATTTTCAGTAAATTAATTGTAATACCTAACATTCCCGATAATCATAAATTTAGTTTTGTTAATATTTACTTTTAACGAATTAAAACAACACCAATAATATATTTGCTTTAATGTGGTATTTATAGTAGAGGTTACTTCCTGCAAATTATTAGCAGAATAATACAGCAGAGTATCATCTGCAAACATATGTATGGAGCAACCACCTGCAACTTGAGAAATATCAATATATAGAAGGAACAATAGTGGGCCCAATACATAATGGAGAAAGTACAGAAAATAGAAAAAATAAAAATTGAACATGTACTTTGAAAATAATAAAAAAATTGTTTAAAAAATAATTTTCATAATTTCTTTAGTTTCCAAACGCCTTTAGATGATTCATCGACATACAGAATCCAAGATAATAACTTTGTACCGGAATCGAGTCATTTTCCAAATCATAATTTTGAATGGCAACCTCTTATTGAAGCAGACAGACACGTTTTAAATTCCGTTGAAAATTCACTTATCAATCCACCTCAGCCATCATCTCTGTTGCATTCCTGTGAATTTTTTCGTGATGTTTTGTTGCATGATTTTCCTGCTGAAATTTTTCTACAAAGACCTAAGATTCTTTTGGTAAGTTTGTTAAATTCCATAATGAAATATTTTAAGTATCTTAATATACAGGGTCTAATATTTGTAGTTAACTTTTGTACTTTAACCTGTGAAAGACCTGTACAATTATTTATTAAATTTTTATTTTTTAGGAACTTTTTTCTTTATTGAACTGTGGATCCTCTCGAATAACCAACGCCGTTTTGTATTGCTTGTCTGATTTAACAACTGAATTACAGATCCGAATAAATCACTGTATTGATGCATCCTTGCGAAATTTCAAATTAAAGGTATTTTTGTAAATATATAATATTTTTAGAGATTTATTTATGAAATTATTTTTTTGGACAAAAATCAAAATTGCAGAGGTTTTGGTGGACAGACCTAGCAAAACGTAATCGTTCATCTCTTTTTATTTCATAAAACGTATTAACTCTAAAGATTTATAGAAATACTGAAAGTGATAGAAATGCCCCTTGGACAAAAGAGTATCAAACTGGTAACTCTAAGATAACCTCTCCATTGATCAATTGCAACTTACATATCTAAAAAGAGAACATCTTTGTATCCCAACTGGTTGCTGCTAATTTTTTATGTCATCAATAAATCTGTTATCGATGTTTGATTTTCATTTTGTTTTGAACTTAATTTATATTTTTAGCATATTACTGATTTAAGTTTTCCAAATACTCCATTATCTGCTACAAACAGAGGATCAGAAAATGAAGATGTTTTTTCTGAAATTCGTGACAAATTTGAAAAGAACGACGATGTTATTGTACTTCAAAAAAATCAAATTCCGACTTTAAAATATTGCTATTTGTGTATAACGTCAATTTTTAAGTATTTGTGTGCTAAACATGAAGTTGGGAAAGAGAGTAAAGCAAAGACAAATCAGGTAATTAATATTTTGTTTAAGTCATTTTATTTGTAAAACATTCCAATGGAAGTAATTTTAATATTGACTTGTTTCTATTGCTGTTTTCAGATTGCAATAAATATTTGCTTAGCTTTATTAGAAAAAAATCTGGGACTTATATCTTTATGTTTAGAAACACAAGTTGGGGACCAAGCAAGTTCTTCCTTAGATCTATTCAAATTCATCAGTGATATATTTATTTCATATGGCTTGGCTTTAGAACACTTCAGGTAAATTAGTTTTTTTATCATGCTACAAAAAACGACTTTAATTCCAATTTGTTCTCTATAGTGACTTTATTTATATTACAAATATTTTCGTTTTAGAATTGAGTCAGTCTCTTCAGATGATAATCTTAAATACAGGGCAATCTACCTCTATTTATTACATAATTGCGTCAATGTTTTACAAAAATTGGTTCCTATTTCCAAAAGATTAACAGTTTTACCTAGAAATTTGCAAACTGCTTTAGCAAATTCGCTATTAGACGTCACTTTTAGCCGTTTATATCCAGCAGTTCATGGCATGATTTTAAATTACGTCCAGGTAATAGAATATATATTTTTACTCACAAAAATAATAATAATTTTATAGAATTTTTCAATGGACGAGGACAAATCCCACTTGAATAAATACGAAGAAGTTAAAAAGATATGCCAAGGAATGTCATCCACTGTTAAATTTCTTAAAGAACACAAAAATTTGAATGCCGTTGAAAATTTTCGATTGGCAAATCAAGCTTTAGCTAGTGTGGAATTCCACAAAGATTTTGACTTTTTAAAAGTTTACGTTGATCTCTGTATTGAGAAATATTCTCATATATCAGATAATTCAAATATAGCAGCCCTCGTAGAAGGTTTGTAATTTATTAAATAGTCTACCAATAATTTGATTACCTTAGAGCTTTAAATATGTAAATATAATATATTTATTTCTTAGAAACAACTCTCAGTCTATTGAGCCATGAAATGTTGGATATAAAACAGGAAATGTACAGATTGTGCCACAAAACCGTGGTTTCTTATATTGGACCAAAATTAAATGATACTACCGGAACAGTAGGCTCTCAAGTTCAGTTTTTATTAACTTCAAGAACTCTTGTAGAGATTGCTTCCCATGGATTAGACAGCGAAAGCTATGAAGTAAGTTATTGAAACTCAAATTTTCAAAATAATAAACTATGTTTAATTTTTAGATACAAAAATGTGCTTTAGATATCCTAATTTATATATTGAAATGTAAAATTCTCGTATCAGAATCGATTTGGAACAAAATAATTCAAGCATTAATTCCATCGCTGCCAATAATTGCGTGTCAAGTATCAAAAAACTGCATTCTTTCCAAATCTGTTGCATCATTAGTTGATCCCGATATTGCTAAGCAATCCTCATTACCAACTATCTCAATGTTAAAATCCAATATTGAATTTTTGTTCCTCGACGATCCATGCCTGCGAGAAGAAGCGTTTTCACGAATTTGTTGGTTACTTTCGTCTCAAGAAAAATCTAGAGAGTTATTACCAGGGTTCAATACGTTATATGACACCTCTTTAGCAGGAATTTGTAAAATTAAAAAAGTTTTAGATGTCAATAAAATTAGAAGAACGGAACACTTTTATCAGGTAAGAAAGAATTTATAATACAATACTTTATTTTCCATTAGACAAAGTAGATTTTATAGGATTCGTTACAAAATTATTTATTCTATTTGTATAAATGTTATACAAAGAAAATATGGTTTTACAAAGATTCTTTTAAGGTGGGGGTAAAGTTTTTAAACTTTTTTGCATTTTTGTAACCGCGTCTCATACATGACTCAGCGCTTCAGAAAACACCTGCCCGACTTAAGCGCGCTATTGTTACCTAGCAGCTGTTTCGCTCTCTATATAATCCCTAACCTTACCTCCTACCTTTCTTTATAGAAATTTCAACACAAGTACAAACGTGTTTATACCTGTACTGTATATAATTTAGTATAGTATTGACCTGGCAGGTTCTTTTGCGTTACTAACCTCCATGCAAGACATGGGAATCAGTAGTGGATCAAACGCTCATGAATGAGCAAAAAGATGCTTTAGACATCATGGATGATAGCAACATCCTTTATGGACCTCGCATCAATGATTCAGTATGACATAAACCGATAAAACTCGCTTAAGAACGTTTTATTCCAAATTTTTTAGTGTTCAAAACTTTACAGCGTTTTTCCCACAACTCACGTTTCCAAAGTTGGTGCCCCTCATAACTTCAAAACTACTGCTCCTATCCTTTTGAAATTTTGAACACTATTTCTGTACATAATTTACGAGGTTTTTTTAAATTTTATAAATTAGCCTATTTTTTCGCAAGAATCGTTTTTTACTTCAAAGTTTTCCCAAAAAGTGAAAAATTGAAATCTCGAAAAACCCTCCCAGCTTTACCTGGGGAAAACGATTATCTAACGAAAGAACTTTGATTTTTTTATTTATGATGATCCAGCACCGAGTTAGGACGGGCACCGCAATTATACTTTTTTTCGAGACGCTTCCGAATAATAGCTGCCATTTCCGTATATTTTTAATATTTCTACATGAAAATTTGACACAATATTCTTTGAATTAGTTTAAATAAACAGATTTTAACTGTGTCGTCAAAAAAATCACAAAAATGTCCCTTTTTGCACGAATTAACGACTCCCCATTCCCCCCTTTCTTAAAATGTAAAATCCAAAAATCTTGAAATACTTCATTATTTACTTATGACGAGTCGCTCCAATTCTAATTTTCAAGTTCCTACCTTTCTCTTCAATATATTTACTCTCCCAGAATATCGTTCTGTCATCTACAAATATGGCGAAGTATCCATTAATATTTACATTAATAATATCATTTACATAAATTAAAAATAAAACCGGTCCCAGAACGGATCCATGAGGAACCCCACAGTAAATCGTAGTAAGCGTTGACGTTTGTATTGAAAGAAACTCTTTGTACTCTAGTCTCCAAATAAGACTAGAAGTACTTTAGAGCTTTTCCTTGGAAGCCATATCTTTGTAGCTTGCTCAGCAATATTTTGTGATTTACACAGTCAAAAGCTTTGGATAAATTAAAAAACACTGCATCAACTACCCTGTTATTATTTAAATCGAGGTATAATTTCTCTAGAACAGAAAACATAGCATCGGTCGTACTTTTACCCAATTGAAACCCAAACTGGAATATAAATAGCACTTTTTATTCTCATCTTAACCAATTTTTCAATCAATTTTGCGGGTAATAAAGAACCATTGACTATTTTTAAATTAAACTGAAAAAACTGTCATAAATGAACGATTGATTGGTTCTACTAAAACAGTTAATGCATCTTTTGGAGATTAACTGAAATTTCATTCCAACCTGAAGAATTCTGTTTGTGATAGAACAGAGGATATCCTTAATTTCTACAACATCAATTGGTATAAAATAAAATGAACCGTTAATATTTAAATAAGACAAAGCATCAGTCGAAAGAGTTTTTTGTGTGGACAGACTTGGTCCAACAGAATAATAAAAATTCCCCTTAAGTCATTTATTATTTTCCAGATCTCTTGCCTATTCTAAAGAGGTAGAAATTAATATTTTACGGGTTATGTATTCTATTTTGCACATGTTGTCTTTCGCTTTGGTACCAATGCTAACGACTCTCCGTGGCATCTTTTAAATGGTAAACATTGAATGTTTTTTATAAGTTAGTTCTTGAACAATAATTTTTTATTTTTTAAATGAGGAACATATTCGGTATGTATGATTGGCCAAGATTTTCCATTACGTTTTATATAAATATTTTGACAATTTTTGATTTTATTGGTTAGTTTTGAAACTAAACTCAATGATGCTTTAACTGTATTTTCTAAATTAAGTATGCGATTCTAGTAAGATTTTTTCTTGGAAGTTAGAAGAAAATAAATCTTTTAATTTTTAATTCCTCAGACAGTCTACCTTTATATTTTCCTTTTCCCACTTACAATCTTATTTCCATTTTCTTTGTTAAAGAAAATATGTCTGTGAGAAATTTTTTGTATTTGTTTTGTAGCCAAGCAGTTTACATCAAGTCCTAGAAGTTATAAATTCCTGTAACGTCGAACCTGTCATAAAAAGATCGGCTTTAAATCAAATAAGTGTAATGATGGAAGATACTTTGTTGCATCAAATTTTTCTGGACTCCAACGGTCTCAATTTAGTTATAAATGTTATGAAAAGTTCTTTGACTGAAAAGGATTACAGAGATTATCCCGATTCAATCATTCCTGTAATATCTGTAATGAAAAACTTGTGTTTGTATAACGGGATTGTTAGAGAAGAACTGAGCGGGAATGTAGAGGTGTTCTATTTTATTTTAAGAGGTAAATCAATTATTTATTAATATTTTAATGTAATTAAAACATTCTTTTTATTGATTTTAGGTCTCTTTCTATTTTTTACTGAAGACAGGCTCAAACAAGATGCCACTATACTTCTTTTTCTATTGATTTTTAAAGATTTTATTTGGGGTAGTCCTTCCCGAGCTAATTTCAGTCTTCCAAAAATAGTGGTTGAAAACACTAATCTACCGTTTATTTGTAATAGCCATTGGAGCGTTAGTGAATATACAAAATGCAGTTTACGAGGTATGCAACATATAATTGACTTTCGAATATTTTTATTAATTGACTGTTTTTAAGATAAAATTGCTGAAGACAGATGGTGTCTCAGTTCCATCCAAATACAGTGGAACGCTGAACTTTTCGGAGGTTTCGATCAGCTGATGAAATGGGAGGAAATTATATACGAGGATCATTCTAGTGTATATAATTTTGTAGATTTATTAAAATTGACGAAATATGATTTGAAGTGTATTAAACATTCGTCTATTAACTATTGTATTTCGATATTTTTAACTAATATTCAGAATGCTACGTCACATTGCACTGTTGTGGAATCTATAGATCTTTTAACTTTGTAAGTAATCACAATATTCATAGTAAAAGTTTTTCAAATTTTTTCAAAAATTAATTTGTCATCGATATTGACTGGTTGTCAATTGTCAGCCCCAGCCTCAATAACCACTGATAGAAGTCTTCCGTAAATTTAAATCCTTAATAGATATAATAATACTTTCCCTAATTCACCCCTTTACGAGTGAATTTCAACCCCTGAAGCTGACTGAGCTTGTGTGGGGAAGGGACGGCTATTATTACTATTATATATGTTCTAAAGAGTAATACTTTGTTGTAATCTAGTGGCATGGACTATTATATTCATTACACTTCTTCTGTAATTTACTTTTAATTAATTTTTTATCTTTCCAGATACGTGAATCTGTATAAACTCTTTTCCAAGTTCAACGAATCGGATGGCACGGATAATATTCTTACCCACTCTTGGGAAAAAACGTTCATAAGATTTTTGAAGATTCTTCCCTCTTGTGAAGACGATATTACCGTATTAAAACGAATTATTCAATTTCTGGGCGTACTCGTGACTCATTACGCTCCTTTAGCAAATGACTGCTGGATAACGTCGTTTTTAAAAGACAGTTCTCAATGTCTGTTAGATATTTTGACGGTTGACGATTCTACAGAGGATAACATAAAAGCGGTTGCTCAAGAATTGTTGAAGCTAATTGCGGTTTGTGTAAGACAAGAACAGCACTATATGGATTACTATCCGCCTCATCAGACCACTGATCGAAAGTCTTGGATTCATATAATTAAAATTATAGCTGATAATATAAAAAATAGTGGCAGACAACATTTTTATAACCTAGGTGAGCTATACTTGTATGATACAGTCAAATCTAAAGAACCAAGGACGCGCATTTATAATGTTACGAACACGCCTACCGATGAATAGAATTGGTAGCTTACCTAGAAAGTTGTAAACCAGGGGCGCATATATTTTAAGACATAAAATAAATGGAAAACAGTGAATGATACTTGTTCATACATATTGCTTAGTGTTATTATTACGAGATAATTCTATAGTCAATTAAAAAATCATTATTTTTAAGTAAGCCGACTTTAGGCTAAGGCTGTTCTACCGCTTTCCGTTCGGTATTTATATAAAATTCTGTTACGGTTAGAAAATTATCCTTATTCAAATAAATTAAATTGTGGTAAAATTGTATATTGGTCAAACGGGCCGTAGTTTCAAAAAAAAGCTATTTAAAACATTACAATAGTTATACTAAAAACAAAAATAATTCTACAAAATATATTTTTATCTGAATATCAATCGTTTATGCAAAAATTGTTTCACATTTTGAGAATAAAGGCATTCAATTAAACCATTTAGAAACACTTGAAATAAATAGATTTAAAAATTGAAATATCCTCTTAAGTGATCAATTAGATATTAATAACTGAGCTTAATTAAATCTCTTTACCTGTTCTTTATTTTAATAATATATTTCTCTTAAGTGCCTACTTTAACTAATTAGTAGAAATGGTTCCGATCATAAATAAGCAAGATATGAAGTAAGAGCTAAGGGTAAGAGCTAAAATAGTGTATCGCGAAAACAGCCTTAAGGAGAGCTCTGGTGGTCTAGTATTTTGTATTTTAACTGACATTAATTTTTTTATAAACAAAATATGAAATAATATGTGTATGAAGTAATATATTCTTCCGATTTTTTAACATGTTTAATTTTATATTATATAGCCTATAAGTAAATACAAACAACGTAAACAATAAATCACAAATAAATAATGTTCATATGTCTTAGTCAGATTCTTCGTTGGAAGAAGACTCATCACTGTCGTTACTGGAATCCTCATTAGTATTAATGACGATATGATTAATTTCCGAACATAAATCAGTTTGTATTTCTCTTTCAAAATTTTTATCTTCTACCTTTATAACATGATCGCTTCTCTTTTCCATTCCTCCATACCGATTTTGTTAAATTCTTCTTCTGCTAATTGTTTTACGTCTTCTAATTTAAAGGTAACATTCCTTTGACTGACATTATTCTTAACAGTTGCCCAATCAATTCGATAGGGTCCAAGTCGGGGTGATATGGGGGTAACCGTAAAGCGGTGTGGCCGTATTCTCGACACAACTCATCAAATGCATATGTTACATGTCGGTCTTTATGAGATTTAATCAGTTCATATAACTCTGGTTTCAAACTTGTTGGATTAAAAGGTATATTGTATTTTGTCAACCATTCGATAATATCATTTTTCAAAGAATTGGAATTAGGTGCTCGATTGGTCTGTACATTGTGATAACTAGCATTATCACAAACAATTACTGAATTAGGTGGAAGATTAGATATTAACTTCTCTCTTAACTATTTGCCGTAATTTTCCGAATTCATTTCGGAATGATAATCTCCAGACTTGGTCCCTGATTTGAATATCAACAAACTATTTTTGATAAAACCCATTTCTCCCCCACCGTGAACTATAATAAGCCTTTGGCCTTTAGAAATAACAGAAAACAAACGTTTCGTTGAATAGTCAGTCCAATTCTTGGAAGAAGTATGTCCGCTGTGTATATACGTTTCATCTAAATAAACGATTGGTCTATTTTGACTTCTAAAATATTTTATCTGTCTCAAATATTTTACTCTTAAAGTTCTTATTTTCATTTTTTCCACCAAAACTGTACGATTATTTTGTGTTTTTCTCCATTTAAATTGTAATTTTTTAAGGACTCTTCTTAATGAAGTTTCTGATATGTGGATATCTAAATCTTCCTTAATTTTATTATTTAACCTTTTAACAGTAACACGAGATTTTTCTGTTATATGAAAATCGTAAATTATTCTTCGAATGTCCCTCAACTGATATTCAGGGAGATTCGTAGCGGTTGATTTTTTGACGAAGTTTTTCCTAGGTGTGGAAAATGTAATTTTTCCAGTTGTTTCCATTGACTGTTTACCTTCTTTCAAAATTCTTTTAACGGTAGTAGGTATAAGAAATACCTGTAAAAACGTAATATTATATTAATGTTAAATTTAGTATTTTTTTTACATTTATTAGGAAACAAAAATTTTTAGAAACAAGATAAATTTTAAAAATGTAAATATAAAATATTAATCAAAAATAAAATGCATAGATATGTGTGTAAAATACAAAAAAAAATATGGAAAACTACGCAAGTTTAATTGCAAATAAACTACAGAGTATGTTTACCTGTTGCTTGTACAGTTTGAAATAATCTAAAGTAACTCCTTCCTTTTTTGATGCGTCAAAATATTTACTTTACTTTACTACTTTGTCCGTTAATAACAGATCTGCGCTTTTTTTCACCCACAATAGAAGACATTATCAAAAATAAAACCAGTCACTTTAACCAAAACACAGAAACAAGAAACAAACAATGATCTAGTCGTTACGCTACTGACCGTAAGCAAGGACAAGGTTCAAATTGTGAATGGGCGTGGCGATTTTTAAGTAAACGAACTTGAGCATTTGCGCTGGTTCTTTAGATTTGGCGTTTACTGTATGCATTTTGTTTTTATATTTTTTCAACGTATGTTATCAATATTTTTAACATTTTTTAACTTTTCTTTTTACTTTTTTGTTTGGTTGGATTTTTCATCTACCTCAACTTCTTTTTTTTTCATCTTCACTTGTTTACATTTTTTTTATTCACATTCTTTTGCGAACATTTTTTTAACCTTTGTTTAATATTTTTTTCACAAAAATGTTTTCATTCACATTTTTTTCATCCACTTTTTTTTAATCCAGTAATCCACTTTTTTTCATCTACGTTTTTTTTTTCGTTACTTTTTAAAAAAAAATTTCATTTAAGTTTTTCAGTTGTATTGTGTGCTTCTTATATCTACCTACATTTTTCAACCTCACTTTTTTCCTATATTTTTCCAACAAATTTTTCAACATTTTTTTCATTTACATTTTTTCGTATTTATTTTGTCCAATATATTTTCCAACATTTTTACATTCTTTTTTTTTATTAACTTTTTTCATCAACTTTTTTCATCAACTTTTTTCATCAACTTTTTTTCAACATTTTTTTTAACATTTTTTCAACATTTTTTTTAACATTTTTTCATCTACTTTTTTATCTACGTTTTTCAACATTTTTTTCATCCATTTTTTCATCTATGTTTTTTCAGTTACATTTTTCATAACTTTTTTTTTTATTAACTTTTTTCATCAAATTTTTCAACATTTTTTTTAACATTTTTTCATCTACTTTTTTATCTACGTTTTTCAACATTTTTTTCATCCATTTTTTCATCTATGTTTTTTCAGTTACATTTTTCATAACTTTTTTCTTTAACCTTTTTTTTAAACTTTTTCATCAGCTTTTTCATCAACAGTTTTTTTATTCACTTTTTTTCATCTGCGTTTTTTTCAGTTGCATTTTTTTTATCTACCTGCATTTTATCTTCATTTTTAACTTTTTTTTTTTCAATATTTTTTTAATCTTTTTTCCATCCCTTTTTTTTATAAACATTTTTTTTCATCATTTTGTTTATTAACATTTTTTTCGTCTACATTATTTCCAATACATTTTTTTCAACAGTTTTTCATTTACATTTTTTGCTTAATATTTTTTCATCCACTTTTTCATCTACGATTTTTCAGTTACGTTTTAACATTTTTTCCTATAGGTACATTTTTTTCAATATATTTTTTAACATTTTATTCATTTACATTTTTTCATCTAATTTTTTTATCTACATTTTTTTCAATTCCTTTTTCATAACTTTTTTTCTATTAACTCTATTCATCAACTTTTTTTGACCTTTTTTTCAGTTGCATTTTTGACTTTTTTCAATATTTTTTCAATCATTTTTCCATTAATTTTTTTTATCATTTTTCTTAACATTTCTTTCAACATTTTATTTATTAACATTTTTTTCTTCTACTTTTTTCGTAATATATTAGACCTTTAATATGTTTTTGATATGAATGAAGGGATATTTTTAATTATTATACCTGCTCAAAATGTATATATTGCTTGTTTAACTGCCCCCAGAACGTCTCCTTGAGTCACTGAAAATTTTCTACTTCTAGCATATTTGGATTCTTTATTATCTTGCCTAGTACATCTCACTGCGACATTGGGTTGGAGTGAAAATAAAGCCGGTTCTACGCTGAAAGATCCCTTACCGCAAATGATTTTAAATCTATGCGAGTTAGTTCGATCATTTCATTCTGGAAAAGGACCTTCAGCTGCTGTGTCTGTTATGGGATTAAGCATTACAAGGCATGTGCTGTTGGTACTCAATCATATATTGGCTGAGGTGCAAAATTCTAAAATGAAGGTGAAACACATTTTGTAATTTTTCTTGTAAATAAAGGGTTTGTTCCAACAACGATCAGAAACCAGTCATTGCAATCAGGATTCTGCACAGTAGATTATTAGGATCCCAATTATTTACTGCGCAGAATCTCGGTGCCTATGACTGGTTTCGGATCGTTTTTGGAATTTATTGAAGTACAAAATAATGTTAATTCTATTCCATTTTTTAATATTTTGTGAAATTTGTTCAAGGGTTGGGAGTCATGTTTCTTTGACGATATCGATAATAACGACCCCATGTACAGCTTCATAGCTTTGTGGGCAAGTCGGGACATTGTTCTAAGAGCAGCTTCATTGCAATTCTTCGCTGGATTAACGTCTTCCCCAAGAGCTGCGATTGAAATAGTACATGGTAAATAACCATACATTTAAAAACATTTATTATTTTTATTTTTTGATAATATTTTTAGAAATTAAAAGCGAAAACACTTCTATTTGGGATCTGGCATTAAGGGTTCTCATAGATAATACCGAAGCAAGTGCTGTTAGAGAAAATGCTGCCGAATTACTCGCAAATTTGGCGGCGCAATCAACTCCTTTAGGCGTTGACAAATCTAATTGTGCAAATTTTGCACTTAAGAAGGTAGGCACATTTAATGTCTCAAATTCAGAACCCTAAGTCACACCTATTTTTTACATTTTAGAGCTCCACGATGACACTATTTGATATAATTGATCAGTATGACTTCTATTCAACTCTAGAAATTATATTTTCGGAATTATACATAATTAATATATCTTATAAAAGAGTTAAAAACTTGGATAGTAAGTATTACTTTATTATATTTATTTTCTTGTCAATGTAGTATTTATTTTTTAGAAAAATTGACGTGTTATTCTGAATCCGAACAGTCCTGGGGTAGTTCTACGGAAGAAAGTGTAAATAATTTGGGCGTGTCTACACCGAGTTTGGTTAGAGCTGTTGGAAATTTGTTGTATAATCTGTTGTTGCTGAATCCCGACGTTAGTCAAAAGATGCAAGATCAAGGTCTTGTAAAATTATTTTTCAGGTAGACGACGTCGTACACTTTTAATATATTTGAAGTAACAACTGTTTTTATGTTTTTAGAGCGATGTGCAATCCTTGTATGAGTATTACAAACACTAGAGAATTGTCTGTATATTGCGATATACTTGAAATGGACGCCACTATTTGTTCAGTACTGATCCGATTAGCTAGTTATAATACAGCTTGTTTGGGAACAATTTTGCATACCAAGGATTGCTTGAATACTCTAATTTCGTTATTAAATCCAACAGTGTTCCGTAAGTAATTTTTAAATATTTTAAACTTTTAACGAAATTTTTATTAAATTTTTATTAATTCTAATCTTTCGGACTAAACTTAATATTTCTAAAACAAGAAAAATAATTCCAACTCAAATGTGTTGAAGCATTCAACATAATAAATTGAGTATTTGGGCACTAAAAATTATCAGCCCAATTCTGGCTCGCCTAGAATTCTCGAGGTCACTACACAATCTACGTCACGAGTCATGTGATTAGTTCCTACCGAAGCGATCTTAGCATTTGTTCATCCCTTAGAATATATATAGTCAGGAAGGAGGAATCCTAAACGACCTTGGAATCGCGATGGTATCTAATTTTGACAGTGAACTAGACGAATATGGCGACAAGTGTTTCCGGTCTACCAGTGACGTACTGTCATAAAGGGGCGTAGAAAAGAAATCTAAATCTAAATTTACCGATTTCTCTCATTTTAACGAATTGCTGTTTTCTTGCGAGAAGTTTGCATTTTTTTTTATTAACCTTCATTATGTGAATAAATTTTACATTAAAACTGCATGTTGGGTGGGATAAATATAGAAAAATATTTTTGGGTAATTTATAGAGGGATTTCATTTGAAAAATCAAAGCAATAATGTATTAAAAAAAATATTGACTTTTTACGTCTTAATTATAATAATGTCTTTATTAATCTACATTTTACAAATTATTAAGATTTGAAAAATAAATATGTTTTGTAGATATGCGTTAAAAAAAATTAAATATCCTATGCTTATATTTAGGTCAAACACTGCTGTGATATTTCTTTCTAAGATGTTTTTGTTGGAGTACATATAAAACTTCCTAATATTGAAGAGAATTTCTGATCATTTTATTACATAATATTATTAGTAATATTTTTTGCAGGACAATTTTACATAAGCAGGTAAAACACCTTTCCAAGAAAGGATCCTATAACGTAACAATGATTCTATGAGTGCAAAATAGATTATTTTTAAATGTACATTCAACGCATTATTTGTATGCTTAGTCCAGTTATGATGAGAGTCAATTTGTACTCTAAGGTATTTGATATCATTTGTAATACTTATATGAAACTACTGAACGTTACGTTTTATTGTTTCTATAGGAAGAGGCTATCTTTTTGTAACTGTATAATGGAACAACATAAGTTTTATCAAAGGTTTATAAGTTTTTATAACTAAACCATTCGAAAATTTTTATAAGATCTGTTTCTATTAATAATTTTAATCAATTCCAGTTCTCTGCATTTTACAGAATAACTGTGTCGTCTCCACAGGGTGGAGTCTCCACTCCTGTGGAACCTTGTAGTGGACGGGCTGCTTAGGGCTCTCAAAGATAAGGGACATAGAACCCTGGAATATGCCGATGATCTAGTGATCATGGCACAGGGAAAATACAACACTATAGTAAGAGATCGAATGCAAGAGGCTCTAAATATAGTAACAAAATGGACAGAGGCGGAAGGACTAAACATAAGCCCAAACAAATCTGACATAATTGCATTCACCCGCAGGAGGAAATTGGAGGGACTAGGGCCTCTAAACCTAAGAGGTGCAAGCATCCAGCTTAAGGGGGAGGTAAAATATGTCGGGGTTATGATTGACTCGAGACTTACCTGGAACCAGCATCTAGAAAGAACCACAAGGAGAGCGGAAACCTCATTAATGATGGCAAGGCGATCCTTTAGAAAAAAATGGGGGTTTAAACCAGACATGGTATACTGGCTTTATAACATGGTGGTGAGACCCATAATAACATACGCAGCTTTGGTGTGGTGGTCAAAGACACAGCAAAGGAAAGCAATAACGAGGCTAAGCAAGGTACAAAGACTTGCCTGCCTCGGAATAACGGGGGCAATGAAAACAACCCCCACTGCTGCAATGGAAGCACTAATAGGACTCCCACCTCTTCACTATGTGATACAAGGGGAGACAAGATTAGGTGCTTACAGATTAGGGAATACACTGGGAAATCTTGACATTAGGCCAGGTCACATGAGTATATCAAGGTTAGTGACAGGAGACGTGCTAGACATGAGATCAGACCACATAACCAAGAGGTACTCTTTTAATACTCCCTTTGAGGTTTTAATACAGGAAAGAGCGGAGATCACCATAAGGGAGCCCAATGCCCAACGACAGGAACAAACCTGGTATACAGACGGGTCTAAGACTGCGGAAGGCACTGGGGCAGGAGTATTCTCCAAAAACCCTGATACTAACCATAGCTATGCTATAGGAATACATTCCTCGGTATTTCAGGCCGAGGTATACGCAATTTTGCAATGTGCAAAAACGAACAATGAAAGAGCTGTCGAAAATCAGCATATTCAAATAATGTCAGACAGCCAAGCGGCACTTAAAGCCATATCGAGTCAGAAAGTTACGTCGAGGCTGGTATGGGAATGCATCGAAGAACTAAGAACACTGGCAGACCGAAATAGAGTAAAACTATTTTGGGTGCCAGGTCACAAAGGGATCGAAGGCAACGAAAAGGCTGACGAACTTACAAAAAGAGGGTCAGAAGAAACACCGGAACCAGACACAAACCCAAGAGTACCAAAAAGTACAGTCCGGGGTTTTATAAATGACTGGATTCGGGAACAACATATCAACTATTGGGGAAGCACCCCAAAACAGGCACATGGAAAAGCCTTCATAGGCAGACCATGTCCCAAAAGAACTGGAGAACTACTCTTAATGAATAGGAATCAGTTGAAAGTGATAACAGGGTTCATGACTGGGCACGCCCCAGTAAAGGGACACTTGAACAAAATTGGCATGTACAATGGGGAACTCATGTGCCGACTATGTCACAAGAAACCAGAAACGGCCAAACACATACTGTGCGAATGCGAAGCTCTAGATCGCAAAGGACAGGCTCTTTTTGGACAACCCCAGGTTGATCCAACAACGTATAGAACCCACTCACCCAAGGATCTGTACAAACTTGTACAAGGTACAAAGGTGATAGAGTGGGTGCTATGAACTAACATAGGGTAAAACACAATAAGCCAATAGGCTTCAGTGTTATTCGGAGACACATAGCCAGACGAGCACAGGAAAAAAAAACTGTGTCGTCTGAAAAACTAATACAATACAATATTTCCATCTGTATTTAAACGACAAATTTTTTAAAATAAAATTAAACAAGATAGGACCTAAGACAGTATCTTGAGGCATGCGATGTGCTACTTATTTCCTTACTTGAGATATTAATTCTATTTGTGTTCGTTTTTGTAAATAACTTTGTAATAAATTATATAGGATGCATCACATTCATACAATAAACTTCTATTATACGAAAAAAACGGCACATGATATAGTCAGTAAATAATTTATTTACTTATATACTTCAACCGGACCACTTTTATTGTTGGAACAGCTGTTGGTAGAAGTCTTATTATTGGTTTTGAGGTTCGATCAAAACAATCTGCTTTAAAATGGCGTGAACACAAAAAATTAAGATATTTTGGCTCACAATTTGTTTGTTGCATGAACTCAAGCCGTAACTTTATTTTTTGAGAATCTTTAGGAAATCTGAAAATTGTCTACCTGGAATTAATTCATATAATTTGTAAATCTAGAATCTTTAAGAAATCTGAAAATTGTTTAGTCGCAATCAATTTATAAATCTAAATTGAAAAATAAATTATTCATGTTAACAACCACATAAATATCTTAAAATTGCATAAAAGAATTGTTTAAATAAAAGTATGTATACTCTATAAACCATGAGACTACGCCTATGAGCACAGTTGATCGCAGACGCACTTACCATGTTTGTTTACAAATTTAAAACATTAAAAATTTTAAAAACCTTGTGGTTGAAAATTGAGAGAACAAAATACTTGCTTATGAAATGTAGATTATTCCTTTCTACTTTTAGCTGTGCTGCTATATTCACAAGACGAACAACTGACCATATTGTCTTGTTTGTCTTTTATCGCGGAAAATTTAAAATTAACAGTAATACTAAACAAATACTAAAACTTTTTAAAAAGGTCTACAAAACATACGCTTGATAAAAGTTTAAATTAACACATAAAACATCCAAATTATTAACAAATTTTAATCACTAAAATAATAAACCAATTTTAGAAACCATTTATCTTATGATGATGAGTCATCCATAGTACAACGTGGCTACCACTTCCGTCAGATCGATTAGATTAACGCAGACATGGCATGCTCCTTCCTGACTATATATGTTCTAAGGAAGTGATTGACATGGCGCGTTATCCAAGCCACGCTTGGTTTTGGCGCGGTCTTGGATCTATAGTTCTTCTCCCTCAATTACCCAAGAGCGTCAGACGTCATGTTAAATTTAATATGATAATTTTTAAAAAGCCGAAATGTAGACAAAGTGTGATTACTTTTCTCACGATAATGCGGCAATAGTTATTTAAATAGTGTATATACGTTTGTTATGTAACAGTTCGAAGAATTTCGATTAAATGGATTGATTTGTAGCTAGCCTTTTTTATTTTCTACAACGACAATGAAAAACAAGCAATTTCAAGCAAACAGTTCACTACAATCTTGGGAATCAATAAACCCCGTACATTCAACTAAATGGGACATGTATATGACATACGGCTTCGTAATTTATATTTTATTTGATGTTTTAGTAACATTTGAGTTGTAATTATTTTCCTTTTTTTTTAAAATTGCCTACCGTCTTTTGGTTCCACCTAGTTTTTAAACTGGATACTACAAGCGTGCCTTGTTACTTATTCTCTCGCGACTTCTATCAATGCATGCGAATTTAACACTTTTACTAATTCCATGCAGAGTGCAATTGAGAATATCTATTTCTTGCTGATGAGTTCTAATAAGGACTAGAGTGGTCCAAGAATAACGTTCTCCAAAATCAAAGTTAGAGTGTTAAATTTCTATCTATGCTATCTTTCGTTTGGATATAATTAAATGCCTGTTGCGGTATTAGCCAAAGGAGTAGTTGTTTTCCGAAGGGATATGGGTGCTCGTATTTTT